ATCGCGTTATATAACCAGATTTTTTATCCTTTGCTTGTAAGACGTCTAACCAGGGTTTTTTGCAGTAAACAGGTATGAAACTAAAGAGGTTTATATAGTGAGATACAAAACCTTTTACACACACTTATCGACTTAACTTGCCGTCTTTTTAATGATCTGTTGAACAGATGCAACTTAATATTACACTCGTTTACACAAGTGACTGTGATTGCCTAGTGTACACTGATAGATCGATTTTCGAGTACTCTTTATTGATATTGTGATCGATGATGAATGCATCGTCAATATAAAAGCAGTATAAATCTAAATTTCCTACTACTTCCTTGAAGAGTCTGTTTTCTACTTTGGCTAGAAAGAAGCTAAGATTGGGCCTAAATATGGGGCCATAGCTATTACATCAATTTGCTGATAACAAATTTGCTCGCAGAAAGAAAGGGATCCTTAGTGTACATCTTAAGAGTAATTCTTCACGAATATCTATCAACCAAAGGACGTGTTTACTGCGCAGCAGTTCGTCCCCTCCTACTTTATGGCAGTGAAACATGGCCGGTAAGAGTAGAGGATATTCGTAGGTTATTAGTATTCGAACATAGGTGTCTTCGAAACATTGCTCGTATATCATGGGACCATCGAGTAAGTAACACAGTTGTTAGGAAACGGGTACTAGGTAAGGATGGCAAATCAATTGATGAAGTAGTGAAACTTCATCAGTTGAGATGGCTGGGACACGTGTTACGTATGCCCAACAAACGACTACCTCGACGTGCTATGTTCAGTGGTATAGATGTAGGTTGGAAGAAAGCTAGAGGCGGCCAAACCAAAACATGGCACAAATCCATGAAGTCACTGACAAGTAGACTGAGTCATGTTGGTAGGTGTGGACTATCTGGTTGGGATCCGCGAGATGATGGCAACCGATGGTTAGAGACCCTGAATGACATGGCTCAAAATCACTTGCAATGATGCAGGTGCATCCACTCTTTGTGTTCTCCCAAATTCTAATCTTCTGAATTCTTCATATCCCTTTTTTCCTCTTTCCAAATTTATTTCACTGTATTATACTCTTTAAATAACATCTCCAAACCCTAATCCTCCCGATTACTGCTTATACTCTTATTACCTCTACCACTACGGGATTTGAATCGACAACTGCATCTCTGTGCTAATGTGGTATGGCAACTCGAACTGATGTACGTACGTACGAAGTTCTACGTTGTTACTGATTGACTGACTGATCCTCAGGAATTCCAACGTTGAGTTGCTTTTCTGAGACTTATCTGCATATGAAATCAATTAGTGGTACATTGGCAAATAAAAATGTGATGTTTAGAGAGATTATGCTTTCTGATAACGTTCATATCTTCCCCTTTTCAAATAAAACCCAGAACAACTTTAGGGCTTTTATTTTCGGCTGATTTATGCTGAAGTTCGAACTTGCCACTGGAATTTTGTGATATGGATGGTTCTATCAGCAGGGGTGTGTATAAGAAAAGTTCTTCGCCTGGCCAATACACACATTTTTTAAGCTTTGTGCCTCTTCATTATAAGAGAAACTTAGTCAAATGCCTTGCAAATAGAGCTCTTAAGATATGCTCAGTCGACACTATCGATAGAGAATTACAACACATTCATAATATTTTGATTGAACTAGGATATCCACTGGGTTTCCTGAAGAAACACTTGCGCGTAAAAAACAGGAAAATAGTGACCCTGACGGCTAATAAGAAACCACTTTTCTTGAAACTGCAATTCAATGGTGATGTGGCTAGCGATGTATTACGAGATAGATTGACTAAATCAGTAAAGAGAACGTTTAATGCTGCCAACCTCTGCCTATCGTATTCGACCCGATCGATGGTGATTCCGCAATTGAAGGATAAGTTACCTGGTTATGCCACTTCTATGTGTATCTACGAATTCAGCTGCTCCTGTGGAGAAAGCTATATCGGGCGCACTACCAGGCAACTGAACCAACGAGTTAGTGAACACCTCCCTTCGTGGTTAGGAAAAGGTTACGTCAAAACAATACGCAGCTCGGTTCTATCACACTTGATCGATAGCGGTCATATAGTGGACAGAAACAAGTCGTTCAAAGTTATTTATCGGATTCCCACTAGTTTTCCTTATGGTGTTCGATCTCGTCTCTTACACATAGCAGAAGCTATAGGAATCCGAGCCAACAAGCCAAGTCTTTGTGTCCAGAAGAAATTTGTAACTCCCTTATCTCTCCCTTGGCCTTAAGTAATAAATGAATTTATTTATTTATTCCTTTTCTAACTTTCTCTTCGTTTATTATTTTTCTTCACACCCTCCTACCATTTTATTTTCTCTCAACTATACGTTTCATGGTCCAATTATCTGAACATTTCTTATTACGTCATCTTATAATCTTCATAATTGTTATCTCACTGTCTATATTTTCTCCTAATCATTGACCTATTTCAGATTATGTAACATTGATTTGAACCATTATTATTATTGCTTATCAAAAACTAATGCACCTGTTGTCACACCATCAATTTGTAATTTTCACATTTTACTTATTATGTAATCTTTTCCATTGTTATCATTGACTTATAAACTACCTTGATTGGTTTAATAATTTCGTATATGCATATAAATATTACTGTATATTAGAGTAAAGCCTGATGAGGATCTAATCGAAAACAATATTGTTCGCTTATATATGTTGTTCTAAATTTACAATATGGGAATATTTCAAATATGGAGAATTGTACATATCTAAAACGATGAAAAGGAAGTCCAAACTTGTGAAGTTTAAGTGAATCATAGGGTTTTAATGAGTTTGATGCAGGTTTAAGTGAATAATGGAAATTCAGTAAACTTGTCCCCTGTCTTTTCACTTCTCTAAGAAAATTGATCATTTATCTGCGTTTCCCTTAACTTTTATTTTGTCACCACTTTTTTCTTTCGTAAGATCGCTAAGCATAAAATTAATTTTACCTGTGCGTTCCGTTCATTCGTCTACCTGATTTGCTAATCATCTAGGTATCTTCTTTTCTCTTTAGCATTTTTGAGCCAGATTGATCCAGTTTGGTTAGTATATATTTCGCAACATCCTCGGAAATTCTGCATAATAATAATAAGTGAAATCTAGGTATTCTTAACAATCTACCTGATTTATGCAGTCCTTTATATTTTCGGTATATAAAAATAATATTCTATATTTATTTAATTAATCTTAATTTACTGATTATATTTACCGGTATGGATGTTTATTGTTGGATTACGTTTCAGGAAAGATGACATAATGATAAATACAACGTGTAAATTGATTACTATCGATGTTAGAAGACATACTGCCTTATGCTTCAAAGTAAATTTGTAGTAGTTCATGAAGTACGGATTATCTGTTAATCCATCAAATTATAGAATAAATAATTAGACTCTAAATACTTCGGAGATTTACAAAATGTTACATTTTCTCTTTCAAAACAAGGTAAAACTTTTGGTGTTGTTTGAACACATGAAGATGCAAATTAATGCAATTAACAAGGGATTTACTGCTTTCCACGTCAAGTATAAATTAATTTTAACTGATAGAGAGCGTGGTCTGTCTTATAAATACGGAGACTGAATTACTAAAGTTGTTAGTGAAACTTCGGAAAACCAGAAAATCTATAAAATGTCAAGAGCTATTCATGAAGGTAATAGATTGGAAAAAATGGCTTCTTTCAGATTAATCATAGGTATCGGTGAGGTCTATGAAGACTATAGAGATGATCAAGACCAGGATCACCGTCAACCTCTTAGCAGATGAAATGATAGAAAAAATGTGATTTACTGTTTCTTCTGAAAGCCGATTCACTGTTTAAGTGATTTTTGATGGACTGGATTCAGAAGAAATTTCTGTTCATTTGATTTTGGCAAAACTTATGGAGCTGAAAAAAGTTTGAATTGGTGAGGTGGTTGACAAGCTTGACTTCTGATGACATCTTGGAATGTTTCTAACGGTGGAAATGCGACAGGTATATTATCACAAATGGATAGTGTCCCATAGGAGATGGAAATGATGTATCCCAAATTCTGTGAGATAGCTTTAGTGACCTGAATTCACATCATTATTGAACAGAATAGAATAGTTATGTTGTTGTTGAAAATGTAGTCACATTGAAGCATGATATTAATCCTATTTACGTATGGCACATATCTAATTAAAAAGGACGGGAACGATTTCCTAGCAAACAAAGGGAAAGTCGCTGGAACTTCTGTTAGTTTTCTTCGCTGTTATTAAGATTTTTAATTTTATTTTAAGTACCAATCCTGCGGTGTATGCTACTTATGTTGACAGATATAGTAGTATGTAGCACCAATCGAAAGTGGAATACCTGCGAGCAGAAGACTGAGAGGATTGAAATGAAGAGAAGAGAAAACTTAGAGAAATCGAAACAACAATGGGAATAAAGGAACGACGAGGTTTGTAAGAGACAACTGGTGAAAGATGTGCAAATGATGTATTCAATGTATGGTTTTCACGAATAGTTTCACAATATTTGGGCGCCGAGTTAATTTGAGACATTAAAAAGAAGAATATATTTGTAAAATCTCCTTGAAAAAGCTTGGACCAGATTGCCAGGCGAAACGTTGGATTTACTTAAAATTCATTCGCTGAGATTTTACAAATATATTCTTCTTTTTAATGTCTCAGTAATAACTATGTTGAAAAGTTATCAACCTGAATTGCCAATTAGATTAATTTAGTGTATTCTTGTTTAACAGGATGAGTTTTGCGCACTGAAGTAATGACTGAAAGTGAAGAACCTGTGTCGAGATAGGATTTTTTCAAATAAGCTGAGGATGACTTGTCCCATACTTGTTTCACTACTTTTGGGTATTCGATTTAAAACTATATCATCAATACAAAATAGCAAAATATTTGACATGCATTTGTGTTGAATCAGTTTTAGAAGAATGTGTTAATTTGACTAAAAGATAAACCACAAATTATTTTTATCGGCATTTAACAATACACAGAAGTTTTCTAATCCACATTTATTCACGATTAATCGAAATAACACCTGTCTAACTGGCAAAATATAACACAAATGTTAAAACAAAGTGTTATGTTACTGATATGCACAATAGTAATAAGTTATGTAACGAGTACATCACAGATAAAACCAGTTAAGTTTAAAATTTAGATTCATATTTGTTGATTATCCAATATGTTAGCACTTCCCATATCGTCTTGTCCATTCAAATCAATACGTGACAGAATTTGAGTTTCGAATGTATGCACTGTCGATATACTTAGATCCTGTTCTTGTTCTTCTTCCGATTCATTTCTATCTTTTGGACTCTGCTTATTCAGATTATGATCACTTGGGTCAAAATCAGTCAGTATATTTGAACCAATATTATTACCCAGAAAACTATGAGTAGTAGGAATATTTAGGAGTGTAGTGGTTGAACTAGATCGAAGCATCTACATATGAAGTGGAAAACAAATTTTTATTTATAAATATATGGAATTATTACAATAAATTTAAACTATGCAGCAAATATGCATAGATTTATTTGTTAAAGCGTATTCATATTTAAAACGGGATATATTTCCCAAGTGTTCATTAAGATAGTGAAATGTCGAAGACGTAGTTACTATGCTTCAGTTATCAAAATCGAGTTACTGAAAATGTATATTTTTCAGTATTTAGTAAGATTTCGGAGGGCACAATCACACTATTGACAGGGTATGCTGTGTACAATTTAAAAATATTTTACGACAGTAGGATTTTGGTAAATGAAGGGATTCACGACTATCATTTTAGCACTACATAGTAAGAAAACTGTTTTTATTCATGCTAAACTGAAATAGAATTTGCACGTTAAATAAATCTAGATTGATCTGAGTAGTAGATATATTCGAGTTTTAGATCACCTTATTAAATATTGAGTTGACCTATCTAACTCATAATCTTAATAATACGTGACATAAATAGACACTCAATCAGTGCACGATGATCGAAATGTCATTATCAGATAAAAAACAAAACACATAAAGACTCTATGCTTCAAGCATGTTGATATTTATGTAACTTGGAAAAGAGAGAACTGCTTATTGAGAAGAAAAGATCGAGTGTTTGTGTTGAATATGCTCTGAGCGCTTATTGATTAACTTTGCGGACTATGATTACTTTTAAGTTTATTTGAAGTTCCACGCTCCTTCTTATTGATTCGCTGGCTTTCTTTGTAAGTAGAAAAGGTAAGTAGAGTATTTTACCTTCATGTCCTCCCTCATATATCAACTTACCGGTTAAGCGAATTTCATGGGATTTCCTAAGAATTTCTAGCTGCTTAGTATTGTTTTTGTGCTGATTTACTTGATCATCATACACCTACAAAGCCTAGTATGTTTATTAGGCGGGTTACGGCAAATTAGAAGGATATTCCATGTCATAACAAGCGAAATTAAGTTTGGTATACAGATAACCGAAGAAACATTTCATGATGAAACTAAGAATTAGTATGCACACAACAGTATCAATGAGTAAAAAGGTGAAGAACCACACAAGCTACACTGACTGTTTAATACAACGCAAATTTACGTAGTTTACTTTTAAGTGTACCTTTACTATAATCAATAGTGTGCCAAGACTAAGTATTAAATGCAAAATTTACTTGCAGGGCTTTTATGGGGAACGATTTAATTTGTTACAGATTGATCCCATTGGGGTTACCATTAAAACTAGGGAGGGTTCGACAACTGTTTCTTTCACGTACGGGTCTCCTTTATTTGAAGGGGTTTAAATTTGTAGTTGGTATTCTTCGTAGGTTAGTAGTATCCTAAATGTGACTAATCTAAGACAAATACTACCCACAAGTAGAAAAGTTGTTTGTTTCAATTACTTGCATCGCTTCGGTACAGCGGGCCTGTAACAACTCGTTTATCTGAAGAGCTAATGCAGACCTTGCTTCTTCAGCTTCTCTTGTTCTGATACGCCAATGTTCACACTGCTTCTCTGCAGTTTGTACACGTTTACGTTCAACTTCAATACGATGTTCGGTTTCAGACATTTGTCGTGATAATTCTGTCTCAGCATTCAACCGTAATTGATCAAGATCTAGTCTATAACGATCTGACGCTTCTCGTAACTTGTTACGTAGAGTTTCTTCAGCTTGTGTAGCATTTTCCTGAATTTTTTGTTCATAAGCTATTAGTTGCTCTCGAATTCTTTGCTGTTATTAAGGTATAAGAAATATATGTTAAGTAAAAAAGGAAGGATTACAATTGGAAAAGAACGATGAATATTATACACTCCAAGAATGATGCAATATTGAAAAGTTTTCAATCAAGGTTTGAACACCTCCGTTCCGTTATGAGAAGGCAGAATGGTTGCAGGTGCTGAATATCTTGAGGAAACACCTCACTACCTTCAAAAGAACGGCTTCGTTCTCGGACCTTAGTTAATGCTTTTAGTCTTACAGTTCTTGACTATCACTCAATATAGATAAAGAGGTTGAGTTTGGAAAATCATTCGCACAACTTTAAGTGCCAGGCGTCAAGCACACTACATATTGATGTTTGTGAATCGGTTTAGAAGTGCATTGGGCAAAAAATACAGTTAATTAGATTCTTTTATCAAACGAGTTTTTAATGCACGACTTTAGCTGTAAATGTCGTCTAACTTTTACTAAAGATAAGGTTATATGCTACATTTGGGTTATTTCACTTTGTAACTTATCAATACATTTCAAGAATCCACAAATCAATTCGATTATTTTTTAATGGTAATGAGATATCTTACAATTCAAATCAATAAATTACTGAAAGTTTGTTTTCATTATTATAATCGTTGATGTATTTCACTGGTTCGGTATAAACTGATCTATCAAGTGCAGGTTTTATGGACCTAACCTTAGGCCACTTTTTGTATGAGGCCCAGTGATAATATACACATGTATACCGAATAGCTCAGTGGTAATGTCTCAGACTGTGGGAGTGGGTGACTCGGGTTAGAATACTACAGACATAATTAGTTTCCTCAAGAATCCGGGCACACTCTGGTGATGAGTGCCAACCAACTTGAAACACAGATGAAGGACAGTTTTCTGTCAACTATCTTCAACCATATAACATCTCGACATAGGGCGCCCAATGTTGAGTAACACAAACTAGTGTCACACTGCTACTTAATCGGTAAAATTCGATCAGCCCCAAGGGACCAGACAAACAGAACACTGGTCACCCCTCAGTAATTAATCGATTGTATACTATCCGTTTGGTTGAAACCAAAAGTACTAAACTGAGTTTTGCTAATATGAATCATTTGGTTAAAGGCAGGTCGCTCTATCCATACTAGGAAACTGCTTTAATGTCGAAAGAAATTCATATCCTAGAGAATAGGTTTCATTTTTCTATAATTGAGGAATAACAATATTGAAATAATTTTTCTGTCACTCAGAGATTAGAATGGCAAATGTAAGTGGACAATATCTTCAATTAAATCCTCATCAGGCTCTACACTAATTTACAGTAACATTTATATGCATATATGAAAATATTAAATAAATCAAGGCAGTTTGTCGATTAATGATTATGTTTAATTATGTAACCTGTTTCGTTGTTATCACTGACTCAAAAATGCCTTGATCAGTTCAATATTTTCATACATGCACATGAATATTAGTGTATACTAGAATAAAGTCTGATGATTTTATTTGAAAACAATATTCATCACTTATATGTGTTGCCCTAGTTTAAAATATGGGGATTTCTCACATTCAAAAATTGCTTCAATTACTAAATTAATACTTCTTATTATATCAAAATATACAGTAAGTTCACCAGTCGCATAAAGCATGGCATAGATCCAAGCTGGCTAAATTTGTCACACTGGATTAGCGCAACGCAATTGAACTAACAAGATGAATAGCAAAATACATCGAAAGAATATAGTGGCAATGTTAACGATAAAGAATGACTATTAGAAATATACTTTAAGATGAAAACAGATTAGTAAAGTATGTAGTAAGGAATACTGGGAATCAAGATTGAGTTTATCATGAGAATTTATGTGATTTTCGTCATAAACAATAATACATTTAACAAACGTATATAAATACATACTTCTACAGTTAAATCAATTTGTTTTTGATAATCTTGAAATTCTAATTCATATTTTTTAGCTACTGTAGAGATTTCTTCTTTTAATTTGTATATTTCATCTTTTTTCGTTTCTAAACTTTTTCGCATAGAATCTTTATAGTGTTTTAATTGATTTTGCCAGTGTTCTTTTAATTTGGCACATTTTTTAATAATTAAATTTGATCCATTTTGTTGTTCTGTTAATTTTGTATGATATTCTTGTAAATTTTGTTCATAATTTTTAATTTTACATTTTAATTCTTCTATAGTTCGATAAGAATCTATATTGTTTCCTTCTAATTCTTTACATTTACTAGTTATTTGACATAATTGTTCTTCTAAAGACATTTTCTCTAAACGATGTTCTGCTTTTATTGAATTAAGCTCTTCATCCCATCTGAATACAAAAGATATTGGGAATATTGTGTACTATCATTATCATTATGAACCATTAAAAACAGTGACTGACTACCAGTACGCGACAGCTTAACTCTGAAAGTCTTTTTTGACTACCGTTGGTTAATTCCTCTGGACATGCTGAATAGTTTTGAAACGCTTGTCCAACAAAGTCTTTAATATTACAAGAGGCTTCACTAGTATATAATTTCTATTCACAACTGACCTGTCACTAAGTCGTAGCCAATGTCACATTAGTCTAGTTCTTCAGTTTATCGATGTCTCATACTGTGAAACTAACTGACCAACTTTCGAATCTTACAAGGAGTATCAGTTCCCAAATGATCACATTTGCACATCGCTGACGAGTGCCGACTAGCACAACACTTAGGACAAGATGAGTTTCCAGCTGACTACCTCCAAACACCTAGCGTTTCACTGTACTAATCCTGAAAATTATTCCTACCTACGTTTAATTAATGATTTATTACATAACTGTATATTTTACAGTGTCTATTATACAAGCGTTGATGTATTTTTCAAGCAAATTATTATAGGAACTAAAATATTTCAATCAAATATATGACAGGGTGAACTTTTCATAGTTGTTTCGATCCAATCTCTATAATTTTTTAATAATAAATTCAATTCTTCACCATTTAACCCCTAAAGGTCAATACAGATAAAAAAAATAAATAATTATTACTGAGAAAAAGTAATCTACCAATAATATATTCAAGCTATTGGTAAAGTGAGTACCCAACGCCTTTAATCTTACTTAGCCAGTTAGTTACGTGTGTAAACATACAATGTATCCAAGGTACCGGTTAAAACGTAAACAAATGCACGTGCAATTCCGTAATATCATATATACGTATAAAAAATATATCAATATATACTTTTATGGTATTGTGTCCATTATAATTTCTTAATAATAAATAAGATATTTAAATAAAACGAAAAGACATTTCGTAGTAGTTATTGTTTATAGAATAGATACGAAGACGTTTCTATGAATATTGGTAAATTCCATCCAATAATAACAATGACAAAACTGAGTAAGTCAGTTTTACCGATTTGATATTTAGATTTTAAAATCAATGTGTATTACAAAACAAAACTTGTTGAATGGAAACAACCCTCTTATGTACTGCTATATTTCAAAGTCAACTACTAATTATTGAATTATTAATGGCAAACTACAACAAAGAAGCTCACTGAGTAAGTTGAGTAGCATAAAAGAAAGAGTGTTTCATTGTTGAAATATTGAAACAATAATTGTGTAATTAGTGATGATAGTATGCCTTCAGTACTATGTTAGGTTGATAAATCGATTAGATGTAATGTTACTACATACTTATTTCATCTTCCTTTTCTGTTTCCGCTACTGTTGATATCACTATTCTTAAATATTTTATTTTTATTTTGTTGTACTGATGTGAATCGCAGTAAACTTAGGTGATAACAGGTTTGTACTAGGATAAAAAGTTATTTATGTTGGTTTGACACTTAGGTTGAAGTAAACAACAAAAGGAAACTGTCGTTGAATCACCGGTGTACTATATTTTAAATTATATTTAATAAAGCCCCTAGTAGCTCGCTGTATGGTTTCTTAGCACTCTTATCAAAGAGTCAACATACATTAACTGATACATATCGAGCAAACTTCTCTTCATATCAAAACACCAAGTCATTGACAACCTTTATGTAGCTTTCATCCAAACAATGTCGCATCAAAATGTGATCTGTGTACTTATAAATAGGATAGTGCTAACAGTCTATATGTTGAAGGTTGAAGTCAACGAGTAACAGACTTAAGTTATGTTTATCCAACGTAAATAAAAATTCCCGTAATAAAAAAGATTATGGAATATAGATATACAAAGTATTTTAGTATAATATCTAACTGGCCACTTTTTTAAAAACAATTTTCTAAATGTAGAACGTAACTTTATCTAATAGAAAAAAGGATAAATGGTAAATGAACCAGAATTTAGTTTATTAGAAGAGCTTTGAAACCAATGAAAATATAGCATCATCCTATTGAGGTATACAGATTCGCAAGATCAACGAAATTTGAAAGTGATAGGTAAATAAACGTTTTTGAAAATACAAAGGTATGTGCGTACAATTTCTTCTAAAGGAAGTCCATTAGATTTCATGTTTTTCAAAGTTTCATCACTATTCGTTTAAACCAACTATCGATAATAATCATAGAACTTACTGAGCACGAACTGATTGATATTGGTTCTTAAGTTCTTCTATTTCTTTATCTTTTCTATTTTCAGACTCTTTAGCTAATTTTATAGCAAGATCTTGTTTGGCCTCGTTATCTTTCCAACCTCTTGTCAAACGACCTAAAGTTGAATCTAACTGACGTAATAAAATATCTTTTGTTGAAGACTCTATTGTTAAAGAATTGACAAGAGCTATTTTACGCTCCAATTCAATAGAAAGTTCATTAATCGACGACTGTTTCGCTAATAATGATTTTTCAAGATTTCTTATCTATAAAACAAGAGATACATATATTTGAACACTAAGCATTCTTAAATGAGCTTCATCCAGTGCAGATAACGAAATAAATAAAAAAAAACGACTACTCCAAACTTTTGATTGATTTACTGATTGGTGTGAAAATTTATATGCAACTAATATTCTCGAAATCTAGAAGGATTCTGTTAAGAAAATAAACAGTTCTGAAAAGTTCGTAATTACTGAATGAGACCAAAGAAGGTCGATATTATGTCTAGGTTACTTTAATTATATATTAAGTCAGTGATTATTAATTACAGGGTTCTATTAACTGTATTACTGTTACTGGATGCAAAATCATAGTGAGATAACTAATGGAAGGAAAACGCGGTGCGAATCATAAAGATGGATAAAACTGACATATACTGAAAGTTAATGAATAGAAATAATGGAGATGCGTTGAAAATGACTGAACAAAAACCACCTTAAATTAATATGCAAAATAAAGAATGGTCTTTTCCTTATACGCTGTATTTTGGAGTGTAGTGTCCACGTCAACTTATTTCTAAATCCACACTTTTTTTCAGGTAATTATGTGAATTAAATACGTACAAAATTTTTTATTGAGCACTCATACATCGGGTTTATCGAGTCTATCTATCCCACATTCGGGTATTCAAATTAGAGAAAGGTAATCTAAATCCAGACAACCAATAAATTGACAGCGAGTCATATAAGAATGTATGGATCATATATTGTGAGAGCGAGTGATACTCCTTAACGGAATGAGATTCGGTAGGGGTAGAAAGGTATGGACTTGTGATGTATCACAAAAACAATTGGACGTCTAGAACAATAAACGATTTAATGGTCGAGGGTTTAATAGCTAAGTTAATAGACTAATCTAACTCTAAGATCACACTTACATTTATTTTGAATATGATTAATAGAGACTAAGATATTTACAGCTGGAAGGGACATTCTCTTTATTTTACGTAAGGAATTCCATCAACCTGTACAATTCTGCGGAAAAAGGAAAATATGTTACATAGATAACGGGAGATACTATTAGGTAGATTGGATGTCACACATAACCTCGTATACATCGTCATTAAGCATCGAATAATAAGTTTTGGTATTCTGAAGGCTATAGAAAAACCCAGTTGCACTTGAAATTATTTGACTGAAAAGTGTAGCAACCTAAAATAATTAATTATTGTAATGGGGTTCAGGTTGTTCAGTTTGGAATATTCTTTCTAAAATCAATTGTTGCAAACTTAGTCCTAAAAAATAATTACACATTTACTGCATCAATAATTATGAGTGGAACTGTGTAAATAGTATTTACTTGATCGTTTGACTGCTTCAATTCAGCGATCAATTTCTCAGTATTCGATTGGTAGTCGCGTAAATTATCTTTTATACGCAAGGAAGATTCTTCAGAGTTTGGCGGAGCAGCTGAGGCAAAAAGTTCAACTGTTGTGGGGAGGTGTTGATTTTCCGACAAAATAAATCCATTTTCATATTTATGACAACAGGATTTCTCAAGTGAATTGACATTCTTCAAATTTCTTGAATCATAGTTCAATGGATTTTGGTCTACTGTAGTAAAATGAGCAAGATTGTGATCAATACGACGAGACTGATGAGCAGAGTGATGAGAATTAGTTAGAACACCTTCATTTCTGCTTGTAAGAAATTGGAGTTTAAAGATTTATTTAAACAAGCAACTTAGATAGGGAAAATAAACAATATGAATAATGAAAGTTGAGCACAAAATAAGCGATAAATAATGTGTAATTTGATCCCGGATGATGTTACACAGTAAGTGGAACAATTTGAAAAGCACTAAATCGATTTATAAGAGGAATAAATTAGTCAGCTATTTTACGGAAGCATGTTAATATAAATGGCATAACATCTCAGTTTTTTTCATACGTAATAATCAGTCAAATAACTCCCAAGGAACTCGTTTATCGAGTAAAATTTAACATACTCAGCATTGCGTATGTGATGACTAGTTATACTACTCAGTTACTCAGAAGTAATTATGTAGCGTAGCAACTAAACATGGGATATCCGGTTGAAACCCAAAAGTTGTAAGCTGCCATGGTTTAACCGTAAGCAACCGAAGTAAACAATGTTAACATGTCGTGTCTAAATCACCCGACAGGAAACCAATGAAGTCGTCTTTTAGAGGTACTAAACATCTTCAGCTGCAAATAAAACCTAGGTTGACATAAAATCCGAAGAAATCGTGCGATACTGGCTGCTATATTCTGCACAGCACAAAGAATGGGATGATATAGTTAAACAATAATTAGGCCTGCAATTCATGTATTTATTTCGTTGATGTATGAGTGACTTAAGAAATTCATATCTTTCAATAATTCGTTTGTTCAGTGCCACAATTAAGTGAATATCTTGAACCTAATATTCGGTATTTAGGAATTTTACTCTACGACATAAAAGGATCTATCCTATTATTTAGTTGTTTTGACTTTTGATAACAATATATTTCAGGATTTACGCCAATAACTCAGATTCCTCATCAGCTATCATTTGACCCCATCGAATAACTGAGCAATATCTATTGACTTCAGTTCTAATCTTACGTCTCAGTAAAATAAAAACATGTATCATCAAACCATAAAATCCTAATTAATAGCATGACAGTGTTAAAGATCAGTTGAATTGTTTTTTACAGTCTGAAAAAAGCTGTGAGTAGTAGTTCAAAGTTATGAATCAACACTGATCAAAGTATACGACGAACATCTCAGAAATATACCCCATCATTACAAGCTATTCATACTAGTATCAGCCTTACTAGCGATTTACCTGAAAGACATTATTTGCCGATAAAACTATAGGCCAAACAGATTTAGGCAAATTAAAGCCTTCTGACAATGTTTCCTCGACAACATTAACCTCAAAATCTACAAGACATTTAGCACCATCTTCCAAAAGTATACGGCTGTGAAAGATACCATTTGTTTATGCAGCAGACTTTATTTTTTGAGTATGTGAATCTAATTAAAAGCAACCTTATGACAGATCAAACATGTAAATGCATTGGCTAGGGTAATATTATATGAACATGAAAAAATATATACAGTACTTGATCTTGCATAGTAATTCAGAGGTTTTCTTCAGCAAGGGATCCAGATTTTCAAAACATCTGTCAATGTCAGATGTGTGAACCCTGAAAGTCAACTATGGCAACACTTACATTGAAAACTTGATTGCAGAATAAATGCTTAATAGACCAAACAATACTGTAGATGTCTAAAATTCAATAACAAAGATAAGAAGATATCCTAAAAGCTTCCAATACACCGTACTTATGAACCGACCTCCTGATAAAGTGCAAATCTGAAATACAAAAGAAATCCTGCAAAATAAACAACCCAGGTAGTGGTGGAATAAACAACGTTGGATAAGATCTGTGAACTCCCAAAGGTCTTACTTTTCGTGCATACTCTCCTTGCGTATTAACGACCAGCCTCAATTCACGATTAAACTTGTAGATATATGATGATTTATATGATTTAGGAAAATTAAGAACATAATAACTAAATTAGTCTCAGACCATATCGTAACTCTTGAATACAAAAGTCATTCACTTGAACCCATGAGTTATAACTTTTTGCTTCCTGAGGTGAGCATGCAGAAAACAAATATCATGAGCAATAAGTCAGGGCTTCTAAGGTGACAGACTTGGTTGTCAACAATTCCGTTTGTCAGAGTGGCTTTGCAGTTTGTATCTTTAGTGCCCTCTGTTGACTCCACGAATGACAATGATGATGAGATGTAATTCATTAATTAATTTCGAGCACCAAACGTAGATTAACTCGGTTATGTGAAGGTGGCAACTAAAGACAAATAAAAAATGTTCTGGGATGGATTTTTTGGAGCATTTATATGCAATGAGTCGGAAATGAAGAATAAATAAATTATGCTTAGGAATTCAACTAACTCTGAATCCATGAAATAAGTTTACGTTTCAGATAATATAAAAAGCAGAAAAAGAGTAGTAAAGATAGATTTTGTTCTTCCAGCTTTAAGAATTTCTCCCATTATCATACTTGAATGCAAGATATTGAGACCGTCGGAGTTCTATTTTTCCATAAAGTGACTTCTCGTAAAATTTTGGAACACATTTTCAAATACTTATATTTAAGTGTCACAAACAGTAAAAAAAGACTCAATTATAATATTAATTACATTCAAGTTATTGCTTAGATGATAATTAATAGCTTCACTTTCTCACAAATTACGAACAAAACCTCCTTACAAATGGTACGGTTAAAAATAAACACCTTTGTGTTAAGCGGCTAACAATTGTACTAGGTGTTTTACCTCAGTTAAAAAAGGCAGGACTGGATTGTGATACCATTGAGTATGGCGTTTGAAGAAGTGTCTTGAACTTTTTTATGTTCGAAGTCTAACGGATGTTTGATTTGATGACTAAAATGACACACAAGTTTCGACCGAATCAGACATGATCGCTTTCTTTAAGGGTATATGAAATAGACGGTTGATAGGAGGGACGTATTTGACCGATGACCTTTTAATTGGATACGAAGAAAATAATAAGTCTCATGTCAAGTTGTACTGTCCTCTGGTGTGTAAAGTTCAGCCTCTATTAGTTTTGGATCCAGTGGTGTGTGTAGAGCAACTAATGTGACGTAGAATCTTCTAGAGAGAGAACATAAATTAGGAGAGAGTTCTAAGATTAGGCAAAAAAATGCAATTCACGAACACTTAGCATTCGAAGTAAAAGTTATTGTCGTAAGGATTTTAGTACTAGACGGGAAGTGACGGTCGAAAGTTTGCGTTCAGCTAATAGTGATTAATAAACTATCGATGTTTTCATAGTGTCGGCCAATAAGTTTCTAAAATAAAGTTATGCAATTCTTCAACACTGATGCCGACCGCATTAGTATTTTGGACACACTCTAGCTAAAGGCACTCGATCACACATTTGCGCTAGATCACGAGTTGTTGCGCCGTGCTAAGCATCTCTTGCATTAGCTATCCAGCAATCGCCCCTAAACATATCGACGGCCTCTAAATATATATTCGAACCCTTTCATTTCTGACTTCTCAGTTGACGTGGACTGATATACTTCGATTAAAAAGGTGTGGCGTGTAAAGCTGTTCTCGAAATGCGCATAACTGTGGCAACGTCAAGGATATTAATAATCGTGTTTGTGGAGCAGGAATCAAGATCCATTTAACTAACATTCTACAAAACTACCACCTTATTCATATAGTTGTATTGTAAATATACAGTGGGTCATTAGTCATAAATCGATAATGTTCGATGTGGAATAATGATTGGTAATTTGTTTTAACGTTTGAAAACCTTATTTTGCTTCTACAACTGACTCTGGCAAATCTTAGAAATGTCGGAAAGCATACAAGAATGTTTGCATTTGTATTTGGAAGATAAAAACGGTAAATCTTGCATAATAACTTATCTTTCAGTGACACATGTCGAAAGAGCATTCACATTATTGAATTTAGCGTCCAAGTCATGGAAACCTGGAAGAACTTTGCCTATACAAGCCATGATATATTACATTTGGCTGTAGTTGCTGCTGAGGTATAAAGCTATAGATAATTTTCAATTTTTCTTTATTTACGTTTTAGGCAAATATAAGCGGTACCGCCATTTCGGTCATTAATATTTTTGAGAGTGTTTTTGGTGGTAATAATGAATTTTCAGATCTAGTGTCATTACTTTTCGCCGAAATATTGTTTCAAAAAAGTGAATTTTCCATTGTAATCTTTAATATAAAGTAATATTGAGTTTTAGAGCACGATAGGTCTGGCCATGGGTCACGTTGAAAAATCGATTTACTTTGCCACTGAGAGTGATCATCAAATTATTGTCAATAATTTATTGATTCTTTTATACAAGTTTGTACGAATGAAAGCAACATTATTCAAGAGAGCAGAACTACCTCTATTCTTAAGGCCGAAATTGAAGTTGCTGATGGATATTCGTATTAAAGATTACTCTTTTATATTACGTTTTGGAATGTGAGAATTTCATATTTTTCAAAATATACTTGTGTACATTTTTTGCCCAAACGCATGAAATCTTTTCAAGCAAAAACATTAATATGATGAACTTTTTTAAGGATAGCTATTTCATTAATTAACGAAACCAGTTTTCCATTTTCAGCTAATTATAGGGTTAGAGTCACTTTTTCAAATATGCCTTAGAATCTCTTGTAATACCATTTTCCACAATAAATTTTCGGCCAGTCACTGGTTTTCCCATCTCAGTGAATTATAAAACTGCACAAAGAGTTGGAAAGTGAGAAGTGTTTGGCCAATTATAGTTACGTAATTAATTTTTCATCAAACTGTTAGAATGTGACTATAACAGTATCCGCTTGGTCAAAATAGTTTTGTTTATTCGAAGTCATTACAAAATTGGTGTTTAGCTTATGTAAGATTTACTTTAATAACGACATTACTTTTGAGAACATCATCTTTTAAGTAAGTATGACAGTGAAGTTTCGTAGATATCGAAATTTTCATACAATATTTTTTTATCCTTCAAGAGAGAAATGTGAGATATACATTACTCACTTGCTTAATTACGCCTATCTCCCCTTATGGAGCAGCATAGGCTGAACTACATCAAACTCAACCATGGGCAATACTTTACAGTCGCTATTCATTCTTTTGATGGCTGCATCCGATTCGCAACCCAGTGTGTTCCTTGGTTTTTGTCTTCTTTTAACTTCAGGATACCAAGTTAGGATTTGCCTCGTGATGCAGTTTGATTATTTCCTCGTTATGTTTCCCATCCACTTCCAATATCTTTTCTTAATTTCTCCTTCAGATGGAAGTTGGTTTGTTCTCTCTCACAGTAGTCTGTTGTTGATGATATCAGGCCAACTGACATTCCGTATCTCACGTACACAACTATTTATAAATACTTATACCTTTTTGATGATGACTGTGATAGTACTGGAAGTTTCATTCCCATATTGTAGAAGTATCTTGACGTATGTATTGAAAATTCTAACTTTGATGTTCGTTGACATTTTTTTTGAGTTCCAAATATTATTCAGGTGTAGGAATGCTACCCTTACTTATCCAATCCTTGCCTTCATATCTACAACAGATCATCTTTGTATGTTGATCATGCTGATAAGCTACGTGGGCGTTACCACCTCATCCAGGGCTTCTTCATCAAGTAGATTGGGTTGGTCGATGCACTCTGTTTTATTGTAGGATTTTGCCTGTTATTTTTATATGTTGGGGACTACTGATGCAGAGGCTACTGCTATACTGTCTGTCGTCTTCTGCATTTGTCGGTGTGTATGGTATAGAAGAGATAGATTATCTGCAAAGTGAAAATTGTCTAGTTGCATGAAAACTGTACATTGTTTTTCGTGATTCCTCTCAGATGTGAAGGTCTTCATAATCAACTCAACTAACATAAGAAGGAATCTGTACTGTTGATCTCAAATCTGTGCGTCTACTAAATCTTTCATCCGGCTCAGCAACACGCTGTTGGAAATTTCTCAACTTATTGATAATAATGTGATACCTCTGTAGTCCCCACACTTGCTCAGATCTCCTTTCTTTGATATCTTGATGAAGTATCCTTCATTCTAGTCTGTTGGCAGTTGTTACGCTTCCCAAGTTTTCCCGAATAAGAAATGGAACGTGTTTGCAGTTAGTTCTGTGTCTGATTTCATTGCTTCAGGTGGTATGTTGTCCTGTCCTCCTGCATTCCCGATCTTGATTTGTCTGATGGCCATCCTGATTTCTCCTATCCTTAGTGGAGTGACATCTATAGGAAGATATGTGCGTGCTGCTTAGATGTTGGGTGGGTTCAATGGTTCTGATTTATTCAAGAGTTCTTCAGTGTGTTCTATACACCTGTTATTCTTTCGTTGAATCTCAGTGATTGGCTTGCCTTCTTTGTTACTGGTCGGTGTCTATGGTTTACTGTATTCCCCTTCTAGTTCCTTCGTTGTACCATGCGGTTGTCTAATATTTTCTCTTCCAACTTTTCCTACTATCGCGGCTGGGTCTTCGACATATTTCGACTTGTTGGATAGTTTCAATTCGAATACTTTAATCAAATAGTTTGTGCATCACATGTTCACTTCGGATCGACGCACAGAAATGTAAAACTTCGGGCTTTGTTTTAGGTTTACTATAAACAGCACATACTCAAAACGTACTAATAAACAGAGTAATATTGAGTTGACATTATTGCCGCCGTTTTTCGTTATATTGGCTCATCGTCGAATAGCAGGAAAGTTTCAAGGTTTGGATTTTAACTAAACTTACTCAATGCTTGTTATAGGCCGAGAGTTTCTAGATAGTAATATAATTTTGGTCTGTTGTCGAAAATCTTTTTTTTCAGCAAACTCTTGATATAAACAGGTATTCAGTTTAGAAATCTTATGACAAATTTTTCTCCAAAGTGAGACTTGTGACTCCTATGGATTTCAAAACTATTTCTAAAGAGTGTAAATTAAATACAATATTTTATTAATACCCACTTATTTGGTAACTTTCCACATAATCTGTTTTACAGACTTCTTATCGAAACATTCATTCAAGTCGGATCAAGAAAGGAAGCGAGTCAGTTGTTAGATACGTTAGCTGGTGGTGTTGCACGTCACGTTCCTGAACAAATGGTTGAACTTCTTGCAGCTGCCAGTGGGGGCAACCTAACGAGCGCTGAACGCTATATAAACTGGGCGCTTGGAGTGTATAGTGGTAATCAAACAGAGTTATCCATAAACCAGCCTACCAAAAGTTCTGTGTCTCAAGCAAAAGAGCGGAATATACCGATGAGTGGACCATTGGCACATAGTTTAATCAGCTTTGGAATAGTACCCTCAAGTCGTCTAGCAAGGCTACGAGCAAGGTATGTTTGAACGCTAGTGCTATGAAAGTGTGTTGCTTTAATAAATATGGAATCAAATAAAAAAATACTTTTTGAATCTTCAGGGTTCGTGATAACCATAAGTGTAGTAATTTCAATAGATACATCTCATGTCATTCCGATATTTTACTCATCATAAATGGTCAAGAAGTATTGTTCAGTTCAACAGTAATTGTTAAAATGCTATCAACTTCCAAATTATTTAGTATTTTAACGATATGAAAGTTTTAGAAGGAAAATTAACTATTTATACTCACTACTGTCCTGGGGTATAGGTCTCTGACCAAGAATCGCCAAGTAACTCTCTCCTGGGTCGTCATTTTCATTTATTACGGGGTTCCATTAATGGTTTTAATTTCTGTCTCTGATTATCAAAACAGTTAGTTCTTTGGTTGTATTACATAACTCTCTCATATTTCTTCTCTTTCGGCTTGTTTTAATGTAGTTGTTGGGTTTTCCACATATTTTCGATTGTCAGTTCTTCTTTCCTTGTTTGTTTGATCCTGTATATATTCGACATTTATTTAGTTTCAGTTTTAGCTTGGCCACCATTAGGTAGTAGTCTAAAACCACACCAGTTTATCTCTATATTTTCACACCTTGGGTGAACTCCTGTATTTTTCACACAGATGCGATAAATATGCTTTTGTGTAGTATTGTCTGGTAAAATCCATGTGGCGTTCTGCACATATTTGTTGGGAAAAATGGTGCTGACCATAACCATGTTGTTGAAATCACAGAAAACCTAGTAGTTGGCAACTTTAACTTTTTTTCCTGCAGTCCATGCTGCTACTTTCCGTTTATTCCACACTAACCTGAGGACTCAAACTTGCCATCTGGATGGTCAATCCCTTTACCAGGTATTTATGTCGGGTGAATTACAACATCTCACCTCCATCGCAACTACCAGTGAATTCATTACACTGTTTTCTGGTCATTTCATTATTTTTCTTCTTTGTAATGAAGGATGCTTTGATGACCTTGAAGCCATGGGTTTTCTATCCGATTAGTAATTTTCTGCCTCTTAAGATAACATCAGTGTAACTTCCCGTACGCGTATGAGGAATGGAATTTTCTCTCTGATGACTGGAGTGCAAAAATTACTCTTCTGATTACAGTCTTTTATGTCTAGGTTACATTCAACTAGTTTAACATTTTCTAAGCTAAATCAGGTTGTATTTTCTTATTTCTGTGTATATTTGAAAGGCCCTCGTGGCTTCCAAGGATCCCTAGCTTCCATCATAAGGCTGGATAACTCTTCTACATAAATACTATGCTCCTTCTAGAGTCGAGATTATTCTCTCCTGTTAGCAGTTCTGTAGTTAGTGATTTTACTAGGCTGAATTAATAAACCAACACACAATTGTTCTCTCATACCCATACTTAAAACTGAAAATAGCCTCAGAAAGGCTCCAGACGTAGTTGGAGTAAAACTTCTTAGTTTTTAATATCATCCTTTATTGAACATCTAGCCAGTGTCACATGAAATAATTATTCTTAAAAACCGTTATGGGGTCAAGAAAATGTAAATAGTTTGGGCAATCAGATATTCTCCATCATTATCTAACCTATTAGATGTTATTTTAATGGATTTTAACAGAGAAAAATATAGTAGTTTTAAATATAACTTGATTAGATAGTTTCTTACCTGCGGATAGTCTACCTAAAAAAGGAGTTATCGATCCGGCTAGTAAAGAATCTCAAGACCTATCAAATCTTCGTGAAGTTATTCCCGAAAATTTGCTCTCTTCATTAGGTTTCGTTAAACTTACTGATACAGTAGTGCCACACAAAGAATAATGTACAATATGGGTAAAGTGATCAACTAAAACATAAGATAAACGAAGCAGCAATCTTACTCAAGTTTGCGATTAGGAAAAATTCTAATCCTCAGTGACTTACGACAATAAATCCAACATGTCCAAGTATGCAAGCGATAAGTTCTAGAAAGTTGGCGAATGATGTCTAACCTACAACACCAATAATGAAGTAATCTACAATGTGATATTGAGGTTGCTAATTCATTGACATTTGTACCAAGTAAATGAAAATACCTACTTTAGACTCTAAAACATCGTATAGTACTTTGTATGAGTTAGGTTAGCAATAAAGACTCTTTTAATGTACCAAAATCCCTAACTAATTTACTTAAAAGGTATATTTAATGATAAAATATTACAAACAACAATGTTTAACGTGATTATAATGTAGTTTTTCTATCGCTGATTATGTTTTCTTTGATAGCACAAAAAATCCAAGTGAACAAAGTGAAGAATTTTTGAAAATTCTACGACTGCTTGAAATTCAAGATGAAAACAACGAATTACTAACGGATAAACAATTAGAGAATAAAATATTAAACATCGGAGATTCACCAATCGATGATATTAATTATAGTAGTAACAATACTGAAATGATCAATAACTCTGAGGAGATCATAGATGATGTGCTTTCTCCTAAGTTTTTAACCACTGAAACTCGGTAAACATAAATAATATTATGATTTATAAGCTGTTTTTTCATAAATTATTATAAAGGCCACATAAAAGCGAACAATATTGTTTCCAATTAGATTGTCATCAGGTTTTACTCTAACATACAGTAAGATTTATATAAAGTATCAAATCAATAAAGACTATTTTTAAGTTAGTGATCATAAATAAATAAATTCATCAACTACACATAATAAGTAAAAAGTGCAAACCGGCAGTACGTAGACAGATGTACTAGAAGTAATAAGAATACTAAAATGATGAAAGTCCAACCAATATTTTAACATAGGAGGCAGGTCAAACTAGGGTAAATGGAGATTAGAATAATAGTCACTAAAAGTTATCAAAAACAAATGTAGTTAAAAGTATGCAGGTAATCAGATAGAGAAGAATGTAAACTGGAATGAAGCAGGTCAAACAAATACAGACAGTGAAAAAACTAGCGAAACAGTTTGTCATATCTGGCCAAAGAGCTTCAGGGAATAGGATTCTAGGTTTGGATCCCTATAGATTCTATCATATGTAGGCGATGAGGTCGAACCACATTGGGAACAACGGAGGTATACAAATGATCACTTTAAGTAATTTGGTTTTGTCCACCAGATATACAAAAATAGAGCTACATATTGTTTTCGACTGTCACCTTACAAACCATACAGGGTGCTGTTCATTCATTCGTTAGTTAATTTGTCTGTTAGTTCACCCAAATGAATATGATTAAAAGTCAGCAGAGTTTAAATTACTGAGAAATTTCTGTGGTTGTTTCCAGGTGGAATTACACTTTTATTTAAAGCATCATGGAAAAGAAGTGCTTTATACTTCCTCAGCTCATTATCTTGGGTTTATCGGGATGTATCCTTTTAAGATAAACCCAATTTACCCAACATTCTTTAATGAAAATGTCATTTTCTAAAACCCCGAAGGTTTGAGTTTTCTCCTAAAGAAGTTTCAAACTGAGACTTGTTTTTGGCTTGATACTTCTTATTACTATTATAGATCTGCCTACAAATCGTTAATGTCCAACCTTCACATTAAAGCAGATAGCTGGCCTTGTGGTAAATATTTTTATTATTTATTAGTTATCAATTCATCACTTACCTAAGTCGTAGCTGAATATTAATCCTAATTCATGCTTCTTTGTTTTATTTCTCGATTACAGATTCAAATTACTAGTGAGCTTGACACAATTGGCTCTTGATCGTGATCTACTGCATATTTGCTTAAAATGCATCAAGCAATGCGAGAGTATTATCGAGAAAGAAAAGTTATCGGTAGTGAATCTTTCTATCACTTAATAGTTTGCATTATATTCAAAGAGTTTTTATGGCTTTTTAGTAGACATACGTTTGGGATAGATGAATGTTTTCATGGTTGGATTCTGTTGATATAGGCAATTATATTTAGGTTTGGTAACTGTCGGCTCCCATTAATAATCACATGTACGATTTAATATATTGATAGGTTATTTAGTTTAGATGTCAAACTTTAAGTTTGTTTAACAATAATGCAATTAGCGCTTGGAGCTGGACAGAACAATAGTGGTTAGTATGGAACAGCTGATTTATGTGGTTGGACTTTCGTTGCAACTGAAACCACATCATTGTATTAGTTAGTATCTGATTAGATAACAACATACCCCTGCTAACTTTATTTATCACTCTCCGCAACACAGCAAAAGCTTTTCTCAAAATACGGAGAAAGAATAATCGAAAACAGTAAAGAATAATAGGTAACATGAATAAATTAACAAATCGTAAGAGTAAATTTCGAGTAATGCTAAAGGCATATAACCTCTTTACATAATAAGCCGGACAGAAAACTTTCTTTGATATTAATAAAACATAAGAAGACCAAGAGAGACCAAAATAAAAACCTACACAAGGATAAATGACCTTTGACACTGTTTTTAATACAGAATCTCCAATAGTACAAGCTTTATCAGATTCCAACAGCGTACTTAGATGCTGTTCATGTCTCCGACTGACGTTAACAGTTTGATATTTAGAAGGATAAAGTGTGAGACTATCATTCAATGAAATACAGGAACTCATTCATTTCAAGGGAATGTGAACAGGTAGAAATCGGTGTATTTACAATGAGGTCATTCACATACTTAAAAAAGTGTTTTTTATGGAAGATGGCAGATTATGAAAACAAAAAGGGAAAAAAAGAGAGGAAAGAACAATCCCATGTGACATACCTTCATGAGATAGTAGAGACGTAGAACATTCTCCTCCAAACACGGCGTACTGTTCTCTTCCAGAGAGGTAGGAACATAGCTAGTTGGTTATCCAGCTGTCAGTTCTGACGCTGACCAAATTGTTGCGTATAAGCTGTCTTGAAAAAGTCAAAGACAGAAGCATAGTCCAGGAAAGTTCATCGAACTTACATCTTACCCTTTTCTAAGCTGAACACTATTTTATGATTCGGAACAACAGCATCATCTAAGGCGCTTCTTTTGCATCTGTAAGCAAGTTGATACGGACCAATGTGCTCTTTTAATGCAGGTTGAAATGGGAGTATCAATAATTTTTCCATTGTTTTGAGGAAAGGTGAAGTTATTGTTGTTTTACACCAAAAGGTTTTAAAAAGTAATGTTTGTGAGCTGCTTAGAGCTATTATCACATAAAGATTCATTTGTATTGATTATATGTATTTTACTATTGATGTTTATGATAACAGTCGACTAGTCTGTTTTGCATATGTGCATTTTGTACAGATGGCCTCGATGTTTCCATAAAATTAGAAGGATTATAAACAGAGTTACACAAGTCAGTGGCTATCTGTATTCAGTAGCTAAGTCAATAATGCGTTAAGCGTTTGAAGTAAAATGTACTTCATTCAAGTCCCGTGATATGAGATGCAATTGTTTTCACTACAAACTTATATATCGTCAAACGACCAATAAAACCCGAGGATAATTTACTATCTACTCCATTCTAGTTTACAACTTTTTAGTATTGTAAATTATTTCTTCTGTAATCCGTAGACATTGAAATTCAATGATTGACATTTATTAACCAGATGTACTGCCGGTTCATTGTTTGTAAAAAAATATATGGATTTTATTAATATTCACAAAGGATTTAGATTTGCTTGGCAAAGACTAAACAACTTTATGACAGATAATTGTCAGGATCAAGTTATTTATTTCTTTTTATGCTTTTTTCACCATTAAAAATCTTTTTTGATTCACTGGGATTGTAATAACGAATATACTAGTTTATAAATTCATATTAGTACATCACTATAATCTATTCAGTGTTTAACGATACTAACTGAATTAAGTGAAGTGGTTTATAATTTCATATTTCAGTTGATGGGGTAGGATTATACCTTAATGAATGAAATAATTGATCATTTAAAATATTCTAATATCTTGATTTATTTTATAATTTCACGTATATAAACGTAATGAACTGTAAGATTCATCGTTCAGTCAATCTCATAATACTGTTACTTAAGATGAAATACATCATTATCTTTTACTTACTTAGAACAAAGAATCAGCTTCAATGATGTTCCATTTTCTTTCACTTGAAATAAACACTCAAAACCTTGTGGTGAAGGTAGCCAAAACTTCTAATCAGTACTTATCAGTAAGTTTTACATGATATTCTGATGAGTTTTCATTTTATGAAATATATAATATGTATATGAAATAATATTTTCATAGCTAATATGGATGAATTAAACCTTTTAGACCGGCTCATTCAAACTTATTGTTCAAAAATTAGACGATATGATTTATACTAACAGTACCTAATTACTGATTACCATCGTAACTTGATAGCTTATTGAAGTAAAGCTTGTTGAATTAGACTAGATGTGAATACACCAACATTGAAAGAGAGGAAATAAAAATATTACGACGGAATAATCTAAACCATTTCGAATTGAATTAAATCTCATACCGGTTGCACAAGTGTGTGACTGTCTGGACTCAGTAGCCAAGTGGATAACGCGATAGTTTTTGAATAAAACGGTACTGGTTTGGAGTCCCAGAGCAAGCACATCCACCTGATGTGTCCCAAATGTGCAAAACGCGTATTTTACAAACCAATGCCAACTACATTCCATCTGTTCTATGCGAACTTGTGTAATAATGACTATATTGAGGTAATCCGCTCAGGATGCTTATATACCAACCAGGACTTATCAGATTTTAATTAAAAATATCAACAACGGGATAATCCAAATCATTTGAAATTGAATTCAAAGAAATAAAGGTGTCAAGTGGGAATTTTTCACCGTTTTAAACGATGATAGTATGTCATCGTTTTTAAGATATCGACCAGTTTTCTCATTAAACAGTTATGTATTCGATATTCTGGAAATAAAAAAATTTATTGATAAATGGGAACATTATGCAGTTGCGAAGTTCTGTAGAGAGATCAAAAATTGCATTATAGGTAGTTGATCCTATAAAAGTGCCATAGTTACTAAAAAGAGACTTATATAGTTGGTTTCACATGAACTCTGGGACAGACTGAGAACTCAATAACTCATTAATGAGGTAGTTTTTGCGAGGTATTAGCAAATCCTGACTACAACAAGCTGTTCAGATATGCAATCTACAATATATTCAGTTTATCATTGTTTTCGACCTTCAAATGAGTTGTGGTATGTTCATGTGATCAAATTATAAAATTCTAATATTTCTAAATCCTTTCTTTGGTCCCCATGTTTTTCATATTAAACAATCGAATAAGCTGGACGTTACTGTCCTACGTTTCTTGTTAAATGAAATCTAACTTGTGTGAATTTTATTTATAGATTACTAACTTTTCTAATCATATATTTTTAGGTTCATTATCATGGGATGCAGAAGTGTTATAATTTATTAGAACAATGTTTATCCTCTCCTACCTATCAACCAGAAACAATTATTCAAGGTTGTCTTACTTTGTGGCGTTTATGTTCACCACTGATACAGCATAATTCACAGACTAGGCTAAAGACATTTAAAAGTTTACAATTGATCAACCATCATTTAACTAAACAAGATAGGTGAGAACAGTAATTCTAAAATATTTGATATTAATTCAAAAAACTAATTGCATTAATTGCTTCATACTTATCTTTAATTGTACTTATCGAGGAGATTGATGAATTTGCTAGGTTTTTGATTAAATGCTACTGGTGAATAACTCGAAGAATGCAACAATACCGAGGTGATTTCATGACTATTCCAAGAGATGAGATCATCTTAATTTTATCACTAAATAGTAAACTGAAGCTTAATGAGTATTGCTATGAGATAAATGTTACTGTTAATGAAATTAAAAAAAACTTTTAGTTTAAATGAAGTGTGTTTTATAAAGTTACATAGGCAGGAAATTTTAATACCTAATATATAGTGACTAGTGAAACACCAGATACAAAATTGATGTAACGTTAATATAAATTAAGAGATTGAACGTAGATGAAAACTAATAAGCTTGGAAACATTTGATTTATTGTGATAATTAGGAGTATTTGAATTACATTACGAACTAAGAATCCCAGAAATAACGTAATAGGATCAAGAAGTACTAGATAAGCACAAACGAATGCACTGTATTTAGAATTCGAAATCAAGCATTCAATAAGCACAAAGGGATCATTAGTTCATTCAAACACCACATTTATGTAACTTGATTAATAATACATTTCACTATTTCGATAATGTAATAAGACGACGAAGATTATCTTATTACATTATCGAAATTTATCAAAGGGACCAATTGCTTTACATTTCACTATTTCTGAAAATATAAATTGCTAATCCAAGAGTAATATATGTATATAATCTCAGTAAAAAAAAGAAGAAATCACAAAATACGTAATTTTTTGATGAAATATTTTCAGTTTATATTTTCGTCTGAGATGTGAAGTGCATATGATGATAGCCTATTGTCAAGCTGATATGGAACAAATCACCGAGGCTTTAGACAGTATTGACAAGGTAGGTTTAAAATAATAGTTACATTGCTTTTTTTTCTCTCAATATCATATATTTTCGATCTTACAAGTGGTTGGACAGAAATGATATATCATATTACTTATTTGTAATCAGTAGCAAACAATAAAGATATAATGTTCTATTCTAAAAATTTGAAATTTTACATACGCAGTGTATATTTAAAAAAAAATTACCAAGGAGTCAACGTAAATGATATTTTAGATTACAGGAACCGTTTTCTCAGTATAGGGGTTGTGGAGATTGTTAAGTTTCTGATTGAGATCATGAATCAATTGATGTTAGACCACCGTTGGAAACCTGGAAGCACTGGACGGCCGTTTCGTCCTAGCATGGGACTCTTCAGCAGTGCGCGTCCACGATCCCGCTCCCTTCGAATCTCCCATACTAGGACGAAACGGCCGTCCAGTTCTTCCAGGTTTACAACGGTGGTCTAATATCAATTGTTTCAAGGAACCGTTTTATTTAAGTCTTACAAGCGTTCTTAATTTTCATTCTACTAATTATTGTATAAAGAAAACGTTATACCTCTGGGAACCAACGTTTACTGAGACAAACAAATTATAATTTATAAACGAAGTCAAATATGAAGTTTTAGAATGTGTGTCCACGTTTTATTTTTGTCTTTCATTCATTGCAACACGGTATACTACAAACATTCTCTCTGGTTGAATAAAGCTTGTTTATTCAATGTATTCCAAATTATGGTGTCTCTTTTTGCTACTTATCATCCCAGAATTCTACTAAATCAAAGGACTGCTGAAGATTAGAGAATATTAGATAGTATTATTTTTTTCACTGCTCAATACATTTACAATACACGTCAATATCTTTTCGAAGAGCCGAACATGTTGCATATATATTGCCACAAATACTGAACTTGTCAATTCTTTCTATCAGAAACTGAAATGAATAAATCTTAATTTTGAATTCATACTTTTGAGGATGTTTATTTTAGTAGTGCAACTTTACTCAGTCGAAACTATGTATTGTAAGCAATTCAATCTGAAGAGCACAGAAAACTGTTTATTTCCTTGAGCTACATTGAGTGCCTATCTTCATTTGCTACATCGAGCGTTTACAAAATATGATATTAACCTCGGTTTCGATAACATTGATAACCGATCCCAGTATGGGACTCCTCTGCAGCTCCTCTGCAACTTCGCTAGCATAATATGAGGATAAGTTTGGTAGATGTATGTTATGCTGGTGGTAAATAAAATATGCCTAACCAAAAGTAGTTATAAGGTGTGCATTACTTATGCGGACAGACATAGGTATTATGTTGCAGGTATTGGAAGTAGAATACTTATCAGAGGAAGCGTGAAATAAAGAGAAAAGGAAGAAAAAAACCAAGAGCATTCAGAAGAGTAACAGGATTGAAAGAATGATGAAGTGTATAAATGAAAACTGGAGGAGGATATGCAAATGATGTATTCAATGTATAATTTTCGCATTTTACAAAGCTACTGTTTGATTTTGCATAAAACCAACTTATTTTCCCCCACCAAGTTTTCGTTCAGTACGATTTAATGAAAAATTTCCCATATTACTTTCATTAAAATATGTATCCCGATCTGACCTATCAAACAGAAATGATGCTAGGAGATAGTTTACTAACTTAACGTTAATTGAATTTCCAGAGTCAAGAAATGGTCTAAATGAAGTATTATCCATACAAATACAATTAAGATAATAAATTAACAAACTTCAAATGTTATGCTTCTTAACAAAAGTCTACTGAATATAAAAACATTAAAATCAAAATTAATTTAAAAGAATCGACAGTTAAATTAAACTATTGAAGTGTAGTAATTGCATAAATGGAGTGAGAATTATTTACACTCAATCCACAACGTATTTTATGGTTAAACTCTCTTCATGTATATCTAGGTCATTTATGAAGATCTAACAGAATCACTCATAAGACAGATTATATAATACAGCAAGAAATATGAAGCTTCACTACAATTTGATTGATTTACAGAAATAGAGAGACAGGAAGTAGTATGTTTAAAATACACTAAACAAAGAGTGAAATCGTCAACTAAAAATTTTTACAAACAATGGGTTAGTTTAAATATTGAATGACAATAGTGTATATCCCCCCTTTTAAAAAAACAACTTACTTGAATAATTTTTTTTTCTGGTTACCGTTTTTTAGCGATTTAGTTTTCTCCGGGATGGGGTCGCTAACCCCATGCCCAACCCTCCTCCTTTATCCGGGCTTGGGACCGGCAGTAGCCCCCGGAGGGACTCCAGGAGGAGTTTTAAAAAATATATACCCATAATGTTATTTACACATAATGATTTAGAAGCATATTCCTAATTCTTCTTTCATATTATTCCATTGAATTTAGGCTATGAAATTTGACGAAACAGGAGAGTTTTTATCTAGTTTAAATTATTACAAAAAATGTTTATTATTACGTTCAAACTTATATGAAATACCAAATGAACCAATTGAACAAGCACGTCAAATCATTGAACGTCTTCAAAACACTAATAATCTATCATCAACTGAAATAATAAAACTTTTAAAATATACAAATTACTTCAGTAATAATAATAATAATGGTAATGAGCTTGATGAATATAAAGGGAACAACTTCAATGATTTGTTGGTAAGTTTTCATGAATACATTATTTTTTAAAAATATATTTAAGCATCAAGCGCAAGACTGATAGGTCCTGGTTTCGAATCTTGAGAGGCGGGATCGTGGATGCGCACTACTGAAGAGTCCCACAACAGAACGAAACGGCCGTCTAGCGCTTCCAGGTTTTTCATGGTGGTCTAGCTTCAATGACTCATGATCTCAATTATTGAAAAATATTTATTTGTTGACTTCAAGCAGGAGATAAAGAAAATATTTCATCACATTCTAAAATCAACTGGGTAACCATTAATAAGCAAGAAGCACTAAACATAGAAATTTAGTAATCAAGGGAAAGATTTGCTGCTTTCATTGTCACAGAGTTCTTTGAGCTAAACGTTTTAACTGGACGTCCTTCATTATTAAGGCTCAAATCATTCAGAATTGAATTATTCTATATACTATGACTGCATTGTGATTGGTTATCACAAGGCCACCAGAACAAATTGATTTAACGTTTGTAGAATGATTAATTCACTTCTATATGAAGTAATCAATGATAATAATGTTCAGAACAGAAATGAAAACTTCCCAGTTGAACTGTCTGGCTCAAAGAACTCAAAAATTCGAATAGAAATTCGGCTTAATCATCAAGTGTTATCTCTGTATCACCTTATATAGTTCAATGTCTATGTTTTGCAGATTTATCTTGATAACCATTTGACAGTTAATTTTGTTTTACAATAAATAAAATATTTTCCGACCTCTCACAACCTCTTTTTTAGAGTACTTTATTAATTCAAATCGGTAAACTGGTTGATAAAAGTATATTTGAAGAAGTATTTAAATATGAAACAACTCAATATGGTGGTTCGAAATTATTATCAGAGTATAAACATAAAAGTTATAAAGAACTGCTTTCCCAAATAAGTTCCTACAAACAAATTTGGTTAAAAATTAATGAGAGAATTAGGCATCATTATGAAATGATTAGTGAAAATGCTGAATGTGAAATAAATGAAAAGTAAGTAATAGTTATTTGTTACCTTATGCTTCACATATGTATACACATATAGGAATATACATTTTTATTGAGATCATGAACTGATCAATGTTAAACTATTATTAAAAGAACTTGGAGCATCGGAAGGCCGTTTCGTCCTAATATAGAACTTCTCAGCAGTGTGTACCCACGATTCCGCACACGGGACTCGAACATAAGACCCTCGAACCCACGCTAACGCCGTACCTCCGGACCACTGAGCGAGGACCCAACGGTGTTAATGGTCGCGCAATATCGTGGATCGGTTGAAGTTCGACATGAACACCGTTGAATTTCCGCTCAACGGTTCAGAGGCAAAGCGCTCACGTGAGATGGAAGGTCCTAGGTTGCAGGATTGTGGATGAGCATTGCTAGGGAGTGCCATACTAGGGAAAACCGGCTGTCCGATTCTTCCAGGTTTTCAATGGTCGTCTAACATTGATGGGTTCATGATCTCAATAAAAACTTAACACTATCCATAACCCTATACTGATATTTCAAGATTTGACTCAACTTCATATCACAAAGCTTATCTATAACTAAGCAAAGTTTGAGAACAAAGAAGTTCTATTGATTCCCTCATCTCTTCAAGGCAGTAGAATTTTCTTTTAATTTCATTTGTGACAAAGGGAATAAATATATAATTTTTACAAATGACATGACAGAGGAAATAATTCATTGTATCACTGTTATTCGATTATTTTTCATATGAATATATTTTGTATCCACATGTAAGTATAATAAATGGACTATGTTTTCATCTGAGTGATTTTCGGTGGTTAATTTTAAGTAGTTTGACATTGTAAAGAAAAAACCATATTTACCTAATTTTTATTACTTACAGATTACTTGTATGGTTCGATTTGATCAAATTAGCTAAGAAATATCAAATATGGGATTTGTGTTCAACATTTTGCCGATTATGTTTAGTATTCGATGATGATACCTACTGGAGCATACTACTAAAAAAATTAGAGCAGTATAGGTGAGTTGTGTTACTTACTTATTTACTTTTGTTACCCTTTATGGAAGAGCACAGACCAACCACCAGCATTCCCCACCAAACTCTATCCTGAGCAACCCCTCAAGTTGTTTCCATTTGCTATCCATTTTTTATAGGTCTGTTTCCAATTCCCAACTCAGTGTGCTCCTTGATCTTCCACTTCAGAATTCCAAGTTAGCGCTTGCCTCGTAATGCAGTTTGATGATTTACGTAATGTATATTCTATTCACCTCCGACATCTATTCCCAATTTCCTCTTCAACTGCAAGCTGGTTTGTCTCCTGCCACAGTAGAATGTTGCTGATGGTATCTGGTCAACGGATCTGTAGTATCTTGCATAGACAATTGTTTATAAATACCCGTAACATTTTGATAATGGTTGTGGTAGTTCTCCAACTTTCAGCTCCATAAAGTAAAACTGTTTTGATGCATGTTTTGAAGACTGTGACTTTGATGTTGGTTGACAGTTATTTTGAGTTCCAAATATTATTCAGATGTAGGAGTTCTGCCCTTACTTTGCCGATCTTTGCTTTCTTATCTGTATGAGATCCTCCTTGTTCATCGATAGTGCTAACCAGTTACGTGAACTATTTTTACCTCATCCAGAGCTTCTTCGTCGAGGGTGATTAGGTTGGTTCACACACTCTGTATTTATTTTAGGATATTGCTTTCTTATTTATGTATTTTGAAGCCTACTGATACAGAGGGTACTGTTACTGTCGGTTTTCATCTACATTTTCGGCGTGTATGGTATAGAAGAGCTAGGTTATCTGCAAGGTACAAATTGTCTAGTTGCATGCAAACTCTCCACTGTATTTCGTACTTCCTCTCAGATATGAAAGTCTTCATATTCCAGTCAATTACCAGAAGAAAGAGGAAGGAAGAGAGTAAGAAGCCTTATCTGACTCCAGTCCTTACTTCAACGCGTGTCAGTTGTCCTTCATGCACGAATTTGCAGTGTGGTTCATCTTATGAATTCTGGATGACGCTGATGATATTCTCAGCTACTCGCCCTACGATGTCGAAGAAGGTTCTATAAGTTTCTGTTATCCACACTGCCAAACACTTTCACATAATCAAGGAAGTTGATGTATAGTGATCACCTTTCTTTTGGTATTTTGATGAAGTATCCTTCTTTCTAGTCTGTTGGCAGTTGTTCCTCTTCCCAAATCCTCCTGAACAGAAAATGGGGCATGTTCGCCGTCAATTTTATGTTTGATTTCAGTGCTTCAGGTGTTATTTTGTCAGGTCCCACTTCCACCCTGACTTCGTCTATCGTTGATGGAGTGACATCTACAGGTAGGTCTGTGTGTGCTACTTTGATGTTGGATGGGTTTATTGGTTCTGGTCTATTCAAGAGTTCTTCAATGTATTCTACCCATCTGTTCCTCTGTTTCTGAATCTCAGCGGTTGGCTTGCCTTCTTTGTCCTTGACTGGTATCTCTGGTTTGCTATATTTCCCGACTGAGTTCTCCGTTGTACCATGTAATAATCTGATATTTCCTTGGGAGCTTTTTTGAATTCCTTGAGTTTGTCAGTATCTCGAAAGAAGTTTGTATTTAACTTTTGTTTGCTGCTTTTTTAGTTGTCCAGTGCTTCTCTAGCTTCAGTTTCATGTTGACCACAACTAGGTGGCGATCTGGAGCTATGTTATCTACTCTCCTGGTTCTCATGTCTTCCATTGACCTTCCGATTTTTTTATGATCTATCTGGTTCTCTGTAGCGTGATCCAGTGAGATCCATGTAGCTTTGTGTATGCGTTTGTGTGGGAACATTGTGCCACCTATAACCATTTTGTTAAAAACATAAATTAATAAATTATCGTTGTTTCTTTCTCCCAGTCAGTCCATGTCGTCTCATGATATCTTCATGCCCTGTGTTGTCCATTCCGACTTTGGCGTTTAGGTCTTTTATTAGGATGATCAGGTTCTTTTCTGAGCAATTTGTTATGATCGATTTCAGCCTCTCGTAAACTCGATCTTTATCGTCTTGATTGCTATCATTAGTGGTTGCATAACACTGGGTGACATACAATGTGATTCTCTCCTTCTTTGTTTCAAAGGATGTTTCGATGATTCTGGATTAATAAGATTCCCATCCCATAAGTGCATTTCGTGCTTCTTCGGACAGAATCAGGGCAACTCCTTGAGTATACGAAGTATTTTCTTCTTGATGACCAGAGTACAGTAGCGTCTCTCCCGAATCTAATATTTTCTCTGCAGCTTAGGTTCAATGGGTTTCACATATTCCGAGCACCGTTAAGTTGTATCTCCTCACTTCCTCCGCTAATTGATTTGTCCCCACAGTCGAGCTACGTCAGAACTTTGAACATTGATAGTTTCTTTCGAATGAGAGTACAAATGAGAAAGGAGATATAATCATTAGAATACGGTTTTGGAAATGTGATTATAACTAGTCAGTTATCTGATATCTAATAGCATATCTGTTATAAAGTTCAACTCATTAGGAAAAAGAGCGTAGGTTTGAGTGTGCTCTACACATTACAGACGAATGAATCACGCATTAAGATGCTACCTCTTAGTCATAACACTTAGAAGGTCCGTTATTTGAATCGTTTTACATTACAATTCGAACTATAAGGTTTATCACACTGACCGCTTAAAAATCTTCATCTGTAGACTGTTAGTCAATAAATCCGCTGAGTAACACAATGCGTTTGTTGAAATGATATTCTTTATATTTTTATTGGTTAGTTATTAAATCTACTAGTCTTTTGAGAAATTTGCCATCTGTTTTAACACGGAAGGTGAAATAGCCATAAATATTCAAAAGTTACACCCCACTGAAAATAGGATCCGTGGAAGATTTCCCAAATAATTACACCTCAAGGTGTCGTCATGGGTGGTCACTGGTGTGAATTCCCATACCGAAATGAAATGCCTGCCCAGTAATCCTTGGTTTTCAGTTGCATAAAGAATGAGGTATTTTCGCGACTAATGTCACCTTCCATTTACATTAATTTCTGTAATATATGCGGTTTTATCCCTTATACTTGAAAGCGGGAACCAAAGCGATTCCTGAAACGCAAATCGAAAACACAAAAACTGACAAAAATGAAAATTTATTGACTCTCTTAAAGCACAGCGACTGTAAACCTAATGTGCTGATTTTACGCACACTTGATAATTAATGAATAAACACCATATAAATGAAGAGATATACGGATATACTGTAATCACATAAAAAGTTTACACCTAATTATATTAAGAATATAATTGTCACGCAGGGAGAAGGTTCACGCCTGTTATACTCAACAAAATTTACACTTAATAAATACGAAACAAACTGACCGAAAATGATGGTACATTGAAAAGTATAAACTCAATCTCGTACTGACTAAAATACTACACTGAGGATAAAAACTAATGCTATAAATTGTTACGGTGGGTTAGCGAGAAATGTGAATTTACCTGCTTATCCGATTTATCGATCTCCACAGAAACATTTCGACGAAACTGCATTATTGCTCTGTTATGATCACCGAGTTGATAACAAATTGTAAAAAGTAACTAAAATCATTAACTTAAAAAAAGTTTGTTTGTCAATTAAAATGTAAGATCATTTTCCTTTTTATTCCTTGTTCACAGAACTACTCGAGTTAAACCTGTTATTGGTCCAACAACCAACTTAAAATCAACAGATGCCAATTTAACTACTCAAACAGGTAGGTTTGACTAGACTTTACAATAATGTTTTACTACTGCATATTGCTAAATAGGCATTTGACAATATCTGAGTTATCAGTATAGGGTTGTGGAGATTGTTGGGTTTAGATTGATATCATGAATGGGTGAGTGTTAGATCACCATTGTAAAACTGGGAGCGCTGGACGGCCGTTTCGTCCTAGCGCGGGACTCCTCAGCAGTGCCCACACACAGGGCTTGAACCCAGGACCTTTGGTCTCGCGCGCGAATGCTTAACCTCTAGACCACTGAGGGAGAATCCAATGATATTAATGTCTGACTTCAACCAATCTAGATTAGTCCTTGGTTTGGGTCCCATATGTGGCATCATGGATGCGCACTGCTGAGGAGCCCCATACTAAAGCGAAACGGCCAGCCAGACTTTGAATGATGGTCTAATACTGATCCATTTGTGATATCGATCTAAATATTTGAGTTACTAAAAACGTGGTAGAAAATAAAATATGTTAATCTCACTTCTATAAATTAAGTAATATTTCACAATTTTAATAGAAATAGTATTTAGAAAAATTGGTGTATTGACTAGAAACATATTACAAGTGTATTTGCGTGTATCTTCACGAATGTAATCAAATTTCTGTCTAATCAAAACATGATAATTTATCCATAAGACTTACTGCTACTATTTAAGTATTCATTTCAGGGTATTAGAAATAAGTACTTTATTGGTCTATCTATCTAATGAACTTAAATAGCTTGGGATTAAGCTGATAATATATTTTTGAGTAGCTAGAAAGTGATGAATTCTTTTTGGCAAACCATTAAAAACCAGGAAAACCATTAGACACTTGTTTTGTTTCACTTTCAAGCTCATCGATGGTACACATTTATAGCATCATCAATGATCAAACTCAGAAAATTCACGAACTGATAAATTACATTTGTCCAGAACTATATAGTTATATATATTTAATCAACTGATGTAAAATGAGTTTGGTTTAATATGAAAAGAATCTACAGTTTATTTGAAAAGGTTTTGTGCAGATTCATTTTACTTGTAAGCAGTATTTGTCGCAGATCGATCCCATTTGAGGTACAACTGAAGAGCGGTGTTCAGCTATGTAGAAAGTGTAAACTGTCATCAATGGTATTGAATAATCATCACACTAAATTGCAGACTGATTAACGTTACGGCAAAGCAGTTGAATTTAGCCATAATGATTCTGATGGTTGAGTTTCGGTCATGGATTCTATCTTTAATTTAGTTATAGATGCTTACTGGTAAGAACCAACAGCTGTTCACTGATTTCTGGTATCCAACGGTGTTTTTCCACCTGAGATCACTCTATGCTGGATACTATCCACGAATATGTAAAGTATCGGTAATAAAATATCTTCCAAAAAACATTCACAACAGTCAACTATAAATCAGTGAAATTTATCTTAATTAATTTTAATCATAATCTCATTACGTTAAATCGTCTTTAAATCTAAACCTAAATAAATGTATTAGGCGGAATAAATAATTATAATTGCAAATCTCTACAGAATTAATGAAGAACCCTAAATATGTTTAACCAGTCATCAAATCTAGTAAATTATGGTAAATTTTAAGGGTCAGATTTAATTCGGAAAGTAGTATTTACTAGATGCGATGGATTTACCACTATGGTTATGACTCTTTGATGTTGTCCTTACAGAACTAAGTCAATATATTTGTCATATCTAGAAGGTTATTCTTGATATACCGCGTATAACGTGAGCACTAGAACGCCAGAACCCTTCCAAGTCGCAATGAGAAGACAGAATACTAATGAAAGGAATATTATTCCCAGACAGTGTTAATTATAGTACAAAATTGTCAGGTATTTATAGTTTTTAGTAAGAACGAAATCATCGTTACAGTCCTCCAATCCGCATACAGGGGGTTATTAGCATTGTCCAATCGGGTAGCTACACTTAGAGATTTTAGAATATTGTTCGAAAAGGTGATTGGATGGAGTATCTTTGGCTCCTTCTGAGCCTCCTACAGCTTCCTCGAGTTCACTCGTGGTCCGTCGTCACAATATTTAATTAGTGGAGCAATATTTTAGTGATTAGATCATTTGAGTTTTAACTGCTGATTTGTAAGTTTGAACATCTCTCTAACTGTGGTGTGTGCTACTGATGTTGACAGGTATAAGTATTATGTATCATGGATCGTAAGCAGAATGCCTGGAGGCAGATGGTTGAGAAAATCGACGAAAAGAGAACGAGAACAGAGAGTGATTGGTATGGAAACGAAGGAACAACTAAGTCTGAAACGATTAACTGACATTTTGCAAATGAATGCTTCTCAGATTTTACTAAGAGATTCTGTAATTTTGTATTTAAATACATTTGGTTGTCCCCACTTGTATCTTCGTTCACTACATAACTAATATTGTTTGTGTCGGGCATTAAGAGTGGTCTTCAGGTAGACCGTAATATGAAAATATATGAATATGTACGTGATCTTATCTACTGATTGATTTTTACATCGCATTTAATAAAAAAGCCTAATTATTTTATCATCAAATCGGTTTAAATTTTGATAGCATCCAAAACAGAGATTCAAAATCCATTAAACAAATCAAAGTCAAATCCACGTACCATAACTAATTATCCAGATATTGTTACCAGTTTCGAATTGAAATTATATAGTGCATTATCTCAGATATATTGTATATTTGCGGAATGTTTATGCGTCCTGTTACGTCAACAAATGTGTGGTATTCAATTAGCTGGTAACTTGAACAATCTAAACCCATCCTGGTTCGATACTTCTTTATTGATAAATAATGATAGTGATAATCATAATCAAGATGTCAGGAAATCTAAAGAACAACGTGAATATAACTTGCAATGGAAAAATTACTGGTTAGTTTGTACTCTTTTAGAGTTATTAAATTTACTTGTTTTATGCAAATATAATGCAACTTAAAAGTAATTTTAAATGAAAGTATTACTGAAAGTCTGAACAAATATGAAATTTCAACAGTTGAGATCATGAGTCAATTGAAGCTAGACCACCATGGAAAACCTGGAAGCACTGGACAGCCGTTTCGTTCTATTGTGGGACTCCTCAGCAGCGTGCATCCACGATCTACAATAAGACGAAACAGCCGTCCAGTGCTTCCGGGTTTCCCATGGTGGTCTAGCTTCAATTGACTCATGATCTCAACTGTTGAAATTACTACAATCTCCACAAAACCCTTTCTGATACAAATATGAAATTGCTTACTAATCAGTGATTAATGAGTATATGATTGATATGTCATATTTGGATATTAATGAAATTATATTTATCGATAAAATTTCGATAAAAACGATATTCATCTTAGCCTTCTAGAAACAATAATTTTACTCCTTGTTATAACCCAGTGACACTCCGCGTGCGATAGTGTGGATGCATACCCCTGAGAGGCCTAATACTAGAACGAAATGGCCGCCCAGTGCTTCGAGATATTTAATGGTGATCTAACATTGGTTGGCTCATGATTTTAATAAAAACTCAACAGTCTACACAATCCTCAAATGATACTTAATATTCGTTTAGAGGTATAGATGAATAGGTACAATTAGCTTTTAAAATATTTTGGTGATAATATACCCAGCAATTAAACCGAATAGATTCTATCCAAATAAATTGAATACATATTTGAAATAATCAGTCACTAAAATGGTTTCTTTACCGACTTGTGTGTTGTTTTAAACAACTAATTAGTGTACATTATGACTTAAGAAATTTGAGCTATTTGCCAGAACATTCGCAATGAACAAACTCCATGTCATCTTTTACCTGAAGAAGAAATGTATAGACATTAGTGTTTGAACGGTCAATTTATTCTTAAAATTAAAATTAGTTTTTGATTTTTAATGAGTCTACATGTTAGTTAAGTGTAGGATACTGATGGAGACAAAATTTACCACTCGTGTGTCAAGATGTCCTGTCTAGGTTGACTACTACTTATTGGATTATTCATTGTAGTCAAATGCTTTTGATCATCTGTTTAAATAATTCTTTTATTTTAATTTTAAAATATTTCCTAGCGAATGGTTTAGTTTTGTCAATGAAGCTGCATTATCAGCATTTCAACGTAGCGCTGTTTTATCTGCAAGAATAGTCGATTCAAATAATTTACATTCATGTGCTGTATGTGTATGGAATTACTGCCTTCCAACAATATGTCAGAATGATCACCGTCAACTAACTACAACATTTTTAGTAGGTTAACTTAGCGTAAATTCTTTATATATACTGAGATGTGAACAGAATTCCATATTAGTTAAAGATATTTTTCTCAATAGCGAAAACCAACTGAAGTCTAAAAATCTTTGAATCATATGATTTAGATTTCGAAACACAATAGTATTTCATCTGTAAGATTCGAAAATTCTACATAAAGTCTTGTCAAGTTCCGATGATCCAAACCATTGTCTTCAATGAGTAACTGCCTTACAACAGATACGGTTAAAATCAACTGGTCACGGCTTTTTACTAGAACTCCAGGAAATCCATCTCGCGCGTGAAATCGAAGTTCTGGTTTCTAGCTCCAAGCAGAGACCGTGGATGCGCACTGCTCACAAGTCCTATAGTTAGATAAAACGGCCGTTCAGTGCTTCAAGGTTTTGAATGGTAATCTAACATTGATCGATTCGTGATATCAATTTATTACATTACCCTTAAGTCTTTACGAGTACATAAACAGATTAGATTTATTTGTTTATTTATTTTTTGACAGGTAGTTCGAACGGACTACAATGAGTTTCGTTACTTCATCAGTGAATAACAGCGTTGCTACATGAAGTAGCTGATTATTTTCTTTTTGTATTTGACAATAGTAGATTAGTAATAATATTATTTTCAGGTCGTTTCAAAGTCGTTGATTTTGTTCATCTGCTTCCCTTAGGTATAGCAGATAGCAATCTAATCAAGCAAAGTGAAGTGCCCTCATACTGCTCCTAAATAAATAACCAAGAGGATGAAATTAACGTTCATTTTAAACGTAATTAAGTATTTAGAACAATATGTTTTATTGTCATTTCATTCAAACAACGAATACCAGTTAGTGATACATGAAGAAACGATGCTGAGTAAAAAAAGAGAAATATCCGAATATTATCTTGGATTAACCCTGATAATGTTAAAAGTTATCTAAAAGCTTTAAATTTAAATGAGTTAGAAGTCCCATACTAGGACGAAACAGCCGTTCAATGATTCCAAGTTTTCAATGGTGATTTAGCTTAGATCAACTTGTGAATTCAACTGTTAAAATTACTACAGTCCACACAAATCCCCATACTGATAATAATATAAACATTGATAATGAACCTGTCTGTAAACCAGATAAGTGAAGAATAATGATGAAATTTACAAAAATTATAACTACCTATGATTGAGATATATTCAGAATGAGCTTATCCAGTACTTGACGTCAACTTCATAAATATGACTCATTTTATGGTTTGCATCAGTGATAATGTTGGGATGACGTTTAAAAGCGTCATAGTAGAAAAAAAACTTAGTTTGCATATTGCAACACCAGTGAAATATCTATTTTAACTGTAAATTATTTACTATTGTTTTAAAATCATGTTATTTCATATTCATTTTTCTATGAAAAGAACTGTTGTTTAAATATCTTTTTTAAAATTCGTACACTATCTAGGTGATTCTAGAGAACGCCAATAAAATTGGATCTAGTTGTTTACCACATGAATTGTATATTCAAATGGCAACTGTACTTGCTCATGGGTTGATTCAACCTTGGCTACCGAAATCATTAAAATCAACATTTTCAGCTGATGAGAAAAATAAATCTGTACAACTTAATATACAACAAAAAAGTCAAAAAGTGATTCGAGGAAAGTCAGCCAAACCAAGTTTTTATATTGTAAGTCCTATAATAACTTTAACTAAATGGTAACCTATCAACCATTTTTATTGAATTGTATAAAATAACAAAGTAGTTGAGGACCATTTAAATATACTTAGCCAATCAAAAGGTTGAAATCTACACTGTTTTCAAAAATCATAATTTGGTATACTTATTTATTTAGAGAATAGAATATTCGTTTTTCTATTTGGAATTACTCACTGAATCGATGTTCAACACATATCTGTTTATTAAAACATCTACAATTGAATCGGTGTTCAGAGATTCTATGCAACTGATGAGAATCGATGAAATATGGTGAATAACCGTTAAATTTTCCTGTTCTGCCATACTTTGTTCAAATTTATCCATTTAACAATACATTTAAAAACCTAATGCTTAATTTTTACTTTTATTGAATTCTAGGCACCGCCAGAAGGACATCCTCACATTAAAAAAGCAATAGACTGGTTGATATTAGCTGGGAAACTATGTGAACCAAATAGATTAGATCTACTTCAAAATATTGATGAGTCATATCAACTACAACCAATTGTACCAATTAGTACACGTTCATCTTTAATAGTTTGTTGGCTGATAGCGAAACAGTTGATTACCAACCCTCCAATATGTCGAAGTTTATTTCCATTGGATTTATCAACTGAAACTACCAATTATACTGAAATGAATTCTACATCAGATTCTGACAGTCAAACTCGTAAACTTGCAATAACTAATCAAAAAGAAGCTCAAATCTACTTGGAGACTTTAATAACTCGAACACTGTTATCAGTACATTCATTATGGCTTACTAATAAGCATAAATATATATCTGAATGGCCTGTTACAGTTTCAAAACTTATAGATGAACAAAGTACTCAGACATTAGTTGAACCATTGAAACAAGGAGATATATTAGCTGGATTTAAAGATGCCCCGACACTGGCAGAGGTAACTATCGATCATTTGACTTACCTACTTATGTACTTGCATGATTATTTGCTTATCAAATTTATTGTCTATTGTTGTCATCATCAGTATTTCAAGAATTAAGTATACTGTCAAATCAAAGCAGGATTCGAAATACAATAATGGAATGAAAATTAATTTTTCCTTGTTTCTTTATTAAAACCATTCACTTACTAAATAGCTAGTGACTTTTTTAATCGAAAATAATGTTAGTTATTAGTGGAAAACATTTCTGTAATCATACGACTTAATTTGTCTACAAATGTGATGATTAAGTCAGTTAATTATTTTCTCCTAAAAAAATAATTTTTAATATTGTTCTTCAATTAGTGGTACAATTTGGATGAACATCAAAAAAGGAAATAGTAAGTATTGTCCAACCTACTTTGTCTCCAACTCTCCTTTCCAGTAGTATACAAATGCTATTCATTCTCTTAATGTCTTCCTCCTATTACCAGCGCTTACAGGAGAAGAATTAAAAATTGTATCATATAAATTATTGCAATTATTGGTCAGACTATTCTTAATGGAACACAAGCCGACTATACTTACTTCCTAGCGTATTTATGAACTCTAGAAATCTTCAACACTTAGACCGTGAATGAAACGAGAGGTTAAAACCATGACAGAAACTTTACTTCCAGAGATAGTTCAAGTACAGGAAACGTAGTGTACAGAAAGAAGTAGAATAACCTGTAAATCCTAGACGCTTCCTTTCTAGCGTTTATTCAGATTAGTGAAAAGAATAGTAAGTTGGCCTTTAGACTTTTACAAGAAGTGTACAGGATATTGGTTCTCCAAAAGCAATTAAGAGCATTTTTTTAGAATAATTATAGGTGTCATCCAGCAACAACCATTAATTTAAAGCTTCTAGTTAAAGAATGCAAGGGAACCTGGAATACCTGTGTTCGGATAAGCCATATCTTTTGTTACTGACCATCTGCAAAGAAGCAAAGTTTAGTAAGCTTTAAATCGTATTTAGGAAGGTGAATTCTGTCGAATTTCGCGCTCATCATTTGTAACACCAACTTTCCTTTATAAACTGAATATAATTCTACACATATCACTGAAAAATATTCATTTGTGTTATTGTTCCTGTGGTCTCAGAAATAACTTCTGTTACTGTTTTTTAAAAAGATATTCATCTCTCAAATTCAGCGACAATTGGTTAGATTGATTTCGGTCACCCATTTTCAAACAGAATGTACCTCTAATGATTTAAGAGCATCCGTTGCTACTAACTACTTATAAGTAGTATTGATTTTACTACTTAAATATGACTTATTTTCTGTAGTTTATGATAGCCAATCTGTTAACCAATCAAATCAGAAACGAAAGTTAACTGGTATTGGGGTATTCCGAATATCGGACTAAACATGCACGAAAATATCTCCTACATATAGTCAATTAATTTCTTGGTTTACGACGTACTTATCAGCTTTTCAAGTTGTTAAACCAAGCTTCTCTATAAGACTGTGATGTACATAACTGAGTACCACTAAACATCTTGACATGTATTTAGTTTCCTCCAGTTGTTAATACATCTTCAAAAGTACTTGGTTTCTTATCGGGCAAAAGTATTTCTAAAATTCCAAGTATCCCTTTTCAATAAATATTAAACAGTTTGAAGCATCACTTGTTAACGGTGACTTATGGTTTATTCTTATTATTAATTCGGAAAATTCCATCAAATAACTTTCATCACTACTTTAAGTTGTTTCTTTTATATTTACATTATATATATCGACATTTTTACACATCTCTGAATCTATTGAGACAGATTGGGTGATGATAATCAATTACCCAACCCGAAGAACATAAGAATCTGATTTGTGGTGCCCAGTGACATATTTTACCAATGTACGATACACTGTCTTATTTCTCAAGAGACAGTGAAAACTCAATATTCTTATAACAATTATCAGATTGAAACACATAATGGCACTTCTTTTTAGATCCCAACTATATAGTCCCAGTTGAATAATTCAGCCACTGTACATTGAACATATAAATGCATGCTTCATATTCAGTAAATCAAAGGACGTTCTTTTGAATTTAACAATATCTCTTGTGTAATGATTACTGACAGTCAATTTTTATCAGCCCTATCTATCAACTTATATTTGTCTCTCCTCCAAGGCTATTCATTTGATGCAATTAACATTTTGCAATCAGAAGTCTGATGTACACACGGAAAATCCCACAGGTAAATCAAATACAATCAAAGAGCAAGAAAACAATATTAAATATGATTTAAGATTAGGTCAAGCATCCATAGAACGTTTCACAGAACTTGAATTATGGACTCGTTTAGCTATGACTGCATTTATAACATCACAATTTTCATCTATTCTAGACATCATTGATATGTCTAATATTCAAATAGAGTTATATCAAGGAGTTAAACAATCCGATGTGAATATCAATTATTGGCTGATTCACTTACTTTCTCTACGAGGTTTAGCCATATTCGGTATATCAAATCAAATGAAACTGTTTCGTCAACAAAATTTAAAAACCAGTGGAAAGTATACCCAGCAGCAACAAACACGCGGAAAACAACGTTTCACCGATATGAAATTTAAACATGTTGAACTTCTGGGTCAAAAGCGTGATAAAAGCACAACAAGTGAAGATAGTCAATCAATTGAGAACAGCTTATTTGAAGCGGGAGAAGAGGCCTTCTATAAAGCGTCCAAGTAAGACTAATTTGAAATTATATTTTTCTCATATCATACATTACCAACGATTAACCTGACAAGTGTGCTTGAATGGAGTAGGCTATAGCAGAGCTATTTCATATCGTTATACTTCTTATCAGCATTCTAACAAAGGACCAGCAAAAGAAAAAGAGTCAAGCAATCGATAGTGAATCTAAACTTCCTCTGGTATAAATAGACTTAATTCAAAGCCTTGTATATATAGCTAAACAAGTTGCATTCAGTGCAGATATTAGAGAAAATGATGTATGAAATAAGTTGGACAGATCAAAAGGTAACGAACATAACAAAATGAATTTTCCTGAAACGCTATAACGATTAACCTCGGTTTAATTTTGTGTAGAATCTTGATCAGATTATCCTTGTGCTTTTAGTAAACCTAGTGTTAATATGATTAGTTCGTTAAGTTAAATTATTTTGGAACATGTGCCATGCTGTCTTAGCCACAACAGATTAGCATTCATAACATCATGAAGTTAAATTCTTACGGCGCGTAATCTATATTCATTACCAATGGTTTCTTAATAAGCCAGCAATACTTTGAAAACATCTATAATTAAATGCCTGTAATCATATCTTATCTTCTTTCCTTTCAGCCAAAAAGTAACACTCTCAACTTATATGTAGCACACTTTCCCTTTATCTTCAAACACAGTCTCAATTTAAAGTATAACCGGTTCATGAAAGTGTAATGGGATCTTGTGGACCATTAACCTATCAGGGACCATAAGACTGTATAAGTAATTGAAGTGATGGACTTAACAATTTCAAGTTATACGTTGTTCGAAAAGACGGCTATAGACAGTTTGTACATCTAAATGGTAAAGGACATATCTTGACTATTCATTGTGTAATATGAATGAAGTGTGTTGACAAATATCAAGTTTGAATTACTGAGAAAGTTAACAGTTAAAATAAGGATTACTGATGATTATTTTAAGTAATAAAACTAGACAAATAGGTCATAAATTTGAAATTTTATAAAGTCACTCAAAAACAAGTAGGTAATTAGGAACTGTGAAAGATCCTTTGTGAACTATTTAGTTATGTTAAGTGTTAAATAAATAGAGTAAATTGTAGAAGGCTAGAATAGTGAGATTAGTTGTAAGATCATTTTTTGAATACCAAATATCGATCCAAAAATATGACAGGTTGTAGATTTAGTTGTAATAGGCATGTTAGTAAACTATTTACAAGCTTGATTTTATGAGATAGATGAGTTTGAATACTCAATATTGAGTATCAACTTGCATTTATATACTCAAGATCCATCTAGAATATAACATTGTTTGAAGATTAATTATAAACGTTCTTAACTGTACTCTCAAAGTAATCAGTTGAACAGTTATAAGTGATATACTACATGCTCATTAATGAAGTAAGATTTAGTGGCCAATCTTAATTTTTCACACTTGTATATATGAGTAATATTTTCATGGTTTATTTACTTTTAATTATTATATAATTTGTCATTGTCTAAATTTGTTATTAATTCTTTAATCTAGTATTGCTCATAAAATTGGACGTTATGATTTACTGGTCATGTCAGCTGCATTATACTGGTCATTATTAAATCATTCAATTTTGGCACCATCAAACCAAATCACTCATGTTTTACAAAAATAGAATCGTTTGCAAAGAAGATTGAAAATATAACCAAATGGTTAGGTCAGTGTATAAAAACTGAAATCAGGAACGAGTTAGCAGCTCAAATTCGAAATAGTGAAAATAAACAAGATTTAACTACAGAGTTTTCTACTTTGAAATTGGAATCTATTCTAACGGATTCCGTCAAGTGTACAAAAGAAGGTATATTGATTTGGTCTTTTTTTTTACATCTGAACACTTTAGGCAGTACTTTTTAGATATCAAACATGGATCACTCTATTAGATGTAAATAAATATCTTTGAATCTCAAATTAACTTACATATTTCTATTAGTTTGACTTGGAAACGTTAATGAAAACAAAGCCTTTGAATCCTAGTTGGTAATACTTTTCAAATGTATAACCTGGGAAAAGTTGTTTACACGGTATGTAATGTTGAAGAGCTTTTAAGAATCCAATAGTATAGTTTATCAAATTCTATCTAATTGGTTAATTGAACAGATTTAAGTTTCGAAACAAGACAATGAGAAGTCCATTTTAAGCAGTTCACAAATTAGTGAATGATTTTTTTATTAATTAGATGGTGGGTGGAGTAATTTCCTAACGAAAGATATCTTCTGTCACATTGTGATACTAGCTAAAAATCCAGTATAAGACGGAAACATCTAAATAACTATTTTCTCCTGATTCAAGATTCCTCAAAGGCACATGCTCACAAATCCACAGTGGTCCCGTGATGTGTACAGTAATATTCAAAATACAGGAGTCCGAATCTAACTGCTGTAATTTCTCAATCCTGAAAACTGGATAGAAATTCACTAATGATGGCGTAGTATGGTGGATCAAATCACCAAAATAACTAGTCGTAGCGTTAATATTTTAAATACGACTTTGAGATAGTCACTACATAAAATTCTGCTGAATTTCAGGAAGAATCATCAGTTTCAACAATATTTTCGATGTTTTATTAATAAGTTATAAGGTTACAAGTATCTTGAAAAATAAAGAATAGAAAGCAATAAATAACAATGTATTGGTAGTCACAGTCCACTAGTCATGTTAGGAAACTTGATTCAAAGATTTATTTATGACTTTTTTCAATATGACATTCGCAAAACTTTTTGTCAAATTTGACTTTGCTAAATAGTATTACTCTCAGTGACAGGCAATCAGAGAACAATGCCTAAATTATTACAGCTTTTGATAATGATTCTAATTTGTCGTCACATAAGGAAAACACATGCGACCATAGTTCACCAAACTTATTATTCTAGAATATAATATAATACTTCGTTACATAATGATACTCTTTAGAAGAACCTTCACTGTGAAGCATATAAACAGTAAATCTAAACTTCTTATTTTGTTTATTTGTTTTTCTTTATTAATCTATTTCTGAAGTTACAAGTTTATATGAGACAGTAGTCATTCCATACCCTACAGTAAATCAATTTGAAATGGATTTGCAGTTAAGAGTTGATATGTATAAAGCTTTATACAATGTTTATTCAGAACAGGTAAATGACCAAATTAACTGATAATACTTTGGTTAATAGTTTTTGTACTGTATTATGTGTTATGAAAATTCATAATCAAACTAACTGATCATAATAATACCACAGAGGTTTCTCAACTTTACTACTGAAGGAAATATTACTCACATATGTAGAGTGTTATTAATATTATAATACTGGATTAATTCCATGAACTATGTGCGGATGTGAAGTTTATTTTTTATCTGGTTATTGGCAACCTGTCCAAATGTTTGCATCACCTTTTCTCAAAACATGTGATTACCTTAAATTTTCTTGCTTTAAATTTGCTTTAATTAGCTCTTTATGTATAATGACAGCTAATACAAAAAATATTTACAACCTATCATTAATCTAAATACGGAAAAACTCAAAACGTACCATTTCAGTGGTTTGTATATTTCCTTCCTTCTTACCATTTGAAGAAATGGAAGGTGATTCTGTGGTAATCAAGAGTATTTGAATTATAGTATGAACTAAGAATGCCAGAAATAACGTAATCGGATCAAGAAGTACCAGATAACCACAAACGAATGTACTGTATTTAGAATTCGAAATCAAGCATTCAACAAGTACAAAGGAGTCATTAGTTCATTCAAACACCAAAGATTTTCAAAGAACTAACACATTAAACGTATTATATAATGAAAAGAAATGTCACATGCACAAAACTGGTCGTAAATATTCAGGTTTGAATATAAATAGCAGCTAATGGCTGTTTAAAAACCATATTTTTTCTTAATATGCTCAAGTTAAATCCCTAAGAGATTGAAAATTTTGCTGCAGTTTTACATACCTTTGTACTGAGAATTACATAATGTTACCAAATAAATGTTATGGAATAAAATTAGCATTAGTAATAATACTATCGGTTTTTGTAAAATGATATAAAAAGCGCATGTGTTCGAGTGTAGATTACCTACGATGATCAAATTTTTGACTAAAGTACACAATGAACCGAAATCAAAAGACAAAATAAACTGACCTACAATAAGAGTCATTTTCTTCTACTCAAACTAAAAAATGTTTGGTAAAATATTTGACACAAAAATAAACATGAATAAAAGTCATTTAAAACATAAGTGATTGTAAGATATGGATTTTATTAATCATTTGGTAACCAATGAGATTGAGACTTAACAAACAGGCTTACTTACCGTTACCCATATTAGCTGATGACTACCACTCCAGAATATCAGTGAATGTTTACAGATCAATAGAAATCTTGAAAAATTAGACATGGGTTCCAACTTCCAAAGAAATCACCAAAACACCTTTGAAATGAACCATATTTATTAAATTTAAATTATCAAAAGTACTGTAACTTTTGAATGATCTGTTATTTAAAATATGAAAAGTACAACTGCCGACTGGAGAAATGAGTTCGCTCTTAAGATCATAGAATGAGATGATAAATTTCTATAACTTTTACTTTGAAGAAGTGGCTTACATTAGGTCACGAAATATCAGAAGTAGAAATTTTCTACTCATTAGGATATAACAAAAATATATTTTGACGAAAAGTATACTATGACCTGAAAAGGTTGATAACATTGTCTTCTTTTACATTATGATGCAGGGTGTAAGTGTTATTTCACATTGGATTATTGACTAGAAATATATTCAAATAGTATTATAATTTGCCTTTATTTTCAATGCTTTCTGTAGGGGAATTTTACGGAAGCATTAAGTGTGCTGGCCAAAGCTACAACTAGCTTACCGCGTACCAAACACAGAATGTAAGTTGCTTTAATACATGAATCAATTAAGCAAGAGTGTAAGCATGATACATGTAATATCCTCACGACAATTTAATATATTATAAGAATTTCTTCGATATTTATGCGAATTCTTTTCAGAGTAACTTATTCAGTAATGTAGGATCCGTATAAAGAATCTAACTCAGAGAGAGAGAGAGAGATGAGCTTAAAAATCATCAAACCCAAAATATAAGATCTCTCCGAAATATTAGCATCATCACACAAATAAAAGAAACACAATTTAATCTAAGTACTGTTAACATAGAAGCTGGTGCCAATGTATATATTTAAAGAATTCTAAGTTTTCGTCGTTATCTCTTCACAACCCAAGTGTAAATGATAAGGTGATGAATCGAGAAAACGGTCAATCTGATTTATTTGCTAAAGACATGCCGTATTATTGAATTTTCCATCATCACATATAACTTTTCTGACTTAAGTAAATGTGGTTTTGTTTCTTCAGATAATAAAGTGAGTATTTAAAAAATATCTGAAGTAAGGATGTGAAATCACACTTTTCTAGAAAACTCATGTTACTTGTCTTTATTATAAATAAGATAATATAGTAAATCGCAGTGAAATGAGCGTTCAAGATTCTGTGGTTGCAGGTGAACAAAGACAAATTGTTGTGAAACTGGGATGAAAAGACTTTGAGAAGAACTTACTGACTCACTTCTAAACTTATATCTAACCATTATGAAAAATAAACAAGCCGTAAAAAGTAGGACAATATCCTTGTTCTTGAAGTGATTACCCTGTATACTTCGCTCATATAAAGTTACTTAAAGGTAGCAGATATAAAACGTTTAAGTATAAGCACAAGTTGATTTCCTTTGACAAAGAATTAGTCAATAATATACAAGTTGAATGTTACTGAATAAAGAATAAGTCTAAGTCTTCTAAAGTCACACTAAATTTCTGATTTCTATTCAATGATTGATGCTAGAATGAATTGGGAATGATCACTTACTAAGAATTTTAAAATTAACATTACAATCCAATATGCGTACTAAATTCAACAAGATGACTTCTTTTACATTATTCATTGACATTAGTTTGTTGATATCAAAGATCCTACTCAATAATATATGACACTTCGAATCAATTTTTTTTCAAAGTAATCCAAGAGATCTTGTTTTATGAAACCACTTACTTCCTATGATCTCTATATTATTTGTCGCTAATATTTTTTGATCAAACATAACACTTTAAAGTCTAGTTATTCATCACAAAATTTCCAATACTTTATTCTACTGAAATTATATTTTATTGATGGATATTGTTGAATTTCGATTATTCTTCAAAACTATCTTACATTTAACTACTAAAAATTAAATAATTGGAAGCTATACTCAATAAAAGAACTAATATGCGTTATAGGAAATTAATGCTAATCACTTTTGACTTGTTAAAATTATATGATCATAACCAGTTTTTACGTTGTTTTGCTGATCAAGACAATCCTAGCATAATAAGTAAAAGAAACTAAAAAAACACAATTGACTTTCGTACTTTGTGTCATGAACCAACCTTGGACAACCATTAAAATTCACAAAGCAATGAACAGATAATTCATTCTAGTATGACACTCCTCACTAGTACGCATTTACATTGCCATTGAATCTCAAACCCAGTTTTGTCAAACCTTGAGACAAATCTTAACCTACTGACCATCTAGCTACCACCCGACTGCTTCCATCTTTAACAGTATTTAATTCATGATATTGAGCAGTCACCTGCTACTCCTCACGATCGACAGTATTGAATTCTACCGGTGTTGGCTACTCACTATAACTTCAAGAACTACCTACTGAAATTAATCACTAATTAGTACGTGATTAGTATTGTTGTGAACAAGAACAAGAACCCTAGATAATGGATAAACCCAACCTTTGCCTTACACTATCTATTTTATCATATATTTTTAAGATTATCAACTGACGACAAAAATGTTGTTAACCTTATTTATGACTGTTTCAGAATTACGAGTTTTTATTAAGAAGTGCTCGCATCTACAGTGTTGTATGTTACTTTTTTTGATAGTTAATTTAATATTATTTCATAGGGTCATTCGCATACACAGTGATACGTCATATATTTGAGAAAAACCAGTAAAAATGTTCTGGATTGTTCGGAGCAATTGACAATTTACTGTGCATAAAGGGTATTACTGGTGTTACCATCCTTCTAAAGAAAAGTTCACTTGTAACCTTTATAATATTCAACCGAATTTATACTATATTTTACAATACATTTTATTATTCAGGTCATTGTTTCGTCAACTCGTAGTTACAAAAGCTAAATTAGGTCAGTCAATAGAATTGGATATGCAAAAATTCACAGTAAGTTTATTTTAATCAAAATACTTGCAAATCATTACTATTGTCTCTTTACTTTTAATTCATTAGTATATATTTCAATAGTAATTAGCTTAGTATTGATAATATTAGTCTTAATTCTCCCAAAAGATACAATGTCTTATGAATGATGATGAATACAACAAGTGCTGAATAATAAACTAACAGTTAAGATTGATAGTTGAGGGTAATCAGTAACAAAAGTTCCTGAGACAATGGATAATGAAATATTATAACAATAAAATTAATGAAAATATTACTTCTTCTATAATGGAATAGGATTTGCGATAGAGATAAATGACAGCTGTTATTCTTTAATAAAGAGAAAAAACCTACTGTGAATTAATAGTCGATTATCTCAAGTTATGGTACTTTAAGCTATCAATGTACTATTGTTTTCGTTAAGCATACTTGTTATACAATTCAAAGAGGTGTTCCTTCTTTAAATTAGTTCCTAAAGACCAACTGACAACTGTTTTACAAAGTAAATACTTTATCTATCGTTTCTCTGCATAGTGGTTTAAAATTGGATTGGTGACTCACACCGAAGACACGAAATTAGTTAAAACCAATTAAATCAGATGATGATGTTGTCGACGCGCTCACAACTTCAATGGCACTAAATTTAATTCCATTTAGATCGTATGAATGATTGTTATTGAAATAGACATATAACCAATCCTCGTATATAATTATCAACTTAACTCGCGTTGGTGAATAACGGAATCCAATAAGTCAAATACGAGAATGGATTTTTGAATAAGCATATTTCATGCAATTGTTGATCGAGGCAAGCGACTCAAGAAATGAAGCGAAGGGAAGGGAGCGAAGCGAAATGACGTGCGATGGAAAAAGGGGAGTGAGCCAACTCAATTTAATCAAGAGTGAATAGATATTTATAGTCAGACAATAATTAGTTACAAATATATGATGAACAAAATAAGAAGTGCACACATACACTTACATAAAAACAGTCAAGATCGACAAACGAGTAATTAACAAGGACAAAACGTGACTAAAAAAGAATGAATAGATTGACCTGTCCGTAAGCTAGAATGTTATGTGGTCATTTATCAGCATAACAATATGTTACTTTCATTTGAAATTCGGATTTGTAGTCGATCTTCAATTCATTGTTGATAAGATGTTGCGGAATAACAGACCAATATTTAGGACTATTGATCGGTGAATTTTTTATATTTTAAATTTAGACTCATCATACCAAGTGGTTAGAATGATCTGATTGAACAGCTTATTCTGGCATTGAACCAATCAGCCACATTCACTCAATTTTCCCATTTTGATTTTAAATTTGATGAAAAACACCTATAAAGTAGCCTGATTCTTCTAATTAAATAGGTCTTATCAGTCATACTAAATATTTTTTGCTAATATTCTCGCAGCTCAGTGAGATATGAGTTACTAGGATTAACAATAGTGTTTATTATCTATACGTATATTTTCACTGCGAATCCCTTCTTAATATTATCAGACTAATGGATTATATCGGTTATTCCAATATTATGCTCATTAGATGACATGCTTTATTTCTATCTGAAGTTTATGTTGATGACATTGTCTAGAAAGATGATGAAAGTTTAATGATTAAACCAACCAGATAGGAAAATTCAGTTCCCGCAAAAGCACTCTATTGAGATAAAATTCCTCTACACTAAAACAAGTATTTGTAAACAATATGAAATGGAGCAAAAAAGTGAAGAGATCTTTTTTTGAACCTTCTTCTTTTGTCATTTTTATTTAGTCAGGCATCTTTTTACTTTTTTCAAATAGTTTAACATTACGTTGTAGTTTTCTCATACCTATTATGTTTGTTTCTACACTAAGTCTAACAAGAAATAATAATTCCTATCAGGTATTTGTATCCAATCTAACTTACTCTTTGAACACTTTTCCCTGTAAATATTGATATATTTATTTTAGTCAGAACCGGAATATTTACAAGCACAAATATGGATAGAAATTGCTTATGCTAGCTCAGATATCAACGTCCAATTGATGGCATTCAAACAGTCGGTTAATGCTATAAAAGTAAATAAATAAAGTATTCCTTTTTGCAGTTTGAATGATCATTTTACTATAAGTGAAATATAAAAATAAATATTTTTATGCATACTCAATATTTTATTTATTTAATTTATTTAAACAGATAAACATTGATACAAGGAGGCAACAAATATATATGCGGCACACTTTATCATTCGATTTGTGTGACAGCTGGAATACTGCCCGAGTGCCTAAACCGAAGCAAGTGGTTTTCTTAGGGGGCCACGCCGCGAGCTTTAGACCTGGAAGTCTAATCCACAAGGCAGTGGGGCAACGTAAGGAGATGCAGTCCCATGGTAACCTGTGACCAACAATAGGTTCATATGCCATTTGTTCCCTCAAGATCCTGTATCCCATGTGCACCACTGGTTTAGAATCGAAGTTTTCCAACTTCCCTATATGAATCCTCCATATTCACCAACCCGGTCAAAGTGCCGGACATTCACTTTTCGTTTTCTTAATTTCATAAACAACACCGCCGCCGCGAGAAAGCAGTGAGTAAGACTTCCCTTGCAGTGGCTGTATACGCGTGGCCATGTGAGAGCATTTCAGGAGAAAGAGAGAGCTAACTCTCCCCATCCTCGACCGTACCAGGGCATTATCTTCTTCTAATAATAAAATAAAACTGTGTAGTTAGTTGCACATTATCAGCAACACTGATTAACCGGTATAATCATTTAGAATTCAATTCAAAATAAGTCGAAAGTGTTAGAATTTAAGTTCGACGTAAAAATAAAATTAACGATTCGAATTCATTTACAATAGCGTAAAATAATTTTAAGACCAAAGAATTGTTTCTCAAGTATACTTAGGTATGTGATAAATAACTTAATTTTTAAAATTTCATATATTTAAACTTATCAAGTGTATGTATATCTTAAAGAAGCCTATCTAGAAATTTATGCTAACGAAGTATCAATATGAGATATGATATACTATAAGAATTAACAGTTTTAAGTCAGTCACAAAAATTGTAAACTTTACTTCAAACATGAGTTGACTAACGAATTAACTACCAAATAGTTATAGGCTTCTTTCCTTACATTAATACACTTTAGATACAACTTTATGATTGAAATGTTTCCCGGTTAAACAGTTGTTGAATGATATACAACAGATGAATCAATATCCACTTATTATAGATATTACTTCTCAAATTTCTAACTTACTGTACTGAATTGTTTATTTATTTATAATTAAGTTGATGGACATGCATGCATAGTTATTTATCGTGTATTGTTTGATACTATTCTAAATTCAGTAGTAATCACTTGCATTGTAACATACAAGTATTTGAAATAAGTTAATGAATGAAACAAATGGAATAATCCTTTTCAGAAGGCCTATACAATTAAATGACATCCATTTCAACTTAATTAACTTCAATTATTACATTTTCTTTTCTTTTCTTTGAAGAGTCCCGATTATTGGGTGTTAAAGTCTGATCTCTTGTTACAGTTTGCTCAATGGTTATTTGCCCATGGATATGATATGCCTACATGTATAAGTTTAGCTGAAGAAGCTGTGGATATATTAAATGATTTATATAGAAAGAATTATGATTTAGATCAGTACAAAGAAACGAACTATAGTAAGGCCAATTTTTTTCCTAAAGTGACTATATAACCATAGATTCAAGATAAGAACTGTATTAATATAAAGGTAGCTATTACTGTATATTTATACACAATAAATAGCCTCTGAAAGCAATAAAAACGTTATATGAGGTTTTTCTTTGTGGAAATCATTCAGTAAAACTTATTGCTGAATTGCTATATATGTATAATGAGAGTGTGTTAAGTTATAGGATAGTAACCCCGTAACATATTTATAGTCTAAGAGTTACAGATGTTGATTACATTACTGATAAAATGACATTAACAGGAATTGGAGGGGGAGCTCTTTATATATTATCATGACTAGTAATACATTTAGTCAGAAAAAGACTGGTTTGTAGTATGAACATTTGGTATGATGTAAGATTCTTTATCAGTTAAATTAATTGATTCACTCTGTTTTTGAAAATGTTAACTTCATGACCTGGTAATACTATGGCAAATTTGATGGGAACTGATTGTACAAAAATTCGGTGCTTTTGTTTCATCTCCCAAACCATTTATTCATCATGAATACCGATAAATATTATTCAACGAAAAATTTTTTACTAGTGTGAAAACCGTGAAGACTGTAGTCTGTATCAACTTAAACTGATATGACACTATTTTACGATTTATTTAGATCAACTAAAGTTAATTTAGCTTAAAACAGTCGTTTTGACGATGACTAGTTATCGAAAAATAGGGAGGAATACCTGTAAAGTCAATGGAAAAATATTCAGTTTATGTAATTCATATTTGATTAGTCCTTTCAGCTTTTGGTAAATACATTTACCATTTGTAGTCATTGAATTGGTTTCGTTCAATCGAAAACGCGTGGTAAGATTATAGTCTTGGTTAATTATGTATTTAATGGGAAATATAACTGATCAAAAATTACTCACTAAAGAAAAATGTTTTCTTAGTTAGCCTACATATTAGTGTATATCCGGAACCAAATGGACTGAGATGTATGGCTAGTAGTAGAATCCAGAATGCGCGGTTCGTCCTATTTAGGACTCAAACCCAGTTCCACTTGTTTTGAGCTCCATCGAGTTATCCACTTAGCTATTGAGTCTGCGTAGCTACTAGCTTGTGCAGTGGAGTGAAATTTAATTTATTTTTGTATTGGTTGTTTAAATCTCCTTAATAATGCTTGTGACTTAAGGCAATATCAAAGCAATTCGCATAGGATGCACATAGCCAATGAGTGAATAGGAAGATTCAAACATCCAATACAAAAAATGAATCAAAACAACTGAATCGTAAATTTGTGTACCAGTGGATAAATATTTAACATTAAAGTAAACATAAACCATTACAAGTTAAAGGTCATAGTAGATTATTCACAAGCTACCCTGATGATTACTATTCCTAATTTCTGTCTCACAATCTATATAAGACTGTCAATTACTATTTCCTTAACAAAAATTAAATCGATACTAGAAATAGTTAAGACACAATATAAAACAGAGCAACACTAATTACTTTAAAGAATTACTATCATACTGAATAAATGCAACAAATTTCTATTTGAATATTGAAATATTTATTTAAATTAAGTAACTCGTAGTCAAACTTTACTATTCTGTCGCTTTTTTCTCTTCTATATAGGTCAACTTATATTTCATTCAGAAAATGTTCAGTATTTAGATATTTTAATGAGAGCATGTGTTTTATTAGCGGAGTTTTGGGATGCAAACAATACAAATATTGAACAAGAGCATGATCTTCATTCACTGGATTATTTAATTATTGCCGTTAATTGTGTTAAAACTATTTTAAATGTAAGTAAATAAAATTTAGTTATAAATCCCGGTGTGATTATAATTTATGAACGACCTTTAAGCGACTCTAAAATGATCTTGAGTGTCCATCTAATAACTAGGGCCAAATGTTAGTTATAAAAGAGTGTGAGGAATTAGAATTATGATTTAGAGTTTGTGGTTAGGGTTAGGAATTAGATTTAAAGTTTTCATCAAGAACCGACATCAGCTCTAATGCAAAAAACATTATTTAGCCAAATAGATGAGCGAATTTCACGCCAAAATTCGAGACCTGTTGTCATATTCCTGATTGGTTCGTCCATAAATTATAGTCTCGCCGACTCAAATTAAAGTATAGTTTGTAGTGGTTGGGCCTTATGTTGAGCTTACGTAGACGACTCTAGTTTCTGGACAGATTAATCTGTTCATTCTTCTTGAGTCACATTTTAACCTTTTCAATTATTCGCTTATCAACCTTGACTGTTTTTATATGATCGTATGTGTGTACATTTCTTATCTTACTTATCACATGTCTGTAACTTATTTTTTTCTGACTATAAATATCGATCTATTCTTGGTTAAATCGAGTTGGTTCACACGCCTTCCTCAATCTACTTCGCTCTTTCCTGTTTGTATCGTCTCCATGATTGCCTGCTCAAACCACTGAGTTGCATGAAATATACCTATTCAAAATCTATCCTCATATTTAACTTGTTTTAATTCCGTTAATCACTAACGCGATTTAAGTCGATAATTGTATACGAGGATTAGCGACATTTATATACCTTTCCAACATGGATTGAACCAGATACTAAAATTTGATGTACATTTTTATATTATATTTAGATTGACCTCTGTATTTGGTAATTTTTATTTAATCAACTACATGATTCTTAATAATATTTTAAGTTCAGATGACCGCTTTATTTAAAAATGAATACATATACTTTTTAATTACTAAACAAGGATGGGATATATATTACTCGACTATCTATTCTAAGGTTGGAGTAAAGTTATTATAAACGCATTTACACCATTAATTTAATACGTAGTTTATTTGTATTAGACTGCACTATGTCTTATTAGGCTTTTATACATAGTTACTTATTGTAGGCATTAGGTTGGTTTTTAGAGACTACTTATCATGAACTGGCTAAAGTTGGTGTACCACGGCAGACCGAGGAGCTCTGAACTGCTGTTTCGTCATAATATGGGACTTCTCAGGAGTTCACAATGGTGACCGGGCCAGGGAATGAATCTAACTTCTTAAAGTCTTACGCTATACACTTAACTATTAAGCCACCGACTTAGACTCAAATGGTTCCTGGTTGTGTCGTGAGTGCATACTCTAAAGGATTCCATGCACAAAAGAAACAGTTGTTCAATCCCCTTTTGTTTAATCATTCTGAATGAGGTCAATCTGTAACGACTACTACTTAAAAGTTATTTATACACTTCTAGTCAAAATTTGTCAGTCTTCATAAGATAGTCTCATTGATTAGGATCGAAAAATTAAAGAAAAAAATTAAAGACTTATCTTCTTTTAGTATATATAAAATCAATCTTCTTATTATGGTTTTGCCTACTTAACTGTGTGCAGGTCACTAGTTAATACTCGGATCAAAAGTAAGTAACTTTTCAACCTTATCTGCTTTACTCAAGCGATAGCAAGGCCTTCAATTTACCCATTAAAATATCTTCTAATTCTAAGTTCTAAGTTTGATTTCTAATGCCCAAGTATTTTTTAATATTCGTCTTTAAATCAACTAGCTTGCTGTCTCATCAGTTATTGAAAGTCCACGTTTGGACCAAAAATCACCGAAAAGTCCTCGATCTACTTCAGTTAAAGTAAGATCAAAATCGAACGAAGCAACTGGTAGTGAAACTAATCGTGGAAAACAAAGTGTAAGTTTGTATTTGTTATGAAATTTTAATTCACTAACTACTGAATGAAGGACACAAGTCATATAATATTTGGAGAGTACACGATAAATGTTAATGAGCTATACAGTCAGAAGAGTCGGCTAAAGTGGAATGTGCATCAAAGTTTACTGCTAGTCACCTGTTCAAGCCTAACCTCCGCGTACAAATACACTATGTTCAATGCCTTTTTCTTCCACGGCCTTAACCTTCCTTCCTATCTTCCATAACCTAGCTGTCCATTATCCTTTTTTTTCTAGTATTTCTTTAACTGATATTAGTTAGTGATGAAAGCTGATCTCGATGGATACAAATCTTCACAAACCATTTAAATAAACGCATTTGTATTTTAGAATGACAGTAATATAAGATTTTACGAATTAAGAAGTCATAAAATGAGTTTGTATGTAGTCGAGAATTTTCTTTACAAGTTTTTAAAAGTTTGTATTTCCTGTATGTTGATTTGAAGATTGGAGTAGATCTGTCTTTCTTGCCATATGTATACCGTGAGCATATATCTATAATTACAAGCTTTATTATGTTTTATATTAAGGCTACTATTAGAATCGAGTACAAGTATTTTGAACCGGTCAGCTTGCTCTATGAACATCTATTCTCTTATAAAACGTGGTCCCGAATGATAATAACGAATAAACACATGAGTCCCAGTACATTTAACTACTAGGTTCAAAATGAGGTAGAATGCACGTCTTAGATTCCGTCGCTAACCACAATCCAAGAAAATAATAATACATTATAACTTAATCGTAGCCCAAAATGCCCTAGATAAGCTCATTGATTATTTATCAGAAACATGACATTTAAAACACCAGCGTAAGTTACATTTTCTAGTCGCATAATTTTGATACAATTGAAGCCTATATGGTTTGATCATGATCATAAGTGGTTATTCTAATAGATTTATTAATTTTAATTTAAAATATGATTATCAAATATCAATATAGTTTATCCTTAATTTTGCACCGATGGTACTGTCCAGTTCTACTTTAAAATATTTAATAAAAAGAAATGAGGATATTAAAAATGAATGCCATCAAATAAACTGAGTTGAAAATCTATATTAACAAAATATGTAGTGATGTATAAGGCAAAATTTCTAGACATATTGTGATGTGTGCTACTGATGTTGACAGATATAAGTAATATGTATCACTTATCAAAAATGGAATGCCTAGTGGCAGATGGTGAGAAGATCGAAGAGAAGAGAATGAGAACAGAGAGTGATTGGTATGGAAATGAAGGACTGGTAAGGTTTGAGACAATTAATAAACATTTTGCAATTGAAGTGTTTACTATATATTTCTCAAATTTTACTAAGAGATTCTGTAATTTTGTATTTAAATATATTTGGTTGTCATCGCTTGTGTTCTCATTCAATACGATACCAGTTAAAACAAGATAATACAGCTAATGTATTGTATTTCATTACCATAAATTGTAATTTAATACGAACAATTGTTTCCTGAACTTGAATTCCTTATTTAGTATAACCCAAATTATAAGAAAATAATACCTGATACAATCATTGAATGGTCTACTTATGAATTATCGGATGATATTTTACAAGCTTGGCATAAAAATTATACAGAATATCAAAGAAAATCAACAAATTTGAATGAATTTGATTTAGAAAATGAAAGTGGAAATTCCTCTGGACTTATGGATATATTTTCCGTGAAAAAACAAATTAATCCACTGACAATTCGTTATCCTGTAGGTTACAAGATTTGTAATTCATTTATTTGCCTGGTATACGTATATCCGATTAGTTTTATAATAAATAACACCTTTGAAAGATTTTTAAATTTATGTTTTACTGATAATTACCGATGGTTCCTTTGGAATAGCTGCTCGATTACTAGATTACAAGTAACAAAATGATTACTAAGTATATCCATGTAATCCGTACGTGATTTGCAACCCACCACTTGAACTAATCTAGAAAATTTCAAAGAAAACAGAAGAAATTCACCTAACAACTAGACACTTGAAATATGAAATGGTTTATTGTAATTAACTTGGTTTAAATCACATTTAGAAAGTGTATTTACTAATCAGAAAACACTACATGGTTGTATTAGTGGGAATATCAAAATTCGATGAAGAGAAATTAGACACTGTAACCCAATAATCCAAGACGTTTCACACAGCAGATATTAGGAAAACAAAAGAAAAAAGATTAAAATGAAAGTTAATATAAATTACCATAAAATTACCACTACATCTGCATGTAAACCATTACAATAAGTTGTTTGCTAAAATAAACGAGTGATTTGCAAAATACCTTACAATCCTACAGAAGTATTTAAATATGCTCAAACTACTTACTAATGTTCAATAGTATGGTCAAAACACAAAAATAAAAGTACGGGAGAAAATAAATTCCAAAACTTCTACCTTACAAGAATGTCCGAAAAATTCATCAAGTTATCTTATTTTGATGGTGATTATTAGTTAAACTATAATCGCGTTTATAAACTAATTTTAAGTTACTGCGACTTTTGTATCATTTAGTGAATGGATTAATTGTGTTTACAATCAAGATTGCATAGATAAATAAACTTATGTGAGCTTATGAGAGAGATTTCTATTTCATCTTCAGGCAGCTAGAAAATAAATTTACCTACTAGAAGAAGGATTGAATAGGCAGTTTTAACCAGTATTAGAGATAAATTGAAATGACTTACTGAAATGTCCAACTGTTTAATTTAGTTTGAAACCATCCAACATTTCAATGCTTCATGACGTTCATTGGTTTTACAACTTTTGGGAGTCCATTGTTAGAGCGATATTTAGAATTATGTTAGATATCTAGTTTCAGCAGCATCCCACAACCTACAGTTACAGATAATCCTATGGAAATAATATCTAACCGACAGTTATCTACAGCGTAGATATCAGCACCATAAAAGTGTTGATCAGCGCTTGGTTATTTTAATAGCCTTGAACTCACTAGCCCTGGTGAAAAATTTAAAAAGCCAGCTTCAGAATATTTTAATAAAATTCTAAAATTGAGTTTATTTTGAGCAAAACTGATTGTAATCTCTATGGATAAATAGATACCCCTAAAGTTCCAGATACTGATTGATTATAAATTCAAATATTTCTTGGGGGTTTTGGTTATTCACAACACATGTTGAGTGGCCCTCTAGTTTTTTATCCAGTTTGCCTTATTTTAATGAATATTTTCAAACTTTATTCATTTTCCTAAATTGATTTGCTGTGTGACATTGCAGTTCTGTATTAAGCAGTAATCCCGTTTGATGAGAAACATGAATATTGTTGGTATTTTATCTCATTTCCAATTCACACTTTTTGAACGCTAACTCTATTTACTTATTTTACTATTTATAACGTACACAATGTAAGTTTGTAACTATGGCATGTTTGGACCGTCTGTTGGATTTGATTACTGAAATGGGTCCAGGTCAACTTGGTTATCCGATTTTAGTTTTTCAAGACGGTCTTGTTCGCAGTTGGGAGAGATATGATAAATCGTCTTCGTTTGCAAATTGTACTTGCATTAGAAAACTTATTCACTTGAAGTAAGTCTTATGCCGGGAACTATTTTTTTTTAAGTAAGATATACTTCAAGGATATTTCTTTGAGTTAAGTGATATGGTATTTAATGATGGATAATAATTTAATAAAACCGTGATTAAATTAGAAACCCAATATTTTAGGTTAGTGGAAAACAGTTTAAAAGATCATCTTTACATTTTAAATCATGTCCCTACTTAGTGCGACTACTTTTATTTGAACATTCTATTTTGTTGCTAAACCAATCATTGGAATCATTCAGCCTTTCTTGCATAAAAATGTTAGGCTGGTTACAAATGTGTATAGTGAGTTGTACTCCTTCTGGGTAATAATATTTGGGGACAGTTGTTGCCTGTTATTGTTTCGACTGCTCAGTGACATATTAAAAACACTCAGGAAGCAATGTATATAATGTTATTCAGGATAACCAATTCTTCATTAGTGTATCGATCAACTATCATCTAGCTCCAATAAGTAACAGTGACAATCAAGATCATATCAACACTTAGTTATGTACCTTTGCTAGGGTATATTCGACAATATCCTGTTTTGTGTGATTGTGTAACATATACACACACTAGAACTTCAGATAACAGACCGGTGTTTGGCTGGATCATATTCATGAAATAGAACATTTTTCATTTGCATCTAAAAATAAGTATTTTGTGAGGCAAAACGTTATATTTTCAGCGCATGAAGTGTGGTCTCAATATTTGTTCAATTACTTTCAGAGTACTTTTATCAATATATCTTCCTGTCATTATCAACTAGGTCAGTGGAACTCTCCTGTTGCTTGGGTTTATCATCCGGAGTAACCAATCATCAAAATAAATTAAATTCTTTATTGCCCAGTGAACAAGAAATAGCTGAGTAAGTTGAATAAAGTAAAAATATACTTGTTAGGTATTTATGTGCTAATAATGGGGCTTGTTGTCTGCTGTAGGAGCATTCCGAAGGAAAGCTATGGGTTACCAAACCAAAACATGGTACCAGTCCATGAAGCTATCGACTATTGGAGCTATTCATATAGTCAATCCCAGACTGTTCGGTTGGGTCCATACGACTGTTGTAAATAGTGGCTACAGACTTTGAGTGACATGGCTTAAAATCATCCGCATTGGTACAGGGTCTTTCCCTCTTTATCTTCCCTTAGTTCCGGAATCCGGAAATTTCCTTATATCTTTTTTCTATACCTAATGTTTTCTGCTAGCGCTGATACTATCGTCGATTCTACTACTTTGAAATTCGCCTTGATAATTTTATCGCAATGTGCTAATATGGTATGAGAACTTGAGCCAATGCACATATATGTCTGGTTCTACACTGCACAAAGCACACAGTATCTCAACGATACGTGATAAGTGAAACCCAAGAAAGGGTTAACTATGATGAGTAAGGCAATTATTCACCTTATTGTCAACGTTACTGCCCATATATCCGATGTTACAGTCAATCTTCCTGTCTGTAAATACGCAAAAGTAATTAGTATACTCTTTCAGTAGACGAAAGCTCAGCTTTCAATATAGCATAGTTCCTCTCCTCTTTTTCTTTTTTTTATAGTTTTCGTTATAAACCATGTTTGTTAGTTTCTTGTGTCAAAACGGAGTTGGATATTTCCCTAGTTTCGAGAAAACACAACTATACTGTACAACATTGTAACCATATCAATAAATTATTTGATCTGTTTATAAACTTAACATTACATCAAATTTTCTCTTTTATTTAACTTCTCTAGTGCATATGCACTATTAAAAACAAATCCAACTGATCCATATATAAAGGATTTAATTAAAAGTTGGATTCATTTAGGCGACCGATTAGCCCGTATAGGTCAATGTTCTCATGCACGTATATTTTTGAGTATATCTGAGCAATTCATTCTACATCATAACGATCAAATGAAATATTGGTTACTTGCTAGAGCAAGATTAGCTCTAGTTGAAGGTCAATATAAATTATCTCGATCATTAATTTCGAAAATATTTGTGAGTTCAAAGTTAAAGTTTTATAACTTAAATTTAAAGTGTTACCATGATACACAACTAGCTTTATAATTTTATTCACCAATTTTTTAGTTTCATTTATTCATTATTTAACAAAAATCAACTATTTATTATGTTAATTTGATTTACTGTATAACATTTCAATGTCTTTTTTCTCAGAAGGGGTTTTATGGAGATTGTAGTAATTTCAATAGTTGAGATCATGAGTCAGTTGAAGCTAGACCACAATGGAAAACCTAGAAGCACTGGACGGCCGTTCCGTTCCATTACGGGATCCCCCACCAGTGTGCATCCACGACCCCACCTAGCGGGATTTGAGTCCAAGGCCTACCGCTCTTACGCCAGGTGCTTAACCAACTAGACCACTGAGCCGGCATCCAACGGTGTTAATGTCTAACTTCTGTTTGAATGAATGTGATTACGGTGTAGTGACTTATAGAACAGTTTCTGATAATAACATGATTCAATGAAATCCTTTATAAATTCTAGTGGGTTTTTCGTTTCCACAAACTTTGCATTATACTTCAGAAACTCATTGAATGCCTTTAGCGAAATGATTTGATTACAAGATTTTAATCGTTGAAAAATTTCCATTATATTGAAACACAATCAATTAGTATTAAAGTATGAAACATGTAACTACCTATTTACTCATTAATTTCTAGTTATTATTGAGTATTGAAGAATATTATCCATGTTTCATTCAAGCCATTTTTTGATTTCTTTGTTTTGAAAACAGAATAGATCAAACCCAATAAAAGATATTAGTGCTCTACATGGGTAGTGTAAATTGATTTAGTCAGTTTGTGGTGTGTGCTACTTATATTAAATTAAGTAGTATATGATGTTAGTCATGAACGGAAGGTCTGGCAGCAGAGAGACAAGAGGATCGAACAGTAAAGAATGGAAACAGAATGCAATTTGTATGAAAATACAAGAACAATGAATTCTGAGTCATTTTGAGACAATTGATGGACATTTCGCAAATTAAGCATTTACTTTATGATTGTTAGATTTTATTAACAAGTCCTGTAATTGTGTGTCAAATACGTTAGGTTGTTCCCACTGGTGTTCGTGTTCACTACAAGTTATTCGGAAAATCTTAAGCCAAAATCCATACATTTTCATTGATTACCTTCATTTCTTCGGTTTAACGTGTTTATTAGCAAAAGATGATATTTACCTAGATCCTACTTTAATTAAACATTTAAATACACTAATGCCATAGATATATTTCAAAAATAAAGTACTGTTTAATAACAAACACCAATATGAAACATGACATTTATTTTGTTTTGTTTGAACCTTCCCATTGATGTTTAGGACTGCAATTGATCAGTCTCTTATTGGTATATGTATATCCTGTGCGGATCACCTCAATATTACCTTAAGTTACAAGCATTATAAGCAAAGATGGATGATGACTAGCAGTAGAATCCAGGACGCTAAATGGATAACGCAATGGCATTTGAAGCGAACGGTACTGAGTTCGAGTCCCTAAGTGAACATCAACTCTGGGATGCAAGTACACCCACCTGACGAGTCCAAAATAGGACGGAAAGCGCATTCTGGATTCCACTAAAAGCCACCATACATCTTTGCCTAAAATGAAGCATGACAGTTTTTTTAACAAAGAACTATCATTAGTATATATATATATATATATATATATATATATATATATATATATATATATATATATATATATATATATATATATATATATATATATATATATATATATATATGAAAAGCAATCTTATCAAGTAATATTCGAACGTAGAGAGCTTTAAAAATCTTACTCATGATTGACTAAAGAGCTGAACTACATATCCGTATTGTGGAAGTATCTAGCGTCACACAAACTGTACAGTAATTGTTAAGTTTAACAGTATATTTACCATGATACCAATCTGATTAGGGGAATTCGGTCAGCGCTTACAGCTAAATAGATATGACGTTAGTTATAAAACTCAGTGATTGATTAATACGATAACTCAAATTAGTAATTTTTTTCGGCTTTTTCACTTAAAACAAATTAGAGTAGTTTTTTAACAGAAATTATTGTAGTTTGAAAAAGATGACATTTTCAACTTAGAGGATCTGTGAAGATTGTAGTATTTTCAAGATTGAATTCATGTGTCAATCTAAACTAGACCACCATCGAAAACTTGGAAGCACTGGACGGCCCCTTCTTCCCAGTATGGAACTCCTCAGTAGTTCACACCAAACCGAGTGTCCTAGCTTCGAGTCCCGTGGTGGGATCGTGGATGAGCACTGCTGAGGAGTTCCATACTAGGACGAACAAGGCCGTTCAGTGCTTCCAGGTTTTCAGTGGTGATCTAGCTTAGATTGACTCGTGAATTCACTTTTGAAAATGACACTTATCATTATTACACTAGCGAATCATCCATTATTTCTTCTGCTAACTCATGTAAACTTGAACTAAATACTTGATCTGTTTATTTTCATGTACATTAACTGGTATGTTCTCTTCGTTAATGTAAATTCACTAAACTGTTTATTTATTCTCAACTTAATTTCATTTTACAAGCAAATTACATTGATGAATTTGCCTAACTTGACATTGAATTATTCATATTATTATAACTGAAGCCCATTAAAATAATTCATCATTAGAAATCAAAAAAACTACAGATATTCACTCTCTAACATAGTAACTAAGTGTTATGTTGAATAATCTTTAGAATATTTTCTTCACATCTATTTCCGTTCACTTAGGAATTTAATATAGAAGATGAATCCTTTTGGTTTGATTGCCTATCAATAAGGATTGATACTTTATGTTATGATCCTAATCTAACAATACATAATTTCAATTTATCCGAAATAAATGATAAACAAGATTTCATGAATTATACTTCATGTCCTTTACATTATGGAATACAAACAGCTATAAAAGAAATTGACTTAGCAATAAATGATTTACAGAAAAGAAAAGAAAATTTTAAATCTAGAAATGGTTGGTTTAATAAATTACAAGGAATACTTCTATCAAAAAAAGCTCAATTAATTACTAGAATTGATGAGATGAATTATCATTATTGTACAATATTCAATTCATCGGTATGTTTAAATTTACTGCAAATAGTTGAATAAAGAATTTTCTTCTTTTTTTGTATACAGTATGATCTGGAAATACCAATTATCAGCTTGTATAGTAACTGTCTGTGATATTAAACTTCGTAAATAAGTTTTAATTATATAATAATAATTGTCGATTATGTAAACATTTCCAAAGTTGGATCCACGAGTCAATTCAAACTAGATTACTACTAAAAACCTGGAAGCAATGGACGGCTGTTTCATCTTTGATTGGGACTACTCAGCAGTGTACATCTAAGATCCCCCACACGGGACTCAACCCCTTTAGACCTGTACACTATATTCTCCACAAATCCCTAAAACAGATATTAAGAAGGCTCCGAAAGTTCAACCTGTTGTTGACTATGCTTCAATTCAAAACAGAACTTGTTCATAAACTGCTCTTTCTATGCTGTATACTAAGTAACGTGATAAATGTAAGAAAACTAAACAAGTTACTGTTTATTGATGTCATAAATTGACTCGATTTTAGTAACCACTGAAAACTTGGAAGCTTTGAAAATTTGTTTGATCCTAATGTGGAACTTTGCAGCAGTAAGCATCCATGATCCAGACACCAATAATCGAACTTAGGGCCTTCAGTTTTGTACTCGAACACCAACCTTTGTACCATACTAATGGTGAATATGTTAAGCTCCAATCAGTTCACGATATTACGAGTCCATGTTCTGTTGTCGCCAGTAGGTAAATTCCTCACACTCGACACAGTTGAACTTTACTGATCATACCCTCTCACTAGAACTCTAGGGGTTTTCTCTCACAGCTAGTTACCAGTGAGCACATGATAAATGTCAGCATGTGATTGTGGAGATTGTTGAATCCCAATGAAATCACGAAAGGATGTTTGGTCTTAATATGGAAGTCGATCTAGTTGAGCGGTCATGTTTGAATACTGTTGTGGAGTCCCATTCTAGAGCTAAACAGCTGCTTAATGCTACCAGGATTTCAGTGGTTGCCTAACTTAGATCGGTTCTTGATCTCAATAAAATTCAACAATCTTCATAACCACCTTACTGATAATTACAGTTTATTTAAACTTTTGTGAGGATTAGTTTATTTGTAAGTTGTGTTCGTCACAAATTGGTTTCAGTCGAAGTACCACTGGGAACTAGAAAGTAATTGGTAGCTGTTTCGTTCTAGCATGTGGACCCCCAACCGTGAGCACCCAGAAGCCCGATAGGGATCGTGCTCTGGGCTTTCAAGTCGTAAGACGAGTGCCTAACCACTAAAACCACAAGACAGACATCTGATGATACAATTCCAATTTTAATTAATCTGTGACGAATATAACCGGCCAATTGTTTTTTAGATGAGTAGTTTGTAGAAACTTATTCGATTTAAGAATACTTTTAGTCACATATTGACATCAACTGGAGTATTACTAAAAATCAATAAGAGTTAGACAACTGTTTTGTCTTACTTTAAGATCCTTCAACAGTTTTCAACGTGAAATCGATCTTCTTCATGAGAAAGTCTGATTTCGGACAAATAATCGGGCTTGAATAGCCTAACAATGACGTTCCTAAATGTATTACTTCTTGTAGCTTTGCGGACATCTCCCAATAATTATTAGCAAACACAATCTCTAGGCTTTTACAGTAATGTCGATGACCTAAATCGGTTAAACACATTTGAATTCATGTTAATTAATTGAACCCGAATATTAGAACCTTCCACTTACTCTTAAAATTGCTTAAATGATGTCTTCATAGTCTGTACACTATCATTTGAAGACACTAAAGGTAGCATAAATTTCCAAGAATGAATCATTAAACTTTAGTTTCGGAAATATTATTCGTTTGATTAATAGTATTGTTTTGTTAAAATATTCATAGATGAAATGCTGTTATAACATAAAATTATTAAAAGATCTCAGATTATTCTTTCTATAGAAAGTAAAAGCTGTTATACTATACATCTTCAATTTTTAAGGTGGTATTTTTTTTCATTTAGGATAAATCGTTAACGTGTAATTTACCAACACGTCCAATAAATTTACTGGTTAATCCGAATAGTGCCCCAAAGTTATTTGAAGAAGTCATTTGTCTTTTGACTTCAAATAAACGAAATGCTCTTAGATTAGGCTGGATGCCATTACTAGCCTACTGGGTTAGAGGATTCAAACATGAAGTAAACTCACACGTGAGTTCTGTTATTTACAATTTAAAACATTAAAACGTCATACGTTTAAACATATGTCCTTTTTTATCTGTAAGCTACTGTGATCTAATACAGCGGGATTTAGAACGCTGGATAATTATCGTTAATTTATACAGTATCTAAGGTTCTTGAGTTCAAAACTAAGTCTTTGGAAAAAATACGGCCGAATGCGTTTTATATGCTTAACTCAAAGATAATTAATGTTAAGTAATAAATACTTCAGTTGGTTTGCTCAGGATTGCTGATGTATGCCAGCTGGCCGGAAACTTAGGTTCAGGATTTCCTGTCTATTGCCTTCAACCACCTATGTCTTTTAACACTCAAAGCATTCGTTTAATATTCGTTGAATTCCGATTATTTATGATGGAAACAGACTATTTGTTTGTTCCCAATAGTTTGTTGAACTAGTAAGCAAAAAATTGTGAAGATATTTACATCTGAAACGTATGTTTCTTTGTCAGAGTACCCGTCTTTGTAGATATCTTAAGGTGACTTTGAATTCTAATCTTTCTTCACGATCACCTTTTTACAGTACGTAATTTATAGCTAATTAGGTTTTAAAAAATGAATCGTGAAAGTGTTGTTTATTTCATTTTTATCAACCAACATTCTTTTCTTCATTTAAACCCATTTCCATATGCTCCATATTTAAACTGTTATTTTTATTTGGTAGATCACAAAACTACGCAAAAAATCATGTCATCCATCTACTCTCTGTAATTCATTCGAAACTACTTTAACTATTGCACGTCAGTGTTTAAACTTTGCTTATGAAACTGTCAAATTGGCTGAATCTTTTAGTACCCTAGACGAAGTAAGAGAATTTACTCATCATCATTATTATGTAATACTTTTGTAATTATGGCTATTTTGTTTATTTTTAGTGTTACTAAAACTGTGACCAACTATAGGGTTTAAATTTCCAGAAATATCTTAAAGTTCACTCGTAGTTGTGGAGTATATAATCCCGTTTTCAAGTATTCCAAAATAAGTATTCTTCTTAACATCACAACCAATCTATTGATACTCAATTCATTTAACCTGATTAAAAATTTTAATGCACCCTCACCGTAATTATTCCGAGTTGTAGTAAGAGCCAATTAAGAGTCCGTGGTCACAGTATCGTTATAACTTGAAAACACTTTTAAACACTTTTCTTTTAAATAAAATATTTTGTTTTGTAGTACTTGAGTGCATTGCTTTCAGAAAACTAGTGCTTCCTAGGCTTAAGTAATTTCTTAATTAATATGTCTTCTTATAAATAAGACGACAGAAATTTTCACAAAGCTACTTATGTTAATGATGAATTTCTACTCATTATTCATTTGTGATTCGACAACAGGAGTCGTGAGCTGTTGATCCAAGCGTGTTGAGGGTAAGACAATTACTCACAGATATCATTAAAGGAAAAAACATGTAATATCAAAAATTAACTGACGTTAGAAATGTGGACAGCTAGAAAACCAACTAAGTAGTCTTAATTTACTGTCCGATTAAGAAAACTGTAGAACCTACGTTCAATTCCATATTTCGTTGCAACCAAGTAGTAAAGAGAAGTCTGCAATTTAAAAGAATCAGACGTTCATTTATGATAAGTTCATTGTTTAACTAGGATTCAGAACTCATTAATTAATTAACTGAATGACAGTAGCAATAATGACGATCTATACAGCCAAACAAATCATCTATCACTGCTTAAATAAATTATTTTAATAAGAATTTCAATCTCAAACATTACTGATCACTGTAAAATCGTATTGATTCACCTAGTTCCTTTAATCTAATGCTAATAATATGGATTAATAATGAAATCATATCACACATCTTATCAAAAGTTTACTCACTAAGGTTAAATAAAGTGGGTTCAATGAATTTTGTGAACTTTTCTAAAAATACCTGCCAAAATAATTTCATTTCATTGCTTAAATTGATGAAATCCGTCGCCCTGTGAGTAATGGAAAATCAAAATAATGCCTATCTTGTACAACTTGACTTTTAATAGATATTTCAAAAGTTGAAATCACGAGTCAGTCGAAGCTAGACCACCATGAAAAACCTGAAAGCATTGGACGGCTGTTTCCTCTTATTGCGAGACTCCTCAGTAGTGCGCATCCACGCCCCTGCCTCGCGGGGTTCGAACCCAAGACCGGTCAGTCTCGCGCGCGAACGCTTAACCGCTAGATCACTGAGCCGGTATCCAACGGCATTATGTCCAACTTCAACTGGGTTCGACTCCCGCAAGGCGGGGTCGTGGATATGCACTGCTGGGGAGTTCCATACTAAGACGAAACGGCCGTCCAGTGCTTCCAGGTTTTCCATGGTGGTCTAACTTCAATTGACTCATGATCTCAACTATTGAAATTACTACAATCTCCACAAAACCCATTCTGATAGATAGTCAATATAAGATAATATGAAATTATTTAATATATATATATGTATTCTACCATATTATTTTAAAACATTTCTATTCTATAAAAAGCTGAAAGGATGCAGTTTACCAGTTCATAGAGATTTAATTGAAATCAAATTTATGCTGATAACTGTTTTACTTGATATGATGAAATTACATGTAATCTATATGAGAACAAAACTTCAAGAGAATACTTTAAAAAATCCATTATATTGTGTAAGTTTGTTTTTTTAGCTGGTATAAAATTTACATATTTTCGTTTTTATTCAAAGAATTTTCATCTCTATTTAAAAACTACATCGTCAACTTCTTTGTAGTTGATCATTTCCAAGTTTAAATGATAGTTTATATTTAAAAGTTTAGAGGTCACTATTAAGAATTACCATAAATAGAATCCCACAATAGGACGAAACGGCCGTCCAGTGCTTCCAGGTTTTCCATGGTGGTCTAGCTTCAGTTGACTCATGATCTCAACTGTTGAGAATACAAACTTATTGAGTTCTATCTAGGTAACTAATTGTTTAAAAGTGTATCAATTACAAGAACTATTTCCATAATATACAGTATCCTATTAAGCTGCATGTCTAATGAAGTGTACATTTAATCTTCATTGTTCATTTTCTCTTTAACTACAAGAAATTTAACAGCAGAAAGATAAATTTGTCAATAAAATCTGAATAAATGAAATAATAGTTTAGATAAGTGTACAGAAAAGTTTAATGATTTCTTCCGAAATTTCGGAAAAATGAGAACTGTCATAATGAACTTTTCTTTAGTCTGTATACCTCATCAAAGGACATTTAATGTTATTTTTATTCAGTGAAATAAAATAACCCCTTCAACGGCTTATACATAGAGATTCGAATTATTAAAAGTTAGTTTTGTGTGACTCAAATCAAAAAAATTTAAAATATAAGTATGATACTAAAGCCAGGTTTATCATTATGTGTTTAATTATTAAGTCACGATAATAATAAGTCAACTATACAGCCAAAATTCAACATGGTAATTAAACTCATTCAATGTTTTAGTTTATCTGTTTTAAGATTATTTTCTTTTTACACCTATTAAGGCTGTCGAAAATTATATCAGTGAAAATTCTTCAGATAGTTTAATAGAATTGTCGAATAAATGTGGTCAGTCTAAACAACAAATGTGGGATCGTTCTATTGTATATGCATTCGATGAAGTATGCTCTTTATTATCGGATATATTTAATATGAGTGATAAACAACCTCATCTACTTGCAAAGGTAAGCATAATGAAAAAAAAGAAGCTTTTCATTTTAATAACTGGGCATCTTTGTTTTAATTCTGAAAGTAATCAGGGAAGTTTTTATCTGCTTTTAAAAAATTCTCCATGGAGTTTAAAAGGCATAACCATAGTGAACGGTGTCTGAATCAATTGATGTGTCTGGTTGTGATTAGTGGATAGTTGATTAAGTGGAGAATACGATAGCTATCTGGTCGTCAGTAAACTGAACATGAATAATAATAGTTGTGAATGGAACAACTATTTTACCGTATAGGGTACAAATATAGCTAGATAGTATTACAACATTACAATACAATTACCAAATGGTTAAAGTATACATATTCAGCTTGAAGAACGAAGTTCGTACCAACGAATCGACATCATTACAGCTTTTGGAACGTATAGAAACTGTCAAGGACAAATCCTTAGGTTTGTAGAAGCCCTGATGGTTTACAAATTCAAACCCCTTTGCGTGTACAGAAGTAATTTATCGTGACCTTGAATTTGCTCTGGTAATCTTCAAAGCACTTTATAGCCTAAAGAGGCGGTATGAAAAGTTCCTATTTCTCCGGAATTATGTTAATTATCTTTTCCTTTTACTTACAATTATCACCTTGTTTTCTCGAACTCCGATTTAACTGACCTTGATTAGTTTCAGGGTCAAGTATTTTATAGAATACCTTGATAAGTATATGTGTGACCAGATTATTTGAAATGTATAGCGTAAACGCATCACACTTTTAGATTAGTCCCCTCTTCTCAATGCTCTACCAAAATTTATAAAAGGGACCAACTGCTTTAAACATTTTTAGATTAATACTAGCTTGACAATGACGTTTTTCCTCATTTATTCCAAAATCCAGTTACTCTCAATGTGTTAATAAAGCATCAATCAAAAGTGATAATCTCACCTCTGTAAGTATCCCTTTCATTATAAGTAATCCTGTCCAATTATGTGATCGAAATGACTATTAATAGTTCTGTGAGAGCCTTTCCCGAAATTTCAATAGTTAATCTACGTGAATACTTCAAAACAAGAAAAGTCATCGTTATTACTAAAAAATAAAAATTCAGGTAGATGATTTTTTGTGGAGTTTTGTCCATTAAGCTGGATGGTTTGATTGTGAAGATTTCATTATTTTTCTGAACAACATCACCAGCACAAGCTTCCGGTGTCCATGATTCCCCTGACTGATCGATAAATTGGATCGATTTACATGTGTTCATTGATTGCTGATTGATAAAATTAAGAATCAGATCAAAGGGACAAACAATCAGAATAAATATCCACATAGCAAGAAATTAAAAGTCAGTAATCATCAGTTCAGATCAAAAACGATAAAATAAGCCGTTAGTCATGTATGAAGAGATTCTAAAACCTCAGTTCTACGTAAAGTTTATTCTGATAATTTTATTCAGTAGGATAATAAAAGCTTCACGGTTAAACCATCCAGCTCAGAAAATGAAACTTCATCAAAATAAAAACTCATTTCTTTTTTTAACAATAGTTGCTTTGGTAGTTTGAGAAAAGAATAATGAAAACCTAAAGATAGAACTGGGAAGAACAGTTATTATTTAAAACCTTAAGATATTTTTATGTAGCAAATAGTTTCTTCTTGTTAAGAAAATGAAGTGTCTGTGATTATGAAAGTAGCACTCGATGAGTTCTGAAATTCAATATATAAGTAAAACAACATATATAAGCGAACAGTATTGTTTTCGATTAGATCCTCATCAGGCTTTACTCTAATATACAGTAATATTTATATGCATATACGAAATTATTAAACCAATCAAGGTAGTTTATAAGTCAATGATAACAATGGAAAAGATTACATAATAAGTAAAATGTGAAAAGTACAAATTGATGGTGTGACAACAGGTGCATTAGTTTTTGATAAGCAATAATAATAAAGGTTCAAATCAATGTTACATAATCTGAAATAGGTCAATGATTAGAAAAATATAGAAACTGAGATAACAATTATAAAATTATAAGATGACGTAATAAGAAATGTTCAGATAATTGGACCATGAAACGTATAGTTGAGAGAAAATAAAGTGGTAGGAGGGTGTGAAGAAAAATAATAAACGAAGAGAAAGTTAGAAAAGGAATAAATAAATAAATAAATAAATTCATTTATTACTTAAGGCCAAGGGAGAGATAAGGGAGTTACAAATTTCTTCTGAACACAAAGACTTGGCTTGTTGGCTCGGATTCCTATAGCTTCTGCTATGTGTAAGAGACGAGATCGAACACCATAAGGAAAACTAGTGGGAATCCGGTAAATAACTTTGAACGACTTGTTTCTGTCCACTACATGACCGCTATCGATCAAGTGTGATAGAACCGAGCTGCGTATTGTTTTGACGTAACCTTTTCCTAACCACGAAGGGAGGTGTTCACTAACTCGTTGGTTCAGTTGCCTGGTAGTGCGCCCAATATAGCTTTCTCCACAGGAGCAGCTGAATTCGTAGATACACATAGAAGTGGCATAACCAGGTAACTTATCCTTCAATTGCGGAATCACCATCGATCGGGTCGAATACGATAGGCAGAGGTTGGCAGCATTAAACGTTCTCTTTACTGCTCTAGTCAATCTATCCCGTAATACATCGCTAGCCAAATCACCATTGAATTGCAGTTTCAAGAAAAGCGGTTTCTTATTAGCCGTCAGGGTCACTATTTTCCTGTTTTTTACGCGCAAGTGTTTCTTCAGGAAACCCAGTGGATATCCCAATTCAATCAAAATATTATGAATGTGTTGTAATTCTCTATCAATAGTGTCGACTGAGCATATCTTAAGAGCTCTATTTGCAAGACATTTGACTAAGTTTCTCTTATAATGAAGAGGCACAAAGCTTAAAAAATGTGTGTATTGGCTTGGCGAAGAACTTTTTCTATACACACCCCTGCTGATAGAACCATTTTCTTTTCTACTTAACAAAACGTCCAGAAAATTTAGTTTGTTATCTATTTCCTCCTCACATGTAAATTTAATAGCAGGATGTTTGTTATTAAATAGTTCCAGTAGTTGTTCTTTTCTAATGTTCTGATCGGCAATGATGAAGGTATCATCAACGTAACGACAGTAGAAATCCAGTTTATTGATAACCTCCTTGAGAGGTCCGTTTTCTAGTTTCGCCAGAAAAAAATCCGCAAGGATGGGACCTAGTGGCGAACCCATCGCTATACCATCAATTTGTCTATAATATGTGTTATTAAAGACAAAATGGACATTCATTGTGCATTTTAAAAGTAATTCTTTAAGACTAACCCAGGAATTCCAATATTGATTTGTTTTTCCTGCAGTTGTTGGCACACAAAATCGATAGTCTCTGTTAACGGTACATTGGTGAACAGGGAAGCAACATCTAAAGATATCATTCGTTTCCCATTTAAATTTATATGTTCCACTTTAGATATGAAATCGAAGACGTCTTTCACGCTTCTATTGACGACTAGTTTGTGTAAGGGGTTTAGGATACGAACTAGCCACTTTGCAGTTTTATGATAAGGTGAATTATACATATCTAAAACTGGGCGAAGAGGAAGACCTGTCTTGTGAACTTTAGGTAAACCATATAGTCGCGGTGTGTTCGATCCAGTAGGCTTGAGTGAGTCATGTAAGTCAGGAGTAAGAATACCTTTATTTTTTAATTCCTTCAGTGAGATAGTCAGCAATTTTTCTGCCTTCATATTTAAGTCCTTAACGTCGTTGAGTTTCTGAAATTTTGTCGGATCATTCAAAATCACGTTCATTTTATGAATGTAATCAGCTTTGTTCATAAGAACTAGCCCCCCTCCTTTGTCCGGCTTGCTTATGATTAGAGTATTGTCGTTTCTAAGTACATGTAAAGCATCTCGGTGCTGTTTGGTAAGTGGAGTTTTCACCGTACATTTACTATTTTTGTATTGTTGGCAGATGTCTACCAACGTGGTCTTAAACCTGGTTAATTCATCAGGAGAAGTAGGCACCAAATCTGTTGTTTGTGTAAATAAATTTTCAAACTGTACATCTGTATCTAGTTGGTTTATTTTATTACTATAGTCGCAAAACCTAGGGCCGAGTGACAATGCCTCTACTTGCAATGCGTCTAACGTAACACTAGAGAAATTATGAACGTACCGCTCAGGGTCCATAGGAAATTTTCTTTCAGGTTTATGAGGTTCCAGTGACTGAATTAGTTTTGTTCCCAGTTTTTCTGATCTACTTTTTGCCACCATGTTATTATAATCCATAAATTGTGATTTTATTTCCGGTGGTATGTTATCGAGCATATATTCTCTTTGTGAAAGATTTCTTTCTAGATTGTTTATGTGTAATTTTAATGAATCCGTTTGGTTAAGTGCATGCCGTTTAAGGGTTCTGGCATTCGGGTAAACTTTGTTCCGGCGTAAACATTTCCAATATATTTTAGGATATCTATCATTCCGTATACAATCATTAATAAATTCCAACGATGTTTTCGCTTCAGTGAGACGAGCATTAAACTTTAGGAACTCATTGAGCACCTTAATAATATTGTTTATTTTTTAAACAAGGTTATTCTGTTATCAATGATTCTTTGATACGCTTAAGTTACCTGTTAACTAAGAACAACAGTAATTAGGATTATTTCTATAGTTACTGATATTTCATTATAATCACTGAGTTTATTCATTTGATAGTGAGATGTTTTTCACTGAATGTTTAAAGGTATTTGGTAGGGAATACTCTACCATGATATGAATAGTTTGTATTCCTCAGTTCATACACTGACATTGATACTCATGATTAAAAAACAACAACATTTATTCCAATGTACAGAGCTAATATGATAAACGAAATGTATCTAGGGACTGAAAGAGGTTGTATGAACTGAGTCTGAATTTCTTTAATGTTGTCACCTTACTATTTCAGTGATTTCAGCAAATCAATTATTGTTTTTGTCTTTTATGGAAAAAGAACTAGTGAAATTAATGGTTGGGGGTGAAAATGGATTAAACTGAAATATGAAATTCTTATTCTTTTTATTGTTCAACTATATTCACACAATTCAGACTTACATTACTCCATATATGTTTAACAATATATTTGCTTACGCGCTTTAGAGTTCGAGAAATAATTTTCGGAGTTCTAGTGAGTAATTATAATCGGTAGAATTCAACCATGTTGGGGATGAGATAAATATGCGCTCGCACGCGAGACTGATAGGACAAAATAGCCATCTAGTGTTTCCAGGTTTTCCATGGTGGTCCAGCTTCAATTGACTTATGATCTCAACTATTGAAATTTTAAAAAAATTGTTAAAGTTATGGGATGCGATATGCTGAGTTCTTTTTAACTTAAGATTTCTAGACCATTGATCCAGCATACCTAGGTATAAACTAGTTAAATTAAACTATGATTTCCGCTCCAAAAAAACTGGAACATGAAATGACGATTACTTAACACTTGGAACTCTATTTAAAAGTTTCGAAATAACACTTAACATTCAAGCACCAACATTTTTCAAAATAAAAAATTATCACTCATTTGTTTACTCGTAAGATGATGCTTAAATCACATGAAGATCACTTTTCTTGCTTTACAGTGTTACTTTTACTTTGGTGAATCAGTTTACTTAAAAGGTCAACTAATATTGCCGGATCTTCAAGATAACTGGAGTCCAGAGAGCAATGATAATGAAGTAGTTAACTTTCAACCAATCATCCAAAATAGTACATTTATTCAAGAGATGACAAAACAAAATTTGGAAGATATTACCTTACATTCAGGTTTTCGTTGGAGAACTCATACTGATGTGCTCAATGACATAGTAAGATGAACTTTATTGAAGTTATTAAACAAAACACCATGTGTATAGAACAAAAATATTTTAGACAGTTGGTTCGATGCAGATTGTAAACAAACTTAATAAAACGGAAGCAAAGACTGTCTCTGTCATACTCAAAATTCACGGGACTGAAATTTGGTGAATCAAATTATTTCGATTATTACAACATGGCATCACTACCGTATTTCCTTATTTACAACATAAATTTCAAACGAAATGCTTATTGTTGCTGAAATGTTTTGTGAAAATTACTTTAATTTGTAATTGATATTTATCATTGTTCGACATCAGTAGGAGTACCATTTAAGGAATGGATACCTGTGTTTACTCTATAGAACATTCAGATTTAAGTCAGTTCACATCATTCCACATTTCGTGATTTCAATCTATTTACTATATAGCACGATTGTCATCCAATATTATTAATGGATAAACAGTCAGTCAGTTAGTAAGAACGTAGAACTTCGTACGTACGTACGTACATCAGTTTTAGTTGCCATACCACATTAGCACAGAGGTGCAGTTGTCGATTCAAATCTCACAGTGGTAGAGGTAGTAACAGTATAAGCAGTAATCAGAAACATTAGGGTTTGAAGATGTTATTCAAGGAGTATAATCCAGTGAAATAAATTTGGAAAGAAAATAAAGAGCATGAATAATTCAGAAGATTAGAGTTTTAGAGAACACACAGAGTGGATGCACCTGCTCCATTGCAAACGATTTTGAGCCATGTGATTCAGGGTCTCTATCCATCGGTTGCTATCATCTCGCGATCCCCAACCAGGTAGTCTACACCTACCAACATGGCTCAGTCCACTTGTCAGTGACTTCATGAATTTGTGCCATGTTGTGGTCTGGCCGCCCCTAGCTTTTTCCCAACCTACTCCAACACCATGAAACATCGCAGGTCGGGGCAGTCGGTGGTTGGGCATACGTAACACGTATCCCAGCCATCTCAATTGATGAAGTTTCACTACGTCATCATTTGATTTGCCATCCTTACCTAGTACCCGTCTCCTAGCAACTGAGTTACTTACTCAGTGGTCCCATGATATACGAGCAATGTTCCGAAGACACCTACGATCGAATACTAGTAACCTACGAATATCCTCTACTCTTACTGACCATGTTTCACAGCCATGAAGTAGGACGGAACGAACTGCTGCATAGTAAACACGTCCTTTGGTTGGTAGACGGATATCTTGCCTACGCCATTAATGACGCAATTTGTTTAAATCCATAGGTCACGGATTCTTCTTAGAAATAATTTAGAAAGTAATCTCTGATGAATATATAACTACTAGTTACATCTGTTTTTATGGAAATTGCATTACCCTGAAGATAATTCATAGTATACGTTGATATCAACCATCCAAACGTTGTGTTTTTCAGTGATTTTGTTAATTGACGTTGGTCTGTGATATAAACTACTTAAAAGAATGTTTCTTTTTTACCGTTACTAAATATTATTTCTTTTCAACTGATATGTGAAACAATGTCTTTAAATTATCTTATGTATGTTTGTCAATTTACTTAGAAAACTTACAATTCAGTGATGGATCTATTCTCACAAGCTTCATCATTATTTATTATATGCTTGAAAATCTGTCTTGCTCAAAATTTCATGGTAAGTCTAATATGTTTATAAATGGCAATGTAATTGAAATATACTAATGAAAATGTTAGCATGATATATTTATAAGTCTTTACATAGACAACTAATGATTTCAACCAGTAAGCTTAGTCGAATAGATCTGAAAGATCCTATAATCATTTCACACTGGGGTAATTTAATTAACTATTCCTAATTACTGATCGTTTGTTAAGTATATCTGTTTGTATATTTTTCCTAATATGCAATATTATTATTATGTACTAATCCTTAAAGTGCTCTGTTAGATTACTTTCTTAGCTATCCACTTACATGTGATGATGTTGAACAACATACTTCTAGATTTTGCTTTTCCGCCTAAAATTCCATAATAACCTCGCTTATTACTTATACCTAAATGTTGCTGTTTTTTCGGTGAAAACAGCTTTACAGAGCCACCAAATATCGGAAACTTCTTCTTCGCCTAAATGATTGTTTGATCATTTTTGCTATAACGTGAAGTATTTAAGAGAGTTTGATAATGGGTAGCAGTGCAATCCAAGTGTATTTCGTTGTAGTTGGGGCTTATTGGCTAAATTTACTTTCATCTCGGCATTAATTAACATATCGAGACTCACACTCAGTGCTTTTATTTGATCAATCACAATCTTTAACACCAACAATAGAAAACTACAATTTCTTACAAATGTAATGCGATTAGTCAATATTTTTATTGACTTAAAATTAACATATCAGAACTTTCCGTTCGTACTTTCCGACTTATTTTCAGTTTTCTTTTTCAAAAATAAAAGTAATGAAATACTAGAACCGTCCATTCATGTTTTAAATATAAACCTGAAGTACATTTAAACAGATTTCTTAACTTTTTCCTTCAATTTATCTTACACATTTATCTTATTCGAAATTATTATTAGATAATACAAATCAGTTCATAAATCTGATTATGACGCCTTTTACATTATATTAAGTATAGCGTCATTACCATGAAAATCTTGACAAATAAAGGGATTTAATTCCATAAACTTTAAAACTGAAACTAACCATAGTTACTGTTATTTATGTCCATAACTAACCAATTTAATCGTTGCTTAAACGTCCACCACGTCAATCTGGTCTGATGTGTCTGTAGACTATCCCTTTTTGCATGTGACCTGCCAATTGAAGGACATTATTATCCTATTATATTAATGTGACTCAATATTTATACATTTCAATAAGACATTCAATATTGGTTGGTGTGTTTGTGCGTTCCACTTACACTAATCGAATTATTTTTACGTTTAGAAACAGCTAAAGTTTGAAGCCAAGTTGTCCTTGTTCTGACTATAGCTTTCTCATGGACTCTGGGATCGCCAGTACCGCGTTTACAGTTCTAGTAGAATACTCATAAGACAAATTAAATTCTTTATAGCAACTTGAGCATTGCTTACTGCCTACTCATATATTCATTCTGCTAACCTTACTGTTGGTCGCTTAATTGATTCGATGATTCATTCATTTCCCTATGTATGTATATGTACATTTTAATCCTGCTCATTGACTCGCTCATTCGACTCGTGCGGTCACTTCCTTGTCTGCTAGCTTTTCGGCATTACTCTTTCATGCTTGCTTGACGTACTTGTAAATTTAGTTGTCTGTGCATGGTGCAATAATAAACTTAATCAACGCTTCGTGTTCACCTTCTGACTAATACACCACTGGGGCATTATGTAGTGACGGTTATCAGGACGAACTACATGCGAAGTTTAAGGATTATATTGAATACCGACCACCACATCCTACAGTCACTTTACCCGTCTTAATGGGAAATAAATCATACAAGATAATGCGCTAGTAATTTTTATTTTATAGTACTGTTGTAAAATATGTGTACACTAGGAAGGAAATGATTTGACAATTTTAACCACTGATTCAAAATTTTATTTGTTAGAGAATTCTTATATTCCTACTTTGAGGGGTCGCTTTTTAGGTCAGAAAAAGTCACTTAATCCAGTACCAATATTTTCTCCATGTGAAAATGCGGTTATTAATAAATAAAAGAAATAATTTTTCTCCATCTAATATGTGGAAGTTACCCGATTTGAGAAAATGTGGTACCGATACATTTTAACAACTCATATGTACTCAGAAGAGTTTAACTATGAGTCAAATCTATTGTATACGGACTAATATTACTAGTCGGCTAAACAGGCTGGATTAAATGAAGTAACTGAGCTTGTAATTTACTAATAAGTACTAAATGCCAAAATTGTTAGTCGTTTTAAATTAACAACCCCTCCAAAATAATCCAACTTTATTGTAAGGCCATCTATCCTAGAAATAAATAAGCACTAGTTATACAACAAAGACTAGAGAATACTGAACAGTTGATGAACCATAAATAATTAGTGAATCTCAAGATGCACAAAACTGAGTTTTCAAGAATCAGCAAATTATAGTTTTGTTATGTTTATTAGTGATCTTGAGTGCTGTCAGAAGTATGGGGGCGGTTATCACTTCCCGGTTGTCCACACCGAGGAAGGGTTCTTCTGGAGGTACCTAGAAACAAAATTGGGTTAAAGGTGGTCTTAGTGACCTGAGAGCGTGACCACAGTACTCAAGGGCAACTGCTTGAGGCCGGTCACACACAACCTTTTTATGGGTAATTTTTGTGTTAGCTCCGTACTTGTTGAGAACTTACTGCCGGAGACGGATATTCATGGGACCAGGTGAGGTGTGCATTTTTAGGGTCGACCTTTTCTAACTCCACCCCTTCTTGTGGGAAGGCAGCATCACTGTTACGCTGGATGTCTTAAGGAAACAACTTACTGCTATCACACCTCTGTACAGTCAGCAGTACGGCTTCGCCTTCGGACCTTGAGTTTGTTGCTTTCAGTCTTACCGCTCTTCAACCGACCTGTCTGACATGGTAGGATCTTGAGGGACGGTTGTTCCAGCCAGTATAGCTCGGTTGCTTCATCACAATAGGTAAGCCCGACCAACACGTCAAGGTAGCAACAACGATATGGCAACTTGGACCGATGCACATATGTGCCTGCGGTGTAGCTGACTGACTCGTTATATTTATAGAATACAATAATGAGCTAAACTTAATGAATTTAGCTTCATAATTTAAAAAGCAGAAATCTTGGTTATGCGTTCATGTATGTTGTCAAACGTACCACAGCTTATTAAGGTACTTATATACACGGTACTTATTTGCTGTTATATTTGTAAAAGTTGTCAAATCTTACTTTTAATTTGTACAGTAAGTCATCTAATTACTAAATTCTTAATTTTCAGTCACTGAACTTAACAAAAAATATATTCCCTTTTTCCTCAGGGTTTAGCACGTCAAGTTACTGAATCTCTACTGAATTTACTTGGCGGATGTCATGAGAGTGTTTCTACATTAACACAAGATTTACTAATTGGATACCAAAGTTGTTCAACAGCTGTTCGATTGCGAACTCATTTCTGGCTAACAATATTAGCATATGATGCACGTAAATGTTCTGGAGGTAGTCAGTGCAATTTGAATGTAGAAAATGAATATTCTGATAGATCTATATTAAATGCTTCAGAAGCACTTGTTCGTCAGTTAATGTGGTCTTCTCCATCTTGTACATATGACGATGACAGTTTATTCACTACATTTGGATTCTGCTCAACCATGGAGCCTTCATCTTATCCTGAAGCATTAGCTTGGATAACAGGACTTAAATCTAATCTAATTTCTAATCGCCTACGTTCCGTCGGAGGTTTATGTAATGGATCAGAAGATCATAGTATATCAGCTAGTCCATGGATACCAGTGATTTTACGAACTTTAACGTCACAATCACAAGTCAGTTGTTTTCAGATTATTTTCAACTTTTACCAAAATTATATTTTTATAGAATTTGTTCATTAAATTTACACTTCTGTTTGACTGAGTTTTATTCATGAGTTAGATTAAACATTGGAATATTGATTACCTGAAATATTATTTCTTTAACAATGGCCTATGAATGTTACGAAATCCCATTTGAATTTACTAAGTAATATATGTCTTTTTTAAATCATATGATTACATGTAAATAAAAATGTGGTATAAATTGTTAAGGCTTTACCATGTTATATTCAACTTTTCCCAAAGTGAACATTATGTAACAAGTTCCCAGAACTGTTTACTAAAATCAAGTTTATATGCCTTGTAAATGCTTTTAACCAAAATCTACTTTTTAAGATGCACAATCTTAATTCCATGTAAATGAATATTTGTAAAATGTAGTTACGAGTTACAATTTGTTGATGATGATAATAATAAAAATTCAGAACATATAAAGATATTTTCCTTATTGTAGGATTTTAGAGGAAACTTGTTCTATCTTGTGACCGCCGATTAGAGAGCAGTGACTTATCGATCGGAACAATGACGCGTAAACCCATATGAGCAGCCTAGAGCTCTGATTGGTCTTGCTTCCCGCCTAGCCCAACCAGTTAAGTCCAGAACTCCAATCTCAGCCTCTGCAATATGAATCATTTATTTCAAACATACTCGGTTTATATATCAACCAGGCAAACCACAACGTACCATAAAATAGAAAATAACATTTGTACAATATTTGGCCAACAGGAAAATGACACGTGAAATAAATATTGACTAGTAGGGAAACGACACGTGAAATAAAAAATTGACCAACAGGAAAATGATGCCATTTCAAGTCCAAGGATAGCACTAGACTTAACAGGATAATTTTTGGGATATTTTTCTGAATATCCCAACAAAACTATACAAAGAATACAGTTTTTGATATAAAAATATGTTCGTGACATAATAAAATAAATTTTAAAATGTAATACCATTACAATAAGCATAGAAAATCAAGTAAGAAGTGAACCGAATGGAAAAATTGATTGGATTGTGTGATTGAAGATTAATAACAGGTTATAATAAAAACTTCACGACATCGTGGTTATATTTTACCAATAACCTCATATATAAGAAAAATAAATCACCAATAAACCTTTTCCGTATTATTTGAAGAACTGATGTTCACCACTGGATTCAAATCCTGTTCACTGAGTATTGTAATCAGAGGTGTTACTTTTGAGATATTCCGACCGTGATCGACTAATAGAAGTGAAATGTTTACATGCAAAATGATCAGTTAAATTAACCAGTATGATATGGCACTCAATGATATGTTTCTGAATATGACAGTAAACACCGCTCCCTTCAAGACGATCGTTAGCTAATATAGAATCAAGGTTTATTACTCCTTCACAATATTTTATCATTTCTTAAAAGGAAACACAATCCATCATGTTGTTAAGTCACTCAAACTAGCAGTCACAGTGAGAATTATGTAATAGAATTTGCTTTTCATTAAGGGATAGACAGCCTTTCATTAGTTACTGTTCATTAACCTACGAGTGTCATTTCAGGTTATTTGCCCATAAGTAATACGAAGCTTGAAGTTGTTTACTGAAAGGTGTGTAATTAAGTTTGAAAATGGAATGTTTTCTATCCTTCAATGAGAAAGCTTTACCTAAGGAGTTATGAACATAGAAATTGAAGAGAGATCCTAACTAAGAATACATCTGAAATTCAAATATTAATAATGATAATAATAATAATAATAATAATAATAGTTATGAGTCATTCATTTTCCATAAAATCTAAATATCATCGACTCGTATGAACATGAAACAATTATTCAGTAATCCCCACTTTATTGCCTTCAAAAAGTCTATAACTCGTTAATTTTTATTCAATTTTCTTTGTTTAGGCATGGAGAGTAACTGAAGTGAATTCTTCTATAATTTTTGATTCTAGTAAAGTCCTTCAATCAACTCTAAGTTCACTACCTGGATCTAATTTACAAATAACTAAAACCTGGAATCTTCTTATTATGGAACATTCAATTAACTCACACTTTTTATATGTTGCTATACCTAAACCTATGAACAGGGCTGTGTCGAATCGAGATCATCGGAGCAGTATACCAGCTAACAAAAGTGCAAATAAAGGTTAGATTTATTTCATTATAATCATCATATTATATTATCAGTATAGGGGTTGTCGAGGTTATTAACTTTTTGATTGAGATCATGAACCGACTAGCTTCGTGAGGGAATTCTCGGAGTTCTAATGAGAAGCCGTGATCAGTGGAGCTAATCCGTGTCAGGTAGAGACAGGTATCTACCTCAGTACAATGGAACATGGTCGTGCAATTTTGTGGATTGGTTGATGTTAGACACTCACACCATTGGGTGCCGGCTCAGTGGTCCAGTATGTTAGGCGTTAGCGCGCGAAACTAAAGTACCTAGATTCGAATCGCACGAGCGTGATCGTGGATGCGCACTGCTGGGGATTCCCACAATAGGACGAGATGACCGTCCAGTGCTTTCAGGTTTCCAACGATGGTCTAACACCAATCGGTTCATGATCTCAGTCGAAAACTTATACTATATTACTTAATTAAGTATCTAATCGTCTGACATTAAACTATTTACAGCGAAATAATAGGTAATCTTAATCACTTGATTCGAATCTCATTTAATCTACAATCGTATGAAGTATTGAATTTAAAAATAATTAATAGAGTTTTAAGGGCTCGTACTATGTCAAGCCCACATAGGTTATTCTAGCCTCTGGACAGATCAGTCTACTCATTATTCTCAAGCTACATTTCACCCTCTCACTTAGTTGCTCATCAACCATGACTGTTTTTATATGATCGCATGTGTGTGAATTTCTTATCCTGTTCATCACGTGCCTGTAACTTATTTTTGTTCGACCATAAATATCGATTTGCGTTTAGCTAAGTTGAGTTGGCTAGCATTGCCTTCTCTAATCCGTTTCACTTCGTTCTCTTCTCTTCGCTTCGTCGCTCTGATTGTCTGTTTTGATCAACGATTGTACAAAATATACGTATTCAAAACTTCATTCTCGTATTTGACTCATTTAATTTTGTTATTCGCTAACGCAATCTAAGTCGATAATTGTGTACGAGGCTTAGCGACATGTATATTTCGATAACAATCAGAAACGATCTACCTGAAGTCACTCAAGAGTATCGAAGTTTCCAGCTGAAAACCTAAACAATAGAATTCAGTCATCAGAAACTGCAAGATCAGTATTTTAGTTCAGTTGAAATTTTTAGACATATTCTACTGTTTCTCTATTTTCCTACTGTGATCAATAAGTCCAAATGTAAATCATTCATATATTCGAGTGTTTCGAGAACATTTCAATTGAAATAATCGTATAATATTAAGTAAGACAAAAAACATACTTTTGTATTAGTGAAAAGCAGCATGTAAATTCCAACCTGGATATCACTGTTTTTCTCTTGATTGTTTTAAAAACAACTTACAATCCGAAGATTATATACCGGAATGTATGAAATAAAGAGAAAAGTTAGTTGATATTGGCGTAAAAAAATAAACAAAACTATATCTTAATATACTGATGGCATAGATGAGTTAGGTTTGGTTGAATAGAACTCAATCAATGATTTTTCATATGAAGTCAGTTTGTTAATCTTGTAAGATTAAAATTGTGAAAAACGAGAAAAGATTATTACCTTTGGGTCACATGCCTGGTTTCTTTATTAATATCAAAGATTATTCCTTAATAACTGTCGTGAATATTTTAAAGCTTATAGAATGATTTTGAGTCGAGTTGTATAATGGTTAACAGTGGGATCTAGGACTCGCGTTACGCTCTACTTCTAACTCGTCAGCTGGATATACCTCTGTTTTTATGTTGCTATTCTATGATATATGGAAATATTCAAATTTATAGACTAATTAGAACTGTTAGAAGTGTCCAATTTAATTCAGAGCTTAATGAGCACAAGTGAACGTATACTGTGTTTGGAATTCGTAACAGATGCAGAATAATGTTGTTATATCCCGATAAGAATAATGAATGGTAACTTTTGGGATCCATTATGGACCAATACTATGAGTAAATTTTTATCGTATAATTGTTATGTAACTAAACTGTTCATATTCATGTCGCTCTTATTATAAGCTTTAATTTGACCCATAGGCTATTACTATAATATTTACCTTTCTTGAGTTATGGCCTATCCATTAATTACCATCTCCCTCATTCACAGCCACTTTTGGCTAAATATTGTACAAATGTTGTTCCATATTTTATGGTACGTTGTGGTCTGTCTGGTTGATATATAAACCGAGTATGTTTGAAATAAATGATTCATATTGCAGAGGCTGAGATTGGTGTTCTGGACTTAACTGGCTGATCTAGGCAGGAGGCAAGACCAATCAGGACTCTAGGCTGCTCGCACGTGTTTTATGAATCACTGGTTTGATCGATAATTTCGCTGCTCTCTGATTGGCGGTATTGTTGCGTTATTCAATATACAGGGCACACAGGTTCACAAGTTATAACAAATGTACAAATGTATTAGCCCAAACATTACATATTTATATGGAACTCAACCCCGATACCTTTCTCATACCCATTTATAAACAAATATTTAAAACTATCTTTTATTTTCTTTTATAATAGGCACTTTTCAGTACACTTTCCTTAGAATAGAAACTGATCCAATCTCAAAATGTCAGTTGATTTACTCATGGAAAAAATGTTTAAATCATTTGGATGAACAATTAAAAAAAGCTGCAAATATTAAAAGTAATAACAGTAATTTATTTAAACAAATAACAAATCAAGTAAGAATGTTATTTATTTCATATTTATCTTAAATGAAGTATAATTCTAATGACCTTTTATAAGATTGTATAACACAATAAATACATCAAACAGATAATGTCAGTTTTTCAACAAAAACAAAAATATTCCTTGTGCTTCTGAGATGAAATTCCTCAAATTTTTCTTTGATTATACAATGTTTAATGAAACTTTACTGAGCTTCACATTCATTAACAATGGTGCATTAATAAACAATATTAATATCCTTGATATTGTAAATATCCATCACTGATGAAGACTATCATAATAATGTTTAATATCATGTAAGCAGATTTATCACAAAAATCGAACCAAATAATCAAGACCATAGTATATGAGTGATACAGGTTTATTCATAATATTAAAGAAAACTGAAATTTAAGTCCTTTGGTCTTCCTCTTTTCCTTTGGCCTTGAGGATTCCATGTGAGGGCTTGTCTTGTGACTCAGTTGGGTGCTTTCCTCAATGTGTATCCTATCCACTTCCAGCGCTTCTTCCTGATTTCTTTCTCCGCTGGAATCTGGTTTGTTCTCTCCCACAGTACGTTGTTGCTAATAGTGTCCGGCCAACGGATCCAAAGTATTTTGCGTAGATAACTGTTAATAAACACCTGTATTTTCTGGATGATGGCTTTCGTAGTTCTCCAGGTTTCTGCCCCATACAGTAGAACTGTCTTGACATTTGTATTGAAAATCCTGACCTTGGTGTTGTTTGACAGTTGCTTTGAGTTCCAAATGTCCCTCAGTTGTAAATATGCTGCTCTTGCTTTGCCGATTCGCGCCTTCACATCTTCATCAGATCTACCCTGTTCATCAATTAATTTATAAGACATTAAAAAAAACAGAACAGTTTCATTGACTTTTCATTAATTCATTTTAACTTATTATTTTTATTATCTTTTATATAGATTTTAAAAATAAAAAGTGATTTGTTTCAAAACTCTATTGAAGATATTCAATTATTCAATTATTTAAATCCAATATTTGAAATATTATTAAAATATTGGTTACCAGGACCAGATTCAAATAATAATCAAAATAAACTTGATGACAAATTAAACAATAATAATAATAATAATAATAATAATAATAATAATAATAATAATAATGATCCAAGTGGAATCGTTTGCCAAATCAATAAACTAAATCAATTATCTTATCAATTAGAACAATATTTAAATAATCAATCAGATCTTTCAAAAGATGGTTTATTAATTATTTCCGATTTTTGGTTAAATGAATTACCATTAGAATTTTACATTATGAATATATTATTTAATCATATAAGTAGTAATAATTATATAATAATTAGAAGGCATAGTTCAATAATACAAAAAAATTCAACGAATACAATAGTAACACCAAACTCTATGAAACAAAATAATTCACCACTTTTAAAAAAAAGAAATAATACAATGATACCATTTAGTTGGTTGACAAGAGAATTTAGTGTACAATTACTTTATGCACGTTTAACAGGTTTGTTTCTGTTGTTGTTGTTCTATTCATTTGATAATAAAATTGTATTTTAATGGACAATGTTATGACTCAATTGTATAACAATGAGGTAACAGTCAAAATATTTCAAGATTCTTTTTTGGATGAGGTTAAAGGATGGACACTACCATTTATAGCGTTTTTATTTAAGTAAATAGTATTAATTGCTAATTAACACATTTATTATTAAACCGTTCAAACAGTTCAACTTAACCTTTGTTTCTAAGTTTGAATAGACAGTGTAGTGGTTTTGCGTCATTAATCAATCACCCTTGTAACCGTTATTATATAAATTTCAGTGGTATTTGAGATCAGAAGGCAATTAGAAGCGACAACTATAGTTTTATTAGCGAATAGAGATCATAATGCTAAGAGCACATCAAGAGAATTTGAAGCAGAGGCAAATATGTATATACGAGCAAATACATAGGCAAATTTATAGTCAAATCGCATAAGGGCTCAGTATGATAAAGCAAAGGCTAATAATAGGATTTGAGTACATATGTATGGGGAGGAGAATGAATCATCGAATGATATTTAAGCAATTAACATTTTAGCTAAAGTCTGTCATGTGATCTAGTGATCATAACAGTACAAGGAGATATGCGAGTTGTTACTATTCTAATAACACTGTCTGTTAAGTAAGTTAATAAAAGAGCTTAACCAAAATTAACCATAATCGAAATTGGTTGTAGGATAGTCACTATGATAGATTACAACCATCATATTTGTGTAAACAATTAATCACCGAGGCAATTAATTGATCGTCAAGTTATACATTCAGTTAACTGAAGATGGTAGCCTATAAATATTATGCAATATTTAAAGGTCGAAAATCCCGAGTTACATCTCGTATGAGGTCATGTGAATACTGCGAATACTGTGAATACTAAGAATAAACTTATCTCCAGTACGCTCTGGCTTTCAATGATTAGACGTGTTTAGTGGTGTGAATCAGAATCGGTGGCCATGGCACAGATGCGTTCACTAGTTGCCTTACCTTAGGTCCTGAATTTTAAAAACATGCTATTTTATTTCGTGAATTCATTGTTTCTTCTCGAATCGTATTGTCTGTCTAGTCTTTTCTACTACATTGATATTGTTACTACCTTAATTTCTCTGGTATTTGCACTGATAACTTCCTCTCGTTGTGTTGATATGCTGTCGCAGTTTGAACAGATGCATATGTGTGCCAGGTTCCGCATCGCTTATGACTGAATGAATGGCTATGCTTTTTAATTATTCTCTCACTAATATTAGTCTGTAGTTGAAGCTACCTTCAAGCTGAAAATCACTGAAAGACTTGTATCTTTATAATCTTTTAAATTATCAGTTCTACTACCTAAAGACTGAAGTATTATGCTACTAGCTGAACTATATGATTGCATACGTTCTATAAGTCTATACGGCTATTCAATTTACGTATGTTAGATATAAAAACTTGACTTTCCAGTTTGATGATAAGCTAAATTTTAGATATAAATAATTTCAGGCCATCAGAACACACACAAAACCGATGACTTATCGGATAACACACATGAACAAAGTGTACAACATAAAACTTCAAAGAAACCAGAAACTACCCGTGGAATTAGTCTCCATCCTCTATTACGTGATGTTGGATCAAAACAACCACCATTACAGTCCTGCAAACAGGTAGGTCGTACGTAATCTTCTCTCCTAATTATTACTACTTCATAAGTTTTGTTTAAAACTAATCGAGACACAAGTGGATTTCTATAAATATTAATTCTTAGATTATTCAACGCTGTCCATATGTCTAAAAATTTAATACTTTTTTTCCATCAGAATAACAGAAAGCATGGTGTAGTTGAAGCAAACAGCTTTTTTAATATATTAGACATTAATTCATACTGGAATAAAAATAAAACTCAGCAATTCATATTGGTAATATAAATTTTTAAAGTTTGACAATCAGTTTACAAACGACTCACATGGAATTAATATCAACTTTCAAAGTTGAGTTTTCTTTAAACAAAAAGATAAGTTCAATCTAGTTATTTTTTCAAGAACTGGAAAAGCATCTGCTAAAGGTATTCTCGGCCATTTCAATACCGAATGAATTTCTATCAAGATTTATAGGTCAAAATACAATGGTGAGTGAAAAAACAACCCTCGAAGTTCTAATCTAGGCTTTCTCAAGTCACAAATGAATCAGTTATTTTTCCACTATTTAATAAATTCTCGAACACCATCACATGTAACGCAGACTGATAGTCATGGTATTTCTTGGTAGTTAAGCTACCTTCTGCAGGTTGGACGGGAATCTTACAGCACAACGACCTCAAGAAGTGTGGTTACACCCTGGATGCTCAATTTGAAAATACCTTGAACTGAGTTAAATCATTCAGTTAGTTCTTTCGGATATTTCAGACTAGCTATGGGTTAAGAAAGAGTTAACCGATCTCAATATTCCTTCTGTATTTTGGCACTGATAACATTCTGTAAGTGGCTCTGAAGGAAGTACTTGACGATAGTACATATTTGTTGACAGATGAAAGACGTCCAGATTTCCAGTATACAAATGATATTATCATGCTGTGATATGTCATACCAGCTATCCCAATCGGACTTAAAAGATTGGCTACCAGAGTCCTTAAGGATGACAAAAGCTTTGGGGAGACGATATTCAAGTCCATTCAACAAAATTTACGAAAGCTTGTGTTTATCCTGACTCTTTACGAACTATAATTTTTTCTTACATTTGTTTAATATAATTTAAAGTGGTCCATTCTATCTTTTTATTGAATGAATATTCTTAACGGAAACTAGTGATGACAACTTTTCTCGTAACTTCATACACGTTCTTGTGAGGACAGCCAACAATCATTAGTTCTTCTTTGTTCTACTCTTTACTCCCATTCCATAAAAAATGTTCCTGAACTGTAAGCGATATTAGATGTTTGGAAGTAACTTACATACCAAAATTTAACTTGATCCCCATTCTAAACTTAAAGGTCGTTTAATCCATTACTACTACTACCACTACTGCTAAAAATAGTACAAAGAGAGTACGATTTTATCATGATATCATTTTCAACTTTGATAGGCCTAGAATGTCTACACTTTTCTAAAGATCTTTTTTCATTCAGTATAAACTAATTTTATCCAACTTTGTTTGTTCATTCATTTGCTAGCAAAATACAGGATGTTTACTAATCGACACAACATATGTACGTTACTTGATTGATCCATTTATGGACACTGATATTATTACTTCTATTAACTCCAGTAATGTTTCAGAACAAGCCGATAATAATAACCGAAATGATTTCTCTCGTGATACAAATTTACAAAATGACACAGTAGTCATTAATTATTCATTTAAAAATCATTTCCAATTATTGCTGAAAGAACCAATAACACGTAGTCAGCAATTCACTTCACGTTGGATTGGATTAGTAGGTGATAGTGAACTTGGTAAAGTACCATCAGAAGAAGAATTATTAGTATTTTTAAATGAAGGAGCCAGTGTATTAATCAGTTATATTACAGAAAATTTCCTTTCTTATTCGCCTCCATCTACATTTATTAATTTATCAATTCCTAGTAAGTTATTTTTTGCCTTTCAACATATTTGATGACATTATTTTATATTAATAGTATAACTTACTAAGATAACTTACTAATGACCAACTTCCAGAAGCAATTTCAAAAGTCTTACTGAGGAGCCATGATCAGTGGAGTTCAGCCATGTCTGGATGAGACAGTTCTTCACCTCAAACAATAGATGGTCGCGTAATATCAGTAATTAATTAAAGTTAGACGTGTATATCATTGAATGCTGGATCATAGGTCTAGAGGTTATGATCTCTCGTGTAAAAACAAGGGTTCTAGATTCGAACCTCTGTGGTGAGAAAAGAGGTGCACACTGCTGAAGAGTCCCATATTTGGAAGAACCAACTGTCTAGTGCTTGCTAGTTTTTAGGAGCAGTCTAGCTAAGATCAGTCCATGAGTTCAACTAGAAAATTTTGTAAAGTAAAATATCTTAATCTATTTAAGATATTTGTCAGAATCTTCAATCAACAAGATATATTCGACTTTCAATCGATAAGTTGCCGCCCAACTTTGAGATGTTCTTGAACTTAATCCACAAGATTTTTGTGATTGGAGACTGTATACGATAGAGTTTGAAATCAGTTACTCTGTTTTAGTTTTATTCATTTACCTATATTCCTCTGAGTTTTGAGTTCAGAAGAACTCCACAATTTCCACTCTTACTTTATCTATATTTTTTTCGTTATTTTCCTACTTCACTTAATACTGATTTGTATTCCGTTAACTTCTTCTATTTTCTTGATGTGAGAATTGATAACTTAGACTATCACAAATTCATCCCAATGCTGAGTTATTCGTAACTAAATGATTGATGTGTGCATAACCAAACTAAACATTGTTAGATAAGAATTGAGATCATTTGATGACTAACTTTACAATTAATAAACAGTTATTTCTTGTTTATGTTCATTGTTACATTAAGAAACATTTACCCCAATTCTTTCCAATTTTTCCTATTGCGTCCAAGCTATTGTTTTATTTGTTTGTAGACATCAGTCATTGAAGTTTTGAGCTGTATCGGAGTATTTATCATTGAGTAACTGTACTCTGGTCCAACTTGTACTGACGAAATTTTGTGTGCCATATTCTAGAATGTTGCATATTCACACACTAAACATATTGTACTCTAATATTGGTTGATGTCTAAAATCTGTCAGGGGTTCAGTCAGTGATTTTCATCAACAGCTGTTGCGTGATGCCTGATATTTATTATAATACTGAAATAAATTTTATATGATTATGAGATGTTATCTCTATTGCCTGTTATTCGACCTTATTACACTTTTTGTAAACCAATTTTTGTATGCTAAATAATTTGAATTCACCATAACTTGAGTAAATATTTTTCCACATGAAGAGAATTAATACATTCATTTTTATTGTGGTCCTGACTTTTGACACTCAATTGTTTGGAGATTGGAATTTTTCCGTGTAAAGGTTTTGTTAATATGATGGAATCAATCGAAAATCTATTATCCATCAGTCGTTCTACGACAGTTTCTGAAATCTAATGTAATAACTAAGGAGTGCTGTTACGAGTATAATCTTTAAACAACTGATCAGTTTCAAGTAAATACTTTGCGCCTTTTCAAAATATTTTCTATCTTTGAGTAAACCTCCATTTGCTCTCAATTTTCAAATAAATTTGTTTAGAGAAATAAAGACTTGTCGTTCGATAGTCAACAAGTATTTTAATCTTATACTTTATGATGCAAAATATTGGATATACTTTGTTTGTTCATTGAAATGAAAAAATTATAAACAACAAAAGAAAATTGGGAGTTGATTTCTTTATTATGTTCAAAGCTCATGTAATTGCAGACATTCTCAAGGATAGTCTCTGTCTTCATCATTTCAAAATTGACTTTACTTAAATTTATCAGATTACCACATATGCTTCAAAATAATTAATCTTTATTATTCCCAATAATCTAATTACAGACTACATATGAGATTATATTTCACTAACCAGTCATCTCAAGTAATTTTTTCCTATCCAGGATTCATACATCACTTAATTATTTCATTAACTGGGGTTTTCAGTGTATTCCAACTTCATAAATTTGTATAATTTCGGTAAAAGATAGTTTCCTTTATAAAATGTGTTAATAGATGACCAACTTACATAATTATTCGATGTAGTAATGTGGTACGCAAAGTGAGGATGTGAAACAAGCTTTCTGTTATAAATTAATACTAATTACTGAAATAACTGAAAAAAAAGTTTCGTCTCATATACATAGCATATCCTAACCTGTAAACAGCACAGTGATATATTAAAAAGCATACTGGAACCGATTTGAGGAGTAGAATCCGAGTTTATGGGAAACTCTACACTAATAAATTCTACGCACTCAACTTTTGAGTTGGGATAACGATAACTGAAGATGTTATTTTCAGTACAGGCAGATGCTACAAAGCCTCCAACTATTTGTCCTATCATTACTATTATAAGTAGCAAAGAAATATATTTATGGTCTTTATTTTATTCTGTCTGAATTTTTCAATAAAAATCCATTTCCTCCACAATGGAAAAAGTCAGAAATTGTAGAAAAAAGCAGTAGAATAGTTTTGTCTTACATCATTCAACAAAAGTTAGATTTTCAAGTTTTCCAGCTCAATAATTTTGCATATACGTTATGCTACTTAATAATTTGCAAGTAGTAGGATTATAATAGATTATTTTCATAACCGAAGTGAAAATTCCGTCTCAGTTTCTACATAAATATATAATTGTGTACTTCTCAATTATTTGGCATAATAAACTCACCGTTAAACCTGGACAAAGTAAGAAAAATTCAATCCCGTGAATCATATTATCCAAAAATTTTGTATTGGTTTGTGACTAATCAACAAAACAAGAGGAGCTATATGCAATTAAGTTATATTTACTCAGGAGTTAGATTGTAACATAATTTTGTATTCTTGTAACACTTGGTATCAGTTAAACCAATGTTTATTTTGTCCTTATTTTGTACCTTCAAATATCACTTTTGCTAGTTAACTTAGTTTAGAGTCTAATCACTGCAGTCAGAAGTTGCATAGTTATGAACAGCATATACCATGTAACTTTTTCTTGACTGTCTGTCTGAAAGCCTGGTTTTTGTTTGCTTGTACACTTATTGGTGTGGTATTCTTAGGTTTAAGGCTAGTGAAAAAATATAAATAGTAGTCCATCAAGTAATAGGGGACAACATACCAAGATTTCGACTAATAGCTTAGTGTAATAAATTACTAACATATATTATAAGTTATTTGAAAAAGCAACAATTGTATCCAGTAGCTCTTTGCTGACCATCGCAAATTTTAAATAAAACTAACAATTTGCCCTTTAACTTGGGAAATTAAAGGCTATAATTTATGATCTGATATTTATTATAGGATAATGTAAGCCTAAAAATACTAAGAATTGAGCAAATACTACTATTTTATCAGACTTTCAGTATTACACAAGACTACATTTGTTGGTAAATAAACATTAAGCTTGTGATTGCAATCAATATTAGTAGACTTACTAAATACTACTGTTACTGATGGCTTAAGAGAAAAATCTGCCCCTTATATCTGAAACCAATAGTTTGGTCTTTTAGGAAAAATTGTTATCACAATGTTTTATGAATAGACAGACGAAATGTATTGGCTGTATTGTGTTATCAGAAGTAGTTCAACAATTCCAAACCTTTAAAATCCTCATTATGAGCGATGAATACTCTCCATCATGTCTGAAACGAGATATACTATCTACCAAGATCAAAATCAATAGTTTGAAGATTAACACAGTTAATTTAAAGTCTGAATATCTTGGATTTCATTTTATGAAACGTTTTAGCTGATTCATACATGAAACTTCGAAGCAGGCTTATTGAATATCAAGCATTCTTCCAATACAAGTGATTATTTAACCCATCTTAATAAGTGTTGATTATGTTCATTGCACAAAGCTTTTCACGTCCATTAAGTATGTTCTATACAGCAATTTCAGAAATTTTGTCTATTTATTGGGGAATGCTATACGTCAGAGAGTAAATTGATCTAAAGATTCCATTTACTCACAACTGTCTGCCATGAACATATTAGTTTAACGCAGCTCGGCATACAGAAGGAAGAACACAAATAAAGTGAACGTTAAGGCTTAAAATAAAATCTTTACTGAAACTTGCAATCTAATATGTTGCTCTCATGAACTGTAATTGCAGGATAGAATACATCTAATGAAAGTTGGAAATGTTTCTGATAATTTCAGAAATTTTTATTCAAGCTGTAATGTAAACAGATTTGTTGTACATATCCGCTTTATGCATTTTTATATCACTTACAAGCTATATATATAAATCATAATTAATAATCTTATATTGAGCGTGTGAACTAGCATATATATTCCTTAGAAATTCAAAGTTTGTTTGATTTAATGACGTTTGAACATTGTCTAGTAGATTAATGAGTTGTGGCCCTATTCCGATTTGTTTCGTTTTCACATTTCTATTTATTTAGAGTTAAATTTATAAAAAACTGAATAAATTATCATTGTTATTAATATTATTATGTTGGACACTCCATGTTCTTAAAATCGCTGGTTTAACCTGCATCAATCCATCTCCCATTCACGACATCACATCCAGTTCTTAGTTGTATTTATCTGTAAAATAAGACAACAGAAAAACAATCTTTTGGTTTATATTATTGGGAGATTTAACGTTACCTCTGTTTTTTCTTGTCTGGATTTGAAATCTTGGTGTATTAAGTTTAAAATAAATATTTTTTTATCTAGGTAAAGAAAAGTTATATGGACTAATTGGAATAAATGACAATGTATAATTGAATATATTGTTTTTTCTAGGCGCCATTGTTTTTCTTTGTTATTCATTTTTGTGTGATCTTCTTTCTTTCTTATTCCTTTATTTCTTCTGCATCATCACATCATCATCACTTTCATATTCAAACAGATTAAATATCTCCACTTAAGTGAATTTTATCATAACAAATGGTTAAAAAGTATCAATACCCTAATCAAATATGTTTTATGTCATCAGTTACAGGATGGGTAGTATATGATTCTTATTCTGGAGTCCTTGTATAGATCAACGCAAGTTATAAATTTGAATGTTTATCAGACTATTATTGAACAGTTGAATTTATGAGCCGATCTAAGTTTGACCACCATAGAAAACCTGAAAGCACTGAACGGCCGTTTCGTCCTAGTATGAGACTCTCCAGCAATGCGCATGATCACATATCAAAGGGACTCGAAACCAGGATCTTCGGTCTCGTGCGTAAATGCTTAACCTCTAGATCACTGAGCCAGCATCCAGCTGTAATAATATCTAGTGTGACAGTTACCCACCCAAGATAATGGAAGATGTTCGCGTAATACTGTGGATTGGTCGACGTTAGACATAAACATCTTTGGATCCCGGCTCATTTGTCTAGAAGTTAAGCATTCGTGCGCGAGATCGAAAATCCTGGTTTCGACTCCGTTTGGTGTGGGATGGTGTGTGCGCACTGCTGAGGAGTCTCATGGTGGTGGTCAAACTAAGATTGATTCATGAATTCAACTGTTACAATACTACAATTTCCACAAACCCCAATTCTGATATTACAGATATTGTATGAAATCAATGAACCCTTGTTTCTTATTATTATGCTCATGTAGATTCATTTTTCTTTGTGAAATTGAAACAAATACTTGAATTAATATTCAAAGAATATTCAGAATTATTTGCTTAGTTGAAACAACAATATACTACTTAATTCAACGTCAACTGAATCTATATTTTATTTTACGTTCAATACTGAATATGATCTTTCAATACAAATAACTTGATTTGTAATATACTTAAGCAAACAGTCATAATCCTTTTTATTGTAAAAAGGGAAAAGTATTGTTCAAGAAACTTTTTTTATCAGGATTCCAATTCGTGATATTAACCCTTCAAAAACAAGATTAAATTACTACAATATTCTATATGCCCTTCATTTTGTTCTGTTTATTTATCTCTGATTTCATAGATTGTCATTTAATATGTCTTCTGGATAAAATTTACACAAGAACTAGCCGCCTTAGACAAATTAAACTTAATGCTCACAAAACGTAAGTTGTTGTTTTTACTCTGAATATTGTTATCAATCACTAATTTTGTTAAATAAAAACGTCAGAATGGGTTTTGTTGAGATCTTAGTATTTTCAATAGTTGAAATCATGAGTCAATTGAAGCTAGACTACCATGGGAAACCTGGAAGCACTGGACGGCCGTTTCGTCCTATTGTGGGGCTCCCCAGCAGTGTGCATCCACGATCCCGTCGTCGCGAGACTCAAACCTAGGACCTATCAGTCTCGCGCGCGAGCGCTTAACCATGAAATCACTGAGCCGACATCCAACGGTGTTAATGTTTAAACTCAACCAATCCACGAAACTGCGCCGTCGTACACCATTGTCTTCAGTGAGCTGATATCTCACAACAGACCTGATTGGACTCCACTGGTCACGGCTTCTCACTAGACATTACCACCGTTGGATGTCGGCTCAGTGGTTTCATGGTTAAGCGCTCGCGCACGAGACTGATAGGTCCTAGGTTTGTCTCGCGACGACGGGATCGTGGATGCACACTGCTGGGGAGCCCCACAATAGGACGAAACGGCCGTCCAGTGCTTCCAGGTTTCCCATGGTAGTCTAGCTTCAATTGACTCATGGTTTCAACTATTAAAATAAATAAAAATGATTTATTTTCCAAATACTTCTTATTATTTTCAAACTATTTGAAGAAAAAACAGTTCAATACATATTTACACTTGTTATTTAGAGGATTTGTAGTGTCGGTTGCTATGTCAGCCCACACAGATTATTCTAGCTTCCGGACAGGTCAATCTATTCATTCTTCATGAGTCATATTTTGGCCGTGTTAATTATTCGCATATCAACCTTGACTTTTTTATGTAAGCGTATGTGTGTTTATCTTTTATCTTACTCATCACATGCCTGTAACTTATTTTTGGTTGACTATAAATATCGATTTACTCTTGGTTAAACTGAGTTGGATCACTCTCCTTCTCCATTGCACGTCGTTACGTTTTGCTTCTCTTTCCGATCAACAATTGAACAAATCATATGTATCCAAAAATTCATTCTCGTATTTGACTTATTGAATTCCATTATTCACCAACGTGACTTGAGTCGATGATAAAATAAGAGGATAGCTAGGATGTATATTTCGACAGCAATATTTCAATAACAATCAGTCATACGACCCTAGTGGAGTCAGATCTCGAGCCACTAAATGGTGAGCGCGTCGACAACGAGCCTAACGCAGCAAATTACGTCGATGATAAACCTTCTGCACTTCATGCTTTCGACGAACAAACTCAGTAAAGTCAGCTCAATCGATAAACAATGTAGTTTACAACCATATGACCGAGTCGAACAGAGATCATGGCATCACTAAAGTGGTAAGCTCGATTTCGAACTAAACACACCCTGAAAATCAGCGCAGACGGTGAACACCTCGAATTATATGCGTCCGATAGACGAACGAAGTGGCTGATTTAATTGACGAGCGACTTAACCGACTCAATCTCTGATCCCATGCATTCATCGAAGCCAGTACAGCAGCGACATGGACATGCTCAAATCATATTATCTTATCGGTATTTTGTCTTCGTGTCAACTCTGCTCACCGATCTATTTGGCGGATTTTTCGATTATGATTTCAATAATAATCATATTTATATTGTCACACTAATTTTATGTTATTACCTAATGTGGAATTATTGTTTTTGTTCGTGCTGACATTAAATTTTGACATTTACACAGTCATACTACTCACCAAACAAATTATAATTTTATGAACATTCCATTGACGTTATGACATTTGAAACACACTGGACTATTTTTTTATTATTCAATAACAGATTTTTCTTGCCTTAAGTGAGTCCATTCAACTTTTTCCATGTTATTTTTGCCCTATTTATACACGAATTCACATAGTCGAGGTCATTTTTATGTTATCATACCACACATTTTTCATCTCGATGTCGTCTTCTATTATGTTTATGGTTGCCTTTAATCCTAATAAGCCTTTTGCTAAGACCGATCAGTTTTTAGTATGTTCTGGATCATTTATAACACTAATGGTTTAATTATTATCGTTCATTTTTTGTGGATATATGGCTATCATATGTCATATATTTCCGGAATATTTACTAGCTGCTCATACACTGAACAATCTGCAACCTGCTAAGTAAATTGGCGGTCTAGCAACACGTGCATGCACACGAATCATCAGCCTAAGCAACCAACCGAACCTCCTGCACGCTGATAACGGCATGGTCACAACTACCCCAACTCTGGCAAAGGTCAGCAACTCTATCATAAACATGAGTTTGAAGTCATACTTCTGGTAATAGGAACTTATGTCTTCGAAATACAACTAATGTTCATTCATCTCATTGGTACGCAGCAATCGTCGTTTTTCTACTTTCTCAACGACAATCTAAACCGAAATTCAGTCATTTTTTAAAATCGATGATCCTTACTTTAATGTCTATATACACATCAGATATTCGACGCCGTATTACTAGCCGATTAGTAACGATCAAGTTCATTTTATATACTCGTCCACATATGCGACTGCATACTGCATCATTCATTACATACAAATATCACTTGATTACTGCAATTACTATTCTATTCCCGTCACACCACATGTTAGGTCTCTGAAGGATGCACTCTTGTTCGTAACATCCATGTCAGTCTCACTCGCTGTCATCGATAATCATATGTATTGATATTTTATCATATCTTAGTACGGTTTCTTAGCAGAAGAGGTCGAGCGCATATCCTTCAAACGACATAAATCACGCCAGGCTTTACGACCCGCAGTCACTATTCTGTCTCTTTGGTCATTCTACTAATATATATTTAACGATAACTCGGTGTCTCTGGTTATGACGCAAACGGCAACATACAATGATTTCGCATTTTATGATTATTATCGATTGTATCACCCATCGACGCAGTTATCATTTTACAGCTGGATTATTTTTATCCCACATAAACTCCACGTATGTAAATGCAAATCCGTTAATCGCTAATCGACGCTCTTTACTCTACTGCGGCTTATTAGAACATCTTCATATTTCACTGTTCTTTATTCGTACATTCAATCGATCTGTAATCCAGTTTGGTTTGCTGGTACACTTAACTTTATTCTATGTTGATTAGTTTAGTACATGAATTTTCAATAACAAATGGTAATAAATATTGAAATTAGGTTCAAGACTACATCAATAATGACTTGATGTTCAGGTCATGACTACGTGAAATCAAATCATAATTATTTATTTTTGAGAACAAAAGATACCAAAGTTTCAAACTATTTAACTTTTTTATATTCGGTAACTAAAATAGTTAGAATCAGTAATTAGAAAATAAAAATACTTATCAAGAGGTATTATTTTCTCATTTACACTAATAATATTTGGCTTAATACCAAATTTTTTGTAAAATAAGAACTACGTCAGATATATCAGCCAGCATCTATATTAATTGTTAGTTATCTTAAGCTTAAAATACAGAAGTCTTTCTCAGTATTGAGTCACAAGCAAATGAAACTCTACCTATGATAGATCTGTTTTAAATTGAGAATACTTTAAATGTTTCTCTTTGAAACATTTGGTGGATATCAATGTTACTACTCAATTTTGTATTGTTTGTTTGAATCTTCTCATTGATGTTTAGGACTGCAGTTGATCAGTCACTTATTAGCACATGTGCAACCTGTGTGCATTGTTTCGATATTGTTTTAAATTACATGCATTATATGCAACGATGGGTGGCGGCTAGCATCCATCCAGCTGATGAGTCTCAAATACGACTAAAACGCGTATCCTGGATTCTACTGCTAGCCACCATCCATCTTTACCATTCAATTGTCAAAAGTCATTATAGTCCATAGATTGAAAGATACAATTTAGTTGTTGAACTTGATAAATAAATATCTTAGTAAATGTTGTACTATTATGCTATACGACTATCGCGAACTAGGATTGCCAATTTAGATATGCTGACCTGTACGACCAAACTAATGGCGCATACAACAGTACGAGCAGCCTAAATTTCTGATTGGTCCTTTCTCCGCCTAGTCCTGTCTGTTAAGTCAAGAACGCCAATCTCAGCCTCCGCGATACGAATCGTATATTTCAAACATACTGAGTTTAATTCACTTGATATTGTTTTACTTGAATTTTCCCATTGATGTTTTTGGACTGAAATTGATCAGTCTCTTATTGGCATATGTGCATACTGTGCGTATGCCTCGATATTGCCTAAATTTACAAGCATTATAAGCAAAGATGGGTAGTGGCTAGCAGTGGAATGCAGGACGCGCGTTTCGTCCTGTTTGGGACTCGTCAGCTGGATGTACCTGCATCTCAGAGTTGATGTTCACTATCCATTTTTGCTTATAATGCTTGTAAATTTAGGCAATATCGAGGCATACGCACAGTATGCACATATGCCAATAAGAGACTGATCAATTTCAGTCCAAAAACATCAATGGGAAAATTCAAGTAAAACAATATCAAGTGAATTCAACTTCAACCCATTGCACAAGCAAGTGGCTATCAGGACTCAGTAGCTTAGTGGACAACGCGATGGCGTTTGAAACGAACGGTACTGAGTTCGAGTCCCAGAGTGAACATCAACTCTGAGATGCAGGTACGTCCAGCTGACGAGTCCCAAACAGGACGAAACGCGCGTCCTGGATTCCACTGCTAGCCACTATCCATCTTTGCTTATACTGAGTTTATATGCAAACAAATCAGACTACATCACACCATAAAATAGAATATAACATTTACACAAGATCGAGCCAAAAAGTGTCTGTGATTGTGAGAAACTGTTACTAATAAATTGGGAATATCTCAAGAATAGTAAATCGTGTCATAATAGTCAATAGGCCAAATAGAAGCTTATAATGAAAGGAATATAAATATACATTTAATATAGTTACTTAATAGTCATACGATAGAGAATATTCGTGTGATATCAGTCCACAAATAACTCTCCACGATTATCACTCATTTATTCTCGTCCGGATATAACAGTAAAACTATTTGATAACACTTTTTCCTATGTTATTTAAAATTGAACGAAGTATGCCTCTTAATGAATCACTGACTGGACTATGTGGGCTTTGGTTACGGAACCCACGTGAGTTGTAATGAATTTGTGTGAAGAAACATGAAACTTAACCACATAAAGGTCTGTTAATATGGTGCAGCTGTTCAATACTAAAGTTTTATTTTCTGTTATGGCACATAAAAATAAATAAAACTTGAATTCGTGTAATAATAAACACTGAATCTTGATTTTACTGGATGAAATTTAGAGAATCTTAAGTATTTTATATGCTTAAGTATATATTCTAAAAATGAAATACATGCCTACCCATAGAACAACTGAAAACAAAGTACATACGAGGACCCGATTATAAATCATAGATATCATCACCAAATAACCAATTATTTTGAAATATAAGGCTATTTAGTGTTTACGAAATTTTTTCACTGTTGATTGATGTTTACTTTACTAGGATAACGGAATATGAACTAGAACAACCACTGTCTACAGCTATCATTTCCTCATTAGTTGGGTCACGTTCTACAATCCTGCTCCAATGGTCTACACGACTACATTGGAATCAGTTTAGAATGGGAAAACTGATAAAACGTAAGTAATTATTTATTGATTTTAGTTTCGGGATAAATTAGATAAGTTTGAACTTGGTTATCTAAAGGAAATTTACTGCCCTTGAATTTTGTTATTTCTGGATTCGACTTCTGGTTTATCGTGAATCTACCTTACCGATGAGTCCTAAAGTACGACAAAACATCTGTTTGGTGCATTCATACAATCAATAATTGTTCATATGAGGACAGTCCATGAAGTAAAATATATCTGAAACGTAAATTCTGTTTCTTTGTAGGTCAAAATTAACTCATATAGACTATCATTAAGTTGTTGAAAACAATGAAGAACTGTGATAATTAGCCTGTGTATGAAATTCAATCATTCCATAATCTATTTAACAACAGTAGATTACCACGTCTTATTGTAATATGAAGTTGTTCATTGTATTTTCTAAAACTGGGTAAATAATTCTGCTTATTATTGCATCGACATCAGATTAATACAGATGTGATTGATAACTTTTATCGGACAATATTTACTAATCTGAATAAGCCTTTCCAGGAAAGCTTTACCTTCAAATTGAAAGATTCACATTTCTAAATGTTGAAATGGGGAATAATAATATTACTATTGTGATTTAGTTGTTGTTATGTATCTGCTGATCATAGCATTCCAAAAGGAGTGAAACTGTCACCAATGTAACAAGCATTGGGTCTAAATTTCCATATCAACCACTATTAACTCTTGAAATAAACATTATGATTATGTTACTGAGGAAAATAGTATTATACATTAGTTTCTACGCATAAAAATAGCTTTCCATTCCGTGGAGAAATTATAAAAATTACTTAATTAATAGACTACCTGAAACTGTCGTCAATATCAAACTACAAGATTGTTTTGGAAAGATGACTTTTCGATTTCAGTCATCTGTAATTTTATTAAGATTGTATTACTTTGTCTTATTCACAAATAATCAGCTTGGAACTCACTGAAAATAGACATTCTAGATCTTAAAGTCACTTCAAATAAATTAATTTAATAAAATATTTAAATGAACAATTTTTTCTAATAACTTCACCATCAAGATCTACAGTCATAAATTCATAAGTTTTCTATTACAATGGTCAAAGAAGGCACTTATAAATGAATGAATTAGACAATGTTGTAGGCTGATATTAGTGAAATTTTACGTCGGTTATGACCCTTACTCATCACATTTAAAAATGGCATGTTGTAAGTATTTAAACCAAAACCGATGCGAAAGTTCACTATTTTAGCAACAAAAAAAGAATCAACTGGCGTCCTGCTTGCATATCTGGATTATCTGCTCTTGCCATTTAGATATTTCAACAAGTTATCTGTTTCTTTTTGTTTCAACACACCATTGTGTCTATTCATTGAATAGCCTATGCAGGCTCGTTTATGAAAAGTTTACGACCTTTCGCTGTAGAAGTTACAAAAAGGTACAATCAGAGACATCGTGGTGACTGATAATGTGCATTGAAAAGAATGAACATTATTCAGGTGTCGATTACTGAACTCCTAATTTCTAATAGACGATCACTAATTGGCAATGTGGAATGGCTTTAATTTCTGCTAAGTCTAAACATGTATCGTAATTGTGGTGTAATTACAAACCAAGAATCTTAGTTAGATGATTTACAATTGCTTAGTATCACTAAAAGATTTCAATATTTATCGTCAGGATAGACCAAGAAATAAGAAAAGGAAACTAGTTGAAATACTTTGTGCTGAGAATTCTATATTGTACCAACAATATAATGTTGAATAAAGCTAATTATAACAAAAAGAAAAAAATTAATTCACCCAATTATGTATGTCTTATTTTGGTCATTGTAATTCAATAATTTTGACTTAATAACTGTAGGGTATGATGATGAGCTTACTCAAATAATTTTCCATTCAAATATTTCCTTTTTAATTTCGTAGCGTTATGAGAAACTAATTCTGTAAACACTGGTAATTTTCTTGAACCGTCAAACTTTTACTCACTTTCATATGGGTTATACCAGCTCATAGTTTTAATCATTTGTAGATCATTAATTAGTAATAATATTCATACTAATTATGAGTAGTACATAAATTTAAGTTAATTTTGGTTAGCATGACTAGTGAAAAGCTCAGGACTTCACATTCTTCATGACTTTCTGCAAAATAATTCAAGCATGTGATGACCAAGTTATCTTTTCATCACCTTAACGTATTCACTGGAAGAAGATTTTGAAAATGGCTAGATGGTTTAAGTGTGAAGCTCTTATTACCTTTATAAACAGCACTCTAAGGATATTCTTCAGAGAGAAGTTATTTATTAGTATTTTCCACAGTAATCCGAGCAACGTCAATAAAACTAAGGGTGATTATCAATCAGATTTTAAACAGACAGAAAAGTTAATAATCACTTGTGAAGACATTCTGACAGCTCACTTCTTTTCGATGTATTGGCTGATAACTTTCTCAAGAAATACAGTATCTGACAATTATTTGATTTCTTTATTCATCCAGTAGTTTTGTAAGTGGTTTTTGGAGCATGTTTTTATTATTATGGCTATCAGTGAAATGCAAAATATGTGGTTTGTGTAGCTACATTAATCTGACGAGTACCGAATGGGGAGAAACGCGGACTCTCAATCCCATCACTAGTCAAAATCCAAGGAACTCTTTTCATGATACAAATATGCCAACAGAAATCCATAAATTACAGTCCCCAGTGTAAACGGCAGAAAAATACAAACCCTTACAAATACCCTTTTCTTCACTTACAATGATATTCATTTTAAAACATCTGTAAAATAGTTCGCTTTCTAACATCGGTTTATACGTTCGATATACTTCACATATCGTTAGTCTAGTAAAATATTCAATTTGACCATATTATTCTACCAGTTGATTAGTTCATTAATTTTTTCACAACTTTGGAATCCACTACACCTGTTTCAGCTTAGGTAGTCAGTTACTATCACTAGCCTAAGTCCGAAAACCCGTGCTTGATAACTAAGTTACATCCCACTTTGTTGGGACTGGATAATCCATTAGTAAATAAAATTACTTCTCAGAAGAAAAGTGACTCCTACTTCGAATTCTACTCAATATTTAACAATCAATCAATCAAAATTTGTCTACTCTTTTAGATTTTGTTGACTACATACTAAATGTAAACACAGGCGGGTACAACCATATGCGTTTCAATACATTACAAAATCTGAGGACCATACAGTAAATAATTCATTTGCAAAATATCCGTCAATTGTCTCAAACTTTACTGTTCCTTCGTTTCCATACCGACCACCCTCTGTTATTGTTCTCTTCTTTTCGATTTTCTCAATCTTCTGCTACCAGGCATTCCACTTTTGATCCGTGTCACATACTACTCATATCTATCGACATCAGTAGCACACCACAGTAGTACTTAAATTACATGTGATGAATATTTTAAATCAAGAAAACAGTTGTTATTAATTTAATGGAATTATCATATTGATTTTTTTCCTTTTAATTTATATTTAAGATTTATTGGATCACGTTTATCCAATTGGACAATCAACTTTACTGACACAATATGAACTTTTCAAAATGGAATTAGATAATTATTTGGATTGTTTAAAACAAATTATTGAAGATAAAAACAATCAGCTGTTGGAACGAAAATCAATTACTGAAATCGATTATCAATTTGATGGTCAATATAAACATTTAGAAATTCCAACATTAGAACCATTTAATATGGTTATTTATGGACTTCCAAATATTTCATTCGCTTAGGGGATTATCTATATTTTCTTTTAATGAAATGATCTTTAAAATTGAACAGTATTGATATTTATTTTACAATATTTGATAGAACTAAATAATAAATAAATGACGAAATGAACAATTGATCTTTTACATTAAAGACTATACTGAATACATATTGAATGATTTCCGGGAACAATATCCGTCTAGAATGTCTATGTTAACTTAAGTTTTACAAAACTCTAGAAAAGACCGAGTACAGTTAGATTTTCATTGTTTGTATTATCAAGATGAATCTGTAATGAAGATAGCTGAAAAATTAAAAAGTGCATTTAGAACTGTTTATTATGCATTTTATTTGTAGCTTGTAAGGGAACCCGTTAAGTTGATCAGTTAGATACGCCTGGATTCCAAAAGTATCCGAACGAAGACATATTTGATTATATCTTGATAGATATCAACTGATGATGATGGTATTTCCATATCGATTTCTCAGTTATCCTAGCTACTAAAAAAACATACAGTTTCTACGATTCATGTCGAAAATCACCAACTATATTCAGTTCACTAAACATATATCGATATAAATGAAATCATCTATAAGCTAAAAACAATTCTTCTTACTTGTGGAAATTCACTATCTTTCATCAGTTCAACAAATTTCACAAAGTAGATTTCAATAACGTACTTATCGTGAAACGTTACTTCAAATAGTAGTAGCGGGACCCAAGATGTGCTTCCCGTATCATTTGAGATTCGTCAGACAGGTTTGCCTGTATCTCGGTGTTGATATCTTCATTGAGACTCGAATCTAGTACCTTCTGCTTCAAATAGCAATTTCCATTTAACTACTGGTTCCAGATCATCATTAACTTGTTCAGTGGTTGTGAATTTCATTTCTATGTATTTTTTATCTTCTCGTTGTTGATATTAAGAACTGTCGTCGATCAGTGTACATTAGAAAATGTGAAGACATCTATTCTAAAAACACTTGATAAAATAGCTATATCGAAACAGTCTGCTCACTATGTGTATGTACCAACAGAGATTGATAAGTCGTATTTCTTAATATCAATAATGAGAAAATTCAAAACCTTACAAACAATAGTACTTATTTAAAGATAAAAATTATATTTCAAATAAAATTTTACCATTTAACGTATTATATATACTCAATGTCCAGTTTTTGTCAAATTAACCGTCTGAGTTTGACGAATTTTCATGTAAGTGGTGTTTTCACAATTGAAATCGTGAGTCAATCTAAGCTAAACCACCAGTAAAAACCAGGAAGCACTGGATGGCTGTTTCATTCTATTATGGTACTCGTTAGCAGTGGGCATTCATGATCCCACCGTCTAGTACTTTCAAGTTGTCAATAGTAGTCTAGCTTAGATCGACTGACGATTTCAACTGTAAAAATACTACGATCTCCACAAACCTCCATACTGATAAATAATATTGTTATTCAGATTGGTAATAATATTTGTAATAATGTTTAGTTTGAATGAAGTGCTTATGAGCAAAACATGAAGTCAGGACAAGGATTACAGATAAATCATCTTGATGGTAGTCCACTATCCACTCTACAGTAATATATATCTACGAGTAGTTGTGTTGCGCAATAGTTGTGTAATGTCACTACAATAGTGACCTTTTGTTAAAATATTCTATTAATTCCTTATATATATATAATGAAAAACTAATTGAGAAAAGAGATCTTCGTTCTATTCACCTTTTGATAAAATCGCGTTTTTTTAATTTTTTTGTTCTAGATCATATATGCTATTACTCGTTCTTCGTTAATTGTTGTCAAACTAACCCTTTCAGATGTATGACGTTCTACATTTTTGATGATTGTTGGTTAAATTTTTAGCCTATCATGCGGAAACTGAAAAATCGTGAGACTATAATACTTTTATAACTAACTAACTCCGCGATAGATCCCCAGAATTCTAGTGGAAAGTTTTGATTGATAGGATTTTCCCATGTCATAAATAAGGCAGTCATCACTTATGGGATTGTATAAACTTCACTCTGTACCGTGAATTGATCGATTTAGTTGATGAAGAGCACTAAATTTTAACAAAGTAGTTTAAAAGTAATGTGCACTCCATGAAAACTTAAGGTTCTGGTTTGAACTCTTGATGGATTAATGAATACACACTGATAAAAAGTCACAAACAAGGATGAAACCTTAAAAAGAAAAGGTGGAAATCCATAATAATTAATATCTAAAACCTGACTAATCAGTAGTCAGTGTCATTTATCGCATGTGATATGTACTCAATCTGTACTCAATCTTCAAAGAAATCAATATACTTTTCCTTCTTCTATACCTAATTATTCTAGACACATATAATACCAGATCTAATAATAATTCTACCTTTAAATTGATTTTAAGTGTACAGAATTATTGTCCTAACTTATAATGACTCATATATACTTAAAGGCTGAAGTGAAGTTACGCATTCTATTGTAGTTCTAATAATATCTAAAAATAATAATTAAAGGAAAAAAAATAGCAGGTTATTTGAATTAAATCAGCTATCAAATATTATCAACATTTCCATTTATGTATGTATATAACTTTAAGAAATACACGACTGTTTAAGAGTGATTTTCCCACACTTACACTTCATTTAGAATAGATTGAAATGTATTTCAATTCTTTGTATTTTGTACTATGACTAAATCAAGATCACCAGTTTTATTGATTCTCACGGTTGATATTTATATGTAAGATTTTTAGTCTTCAATATTATTTTATAACCATTCATAATACTTCGGAATGAAGGATTGTTTTCTCTTATTACTCACATAATAGATAACTTCACGAGAAATTGTGAATTGTTTCAACATTTAACTCTTTCTTGTTATGATTCACAAACTTTTTTTCATATAACAGAAAGATAAATGAAAATCTAGATTTTATTTGAAATGAAAAAGGGAAAGTTAAACGATTCAAATGTACTAGAATCAAGTCCCTGATGTTGACTGAAATTATTCAAAAGACATTGTTTTGATTGATTTAGAGTCTTGTATATCGTTGCTTGTCATAAATATAACATGAAGGAAAATTTTTAATATTCAAGGATTTTAACTTTGTTCATTCAATAATAAAATCTTAAAAAGTATTATTGATTCACTTGGTATTGTTTTACTTGAATCTTCCGATTGATGTTTTTAGGACTGAAATTGATCAGTCTCTTATTGACATATGTGCATACTGTGCGTATGCCTCGATATTGCCTTAATTTACAAGCATTATAAGCAAAGATGGACGGTGGATAGCAGAGGAATGCAGGACGCGCATTTCTTTCTATTTGGAACTCGTCAGCTGGATGTACCTGAATCTCAGAGTTGATGTTCACTCTGAAACTCGAACTCAGTACCGTTCGCTTCAAACGCCATTGAGTCTCAAAAAGGACTAAACACGCGTCCTGGATTCCACTGCTAGCCACTATCCATCTTTGCTGATAGAGTATTATTGAGTTGTTGTAATAAACTGTGTTTTTAATGGTCGAACTTATTTTATGATTCAGTTACTTAAAGTTTAAGAGTAATTTTCATGAACTGACTTCATTTTTAGAAGATCATGTCAAACCATAATGTTTCCCATCCATTTATACTTTATCTTCAGCGATTACTCTTGGCTCTACATCCATCCCTTTATTATATGGTAACAAGTAAATTACTGCTGAGCTGATGAGTTAAAATCTAGCAACCAATACTCAATAATTTTAGTTAATGGGCTGAAAAAAATGATTATCATTATATTTAGATCCCTGAACTCCCAAAAAATTTTCTGTTCATCATCAAATACTATGGTTAATTTTAATCTTATAGTCAGTTCACATTCGATAGCCGACTAACATTAAACCGACTTTTATTGTTGACTCCTTTTCAAGTGCTGATTTTTCTCACCTTTACATTGGTAATTTTTCGAAATGATTCAGTCGAATTCTAGTTGAAGTGGTTTTCTAGAGATCAATTTAGCTTGTAAGCTATGCATGTCACAAAGCGGTTTCATTTCGTGTACCACTAGAGACCAAGGTGCACTGGACAGCATTTTCTTTTTAGTATTGGATTCCTCTCAAGTTCACACCCACAACCCCAGTAGGAATCCGACCTAGGAACTCTAGGTCTCTCAGCAAACACAATGATTGACACCAATAGGTCGGGACACAATGGTATAGTGCCAACTTCAACCAATTTGTGATTCAGCCCGGCGCTCATCCAACGCCATCGGTGAAAACTCCTTCACTCTCAATGTCTAAACTCCATCGGTCACAATTCGCACTGATACTTCAGAAATATCCTGTAGTAAGTTACTAGTAAGCTCATTATTACAGTTTAGTTGGTTGAGTTTTATAGAGATTGGTTTAATTTGTGGGTTGTATACGTAAGAGAGATGAATTTAAGCCCATCTATAGTATTGCTTATAAAAATACTGGTCATATTATATCGCAAATAAAAATGATACTGGAAATAAAAAAGAAGCTGTGAAAAGTTAATCACTTGAGCATCGATGACTTGCTTTCGTCTCGATAAAAGTACTCTATTAATATTATTACTGTATTTAAAATAGGATAACTGCTGGAATTATAGTTTGTATTAATCAGAAAATTGCATTATGCATGAAGTTAGGCCATGCTGATAGTTGAATTTGTAGACAAAGCTCATTAAGACTAGGGAAAAGATAAACAGGGGTGGTTATTATATATACTTAATTAATTGAGACAAAACATTGTGTTGATTTAGTTTTGTTACTCTTAGTTTTCTTGTAACCTATTCGTACACCAGCAAATATCATCCATTCAGGTAGACTGTGGTCAAACATAAAAAAGACATACGTCATAACCACTTCAATCGATTAAGGTTGATAACTTCGTCAACTGACATGCCAATTTACATAGCAGCCTATACCTAACTTCAACATTACTTACTTGGTTCTTCCATAAACGCGAGGAATACTTTGAAAATATCTATAATCGAAAACATGTAGCCTATGCATGTCTTCTACCAATCATAACAGTCAATCTATTCTTATATCTCAATCAAATGGCTTGAAGTTTCAATTCACATTTCATTTTCGTCAGGTTTCTAAATGGAACAAACTCGGAGCTTACGAGTAACT